CCTGCAAAGCTTACAAATGCACATTATATCTTCTGCTGAAAGGTGTACTGAGCAATATGACACAAACTAAGGTTTTAGGTAGGGGTACTATATCAGTCTACGTACATGTTTACTGTACTGAGCAATATGACACAAACTAAGGTTTTAGATAGGGGTACTATATCAGTCTACGTGCATGTGCACGTTACCACATTTAACAATCGTCCAGGCCGGTACCTGTAAACATATCTCTGACCGTCTGACATTACCGTAGATGTCATTGTCAGTGTACGTTACCACATTTAACGATCGTCCAGGCCGGTACCTGTACACCTATCTCTGACCGTCTGACATTACCGTACATGTCATTGTCGGGCTTTATAACACCTTGCCAAGGAAGATATAGCATGCAAACCTGTGCAGCTATATAGTGTGTTAGACACATGCAGAGTTACAGATAAGTGATAAACAGAGATAAAAAACCTCCAGTGTCAGATCTGTCAACAAAGCAATGAGATAAAAATATTGCCTGCTGTGAATTTCATCTGTTTTCCTGTGTAGTTTACACTTTTAGGAAACAGCAAAGTGTGCAACGTGTTACATAACCTCTCTCATTCCAATATAAACATGATACATATTTGTGTCCAAATACAAAATAATAGGGAATAGAAAAAACACAGAATTCACTTTGAGAAAACAATATTTCCTTAAATTTGGTACATGTACATATTTCTTTTCGAGCGATAAATAAAGCACGATCGTTTGACCTTCAACCAATGGACTGCTTATCGATGACACAATGTTTGACCGTTTACTCCTGCAGGCAATGAACATTTACGCACTACGATGTTATACAAATACAAAACACTAGTAGTTTGGATAACGAAACCTGTGAAAAAGACATAACTGTACAATATGATGAAGGTATATAACTGTACAATATGATGAAGGTATATAACTGTACAATATGATGAAGGTATATAACTGTACAATATGAGGAAGGTATATAACTGTACAATATGATAAAGGTATATAACTGTACGATATGATGAAGGTATATAACTGTACGATTTGATGAAGGTATATAACTGTACGATATGATGAAGGTATATAATTGTACAATATGATGAAGGTATATAACTGTACGATATGAGGAATAATATAACTGTACAATTTGATGAAGGTATATAACTGTACAATATGAGGAAGGTATATAACTGTACAATATGATGAAGGTATATAACTGTACAATATGATGAAGGTATATAACTGTACGATATGATGAAGGTATATAACTGTACGATATGATGAAGGTATATAACTGTACGATATGATGAAGGTATATAACTGTACAATATGATTAAGGTATATAACTGTACGATATGATGAAGGTATATCACTGTACGATATGAGGAAGGTATATAACTGTACGATATGCTGAAGGTATGTAACTGTACGATATGCTGAAGGTATATAACTGTACAATATGATGAAGGTATATAACTGTACGATATGATGAAGGTATATAACTGTACGATATGATGAAGGTATATAACTGTACGATTTGATGAAGGTATATAATTGTACAATATGATGAAGGTATATTACTGTACGATATGATGAAGGTATATAACTGTACAATATGATGAAGGTATATAACTGGACAATGTCCCAACTAAGACACCTATTTGTATTCATCTTCTTGGTGTTCCTACGAGCATTTCAACCTTCGTATTTGAAGAGATTAACTGTAAACAAGACCTCCGATATTTTCACCGATTTGCTGGTATGTTGATACCCTAGTTGTAAAGGAAATAGTCTCAGCCATCACCCAGCAACACAAGTTGACGTCATAAGTTCATTTGTCAAATCGTAAATGCTACTGATACCGGACAATGGGGTAACTTTGGGAATTTGCCCACTTGAGAGGGACCATAGATAGCTTTGTGTTCGACTACGTGCTGTGAAATTCTCTCTTTATCATCACATTTTAGCGGTCAAGTACTGCTACTGACCAAGCCTAGTGAACTTATCAGGTTGTGTATTGTCCAGAATATTACGGATAATGTTAAGGTACAGGTCATTTGGTAAAAGCCAAGATATTTAATAATATTTAGCATGGGAAATTGATAGGGTATGTATTGGTGATTTAATAATATTTGTTATTCATTGGTTATCTGCTATTTTACGACCGATGTTTAACAAGATTGATCAAATTGTTATATTTTACCACACATTTTCATAAGCTTATTGACTAAACCAATGCAAACAAAAAAAATGAAAATAGTTTTCAGACAGAAAACATGTAACCGGTAAAAGTCCTTCACAACGCTTGAATAATGTTCCTTTCGATTAAATAGGAAATTAAACAACAGGTGTTTGCCTTCTGAGACTTAATTAGTTTTCCAGGTAAAGACGTAAGGTACCCGAGAGAAAGGTTTAACTTGTACGGCAAGTAAACAGAACTAAAATCAATAGAAACGTTCGCTGGCTATATAATAATATTGTTTAATATTTGATGATCCTCTGACTTTTTGGAAGCATTAAGTGGAATTTCGTGTCGGATCAAACTATACATGATTCGTTACTCTAAATATTAGCACATTGTGTTCTAATATAAAAACCACATGTTTCTTTAATATAGCCAAAAAACTTTGTAGGAAGTACCTCAGCAATATACATAAAGGAAACGAGGGGAAACAGATCGGACGAGGAAAATAATTACTTTTGTAAACATGAGTTATAATGTAGGATCCTGGTACGAAATTCACCTTCTTTAAGTAAATACCGTGGTTAAACCCAAAAGTGGAATAGCGATATTTGCAATCAATACAGCGGTTGCATGCAATCGATTGATGCGATTTTAATTGGACCGCGGTACAGATTGTAAAACAGGTCTCTAGATCGTATTTTATATACTAGTAGGCACATAAACCCCAGTACCCAATTGCAGGCGCTGATTTATTGGGGGTTTACCGGGTGTATATAGTAGAAGGTGTTAATTCATGGTCATAATATCCTTATACTCACATAGATTACTGGATCACTGGAAATTACAAATGTAAATAACGTTTAATTATTTGTGTAAATAACGTGTTTACATGTATAGAATATGTGTATCTGTGCTATTAACGTTTGGACTGTTTGCATAGTAAGTTAAGTTGGGTGTGGATGCAGTTCAGTATGTGTGGATGCAGTTCAGTATGTGTGGATTAAGTTCAGTATGTGTGGATTAAGTTCAGTATGTGTGGATTAAGTTCAGTATGTGTGGATTAAGTACAGTATGTGTGGATTAAGTTCAGTATGTGTGGATTAAGTTCAGTATGTGTGGATTAAGTTCAGTATGTGTGGATTAAGTTCAGTATGTGTGGATTAAGTTCAGTATGTGTGGATTAAGTTCAGTATGTGTGGATTAAGTTCAGTATGTGTGGATTAAGTTCAGTATGTGTGGATTAAGTTCAGTATGTGTGGATTAAGTTCAGTATGTGTGGATTAAGTTCAGTATGTGTGGATTAAGTTCAGTATGTGTGGATTAAGTTCAGTATGTGTGGATTAAGTTCAGTATGTGTGGATTAAGTTCAGTATGTGTGGATTAAGTTCAGTATGTGTGGATTAAGTTCAGTATGTGTGGATTAAGTTCAGTATGTGTGGATTAAGTTCAGTATGTGTGGATTAAGTACAGTATGTGTGGATTAAGTTCAGTATGTGTGGATTAAGTTCAGTATGTGTGGATTAAGTTCAGTATGTGTGGATTAAGTTCAGTATGTGTGGATTAAGTTCAGTATGTGTGTAATTTACGTGGATGTAAGTGAGTAAATCAGTGTAAATATCTTTGTGTGGCATGTGTTAGTATGTATGTAGATTAAATTAAATGTGTCTGTAATTACGTTGTAGACTAAGTTTAAGTTTGTAGATATCATGACAGTAGTATATGTGTAAATTGAGTTCAGTATGTGTGTAGAATAAGTTTCATACGTGTATGTAAGAATAACAATGTACGTATGTTTATATAAAGTGTAAGTATATTTGTAGATTAAGTTAATGGATGTATGGATTAGATGTAAGTATGTGTGGATTGAGTGTAAGTTCGAAATCACATTAAGATTAAATGTACTTGTCTGCGTTTTGTATATTAAGTGAGGTATGTTGAGTTCATGTTTTAAATTTTGTCTGCTAGGTGTTATCTCTTTACTCCGTTACATAATTAAAGATTTTTTCCCATCAAACACAAGACATCCCTACACTTTGTACTGTTATTACAATTGACACGTTAAAGACAAAACGGAATAGTTTTGAAATAATTATTTGATTTTTCTAGATTAAAAATTACTTTTAAGTTATCCAATTAAAAACTATTTCATGTGTGAGTCGTTTTGTCCTCATATCTTTAAAGTTTTCATTGTCCTCTACGTAAATAATGAAATTTTACCGTATCAATGTGAACGTGACATGATAATGTCTGTGTATGTGCTGGGCTTGCTCTTACACGTCCTTCAAAACCGTTACGTACTAAAAAGATAAGTTACATAACAGCTGTTGCTGTGTTCTAGTTTGAGCCCCGTTATTACCTTATAAAGAGATAAGTTGCATCAGTCAATGTATAAAAAAAACTTTGTTTCATCGTTCTGAACGATAACTGAACAGGTTGTCTGAATACGTTGTTATCTAATAACGGTGCTTATTTGTAAGGGCGCATGTGTGTCTTAATCCACACACACACACCAAAAGAAATGGACGGGCCAGTAAACTTACATCAACAATCAAATCCATTATCTCAATTCATTTTCAGTTCTCTTAATTCATAGTTATCTCAGACCCAAAACCCTGAATACATCTTACTTCAAGTATTTACAAGTACTATGAAGAATCTCGTACAAATCTTTCAATATTTTATTCGCTTGCATTTTCCATTGATGAATATATGAGCACGGAGAAAATGAATGTTTATACTATACAACTATTGGGAACCCAAATATAACTTAGACATGCATATTCACCATTCGTACCTTGTGTCGTTGCAGGGGTGACCCCGACAAGATGGATTTGATGGGCTATTCATCACTTCACCATGCATGTAAGAGTGGTCACATCAATGCTGCCTCCTTCCTCGTCAACTACGGCGCTAACATATGGGCCATGGACAACGACTACAAGACGGCTCAGGACATAGCAGCTCTATGGGACAAAACGGAAATTGTTAAGTTACTGGACGACGCTAAAGCCCAACAACAATCTCTTAATCCTAGCATTGTCAAAAAACTCAGCGCCAAAGCCTTCGAAGACGCGGACAGAAACGTAAAGCGGCAAGAAAAACGTAACAAGGAAGCGCAGAAAATCGCTGAAAAGGAGGATTTAAAACGATTACAGCATACCGATCCTGATTTCAGACCTCCAACAAAAATGAATGTGTTTAAGACTTTGACAATGAAGTTCAAGTCAAATAATCGGAACTACACAGGAAATGGTCAAAGAAGTGTGCAGACATTTTCTGACATAGCTATCGGGACAAAGTCAAGAGGAACGAAAAAGAAAATATTACAAAAACAAATGAATGGTTTTGATACGCAATCAGTGATGGATTTTAAAACTAGCGAGTTTGACGGTGATGGGAATAGAACCCTGAGGTCTATGAAAGGTACAAATGGCTTCCGAAAGAATTCGGATGTTATGTATCTCACAAATAAAGACTCCGAAAGTAGTACAACTGCCTCTGGAAGCAGGCCAGCTTTGACAAATGTGTTTACTCTTCCAAAACAAAACAAGTGGAAAAGCGAGTCTGATCTATTTGACTCAGGTACCGGGTCCATCGATTCGACACACGGTAACGAAGACGAGGCTGACACTCCTGGAATGTTTAAGAACGCTCTGGGGACGTTGTCGTTTCTACACACACGTCAAGGTCTAACTGGAACCCTCAACGGGTTTTCAAAAGCGTCTTCATACGACTACCTGGATGAAATTGATGACGACATTGATAACCCAGAAAAGGGAAGTAACCGGAACAGCACAGGGTCCGACAGTATCGGTACTACAACGAGTTTAGAGGAACGTCTTCAAGGCCCGGTACCCTGGAAGGACGAGGACGACATTCTCAGTGATGACGACGAAGACCAATCCGAGTTTTCTCCCTTAGTTCGGTTCTTAGAATCTTGTGGACTCAGTAACTATACGCACATTTTTACGAACGAGGACACGGACTTGGAGGCATTAATGCTATTAACTGACGAGGACTTCACAAGGTTAGGCCTTCGGCTTGGGCCTCAGAGAAAACTTAAAGAAGCAATTAAAAAGAGAAAACAAGCACTTGACAGTCCTACAGCTTTGCTGGACACTCATCTTTGAACATTCGGGTTCGACTTCCCTTTGTGCTAGGGGTTAAGCTCCGTAGGAATAAGTGCTTGTGATCAATGCATTGCCTTGTGTAAAAGAACATAAAATACCAACGGTTTTAACCATTACTAATCGGATTTGATAACACGCAACAATATATGTTGTTCTATCTTTGCCAATTAATGACGGACTGTATTTCATGAAACTATTTGAGCATCAGTATTATTAAATAGTAATGCTCGCTCTTTACTAATGATAAAAAAATCGAAGGAGAGAAGTTACGAAAGAGCATATATGTGATGACCCTGTACATTATTTTGAAGATACTACTTATGCAAGTTTATCATTCTGCCGAATATAAAAATGCTAGTGTTTATGGTGGTATGACTGCATGTTATTGTCTAGGACAAGTCTACACACTAATACAATGTAAATAAGTGTATGTACAGTATATTTATATTCAGACATCTGTTACTCAGAAGGACGCATACGATTTCAAATATCACTCATTGATTTCTTTATTGGTACCAATCTCACCGCAACGCTTTTATGCTGCAATGATACGGCATGTGTGCTGCTTTTAACTCAAAAATATATAGATGCAACCGCTCGTGAGGTCTGAATTTAAGCATAACTCAAGCGTTTAATATATATATAGTAATTGAACGGCGTTTTTTAAATTTTCATGCCGGTATAAACGCAAAACGGTTACATCCATATTGCATGAAGCCCGCAATGTTTTATCCGAAGCGAAGACTCACATTGACTAAGGTTAATGTATGACGTCATAATTAAATCACGTGTCACGTCATGTGGGGGTTTCTGCTTTCATACTTCAATGAAATGCATTTCTGCTGGTAGTGTTCATATAGTGGGTTGCAGCGCAAATGTAAATAATACACGTGTGTGTATCTTGTTCTGAGACTCCAAAAACATAGAAAGCAGTGCATTCATTAGAATTACAATTCATATCATATCAGTCCTGTCACTGTTATTTAACTATATCACAATTGTATACATTTGTATATTTCCTGTTATTCAATTAACAGAGTTTGTATATAATGTATTGTCTGAAAGCTGACCATATGCAACTATCTATACAACATTTATAGCATCGCAGTAAAGTAGCTACCATTTAGTTTGGAATAGACGAGAAGCCTCATGCTCCGTTAGCCCAAGTTTCAAACTAGTTTTCTTTATGTATGTTTGAATAGATATTACTAGTTTCGTTATTATTTTATTTTTTGGGTTATAATAGCAACTTTTTACGCATAGAGGTTCAGTTTTAAATAAATTTCATTATTTATCAAGCATTTTGCCATGAAATTGACCGTTTATTTAAATCAGTAAGATTAAGAGAATCTATTCAAAACGATTTTACAGCTAGCATTAATCTATAATCTGAACATACGGCGTTTCTAGTAAAGCTGCCAGAGCCAAAGGGAAGCAACTCTCATATTGTTTCCAGAATGTCTAACAGCGTTATGAATCGTTCATATATTCAATCAATGTTATGGTTTACTTACTATCTTTATCATTTACCTCATCTGAATCATATGTGTGGGATTTCATAAATGATTTTAATGGATTACAATTGCTCTATTTTTATGAATAAATTGACCAGTTATTTTACAAACATTGTGGTTATATTGTTTTTGAATACGAGGGATATTCAAGGTTGGCACAATTAACAGCATACATGTACTTTCAATCTCCTTGAATCTAAGTTGAAGGATCCACAAGATGTTGTGAAAAGATATACATGAAACGAGTAATACAATTAACCTCAGGTTATGGAGCAAAATTTTCATTTGAAACTTTGTTATATTTAATATATTTATATGATACCATCCCTATCGCTAAATGTATACGATATGAATAGGAGACAAAGCAAGAGTTATGTAAATTCCTCGCAATAAATACACCAGGAGCTTCGTAAATGGAAAGTAACTTGAGCAAAGCAAACTAAGAGGTGCTGACATATAGGACGTAGAGAATATGAGTTGTGTAAATTAATGTATAAGACGAAAACTTTCGACATACAATAAAACATGGTTCTGTCAGTTTTGTTCTGGTCTGGTCTGGCCTCATTTAATGCTAATAGATCACTATATTTTTGAACTGATCGACACATATGTCAATTTCTTATAAATTTAGCGATGCGTCTATATAGCTTTTTTTCGAATAATTAATGTGAAACCTGTAATGAATTTAAAAGACGACGATGAAAGAGTAGCAGCGCTTTCCGACATACGGTGTTGATAAAGCCGTTATACATATTAATCCCGTCATGTGGGAAAAGTAATACATCCAGCTGTTTGATTAACACTGAAATGTACAAAAAAAACTCCAATTTCAACTGATACAGTCGATAATATACAAGTTTAACAAACAAAAGTACACAATCAATTTCCCCAACATATAACAGTTACGTGCTATATAGAACAGATGGACACTTGTGTGATTGACTGCAATTTTTCACCGCCTATCAACGTTACTTTATGTAAAGGTTTCAATTGATACATATGACAATTTTTAAACGCTATGCACAAAACATATATTCTATGAAAGTTTTCGAATGTGAATTGCACCATGCTCACACAAGTACTCGTAATGTTTGATGTCCCGCGCCTGACTTTAATTTGAACTTTTTCAGCTGTCGATAATTCTCTCAACATGTTTTTAACATTCAATGGACATGATGTGTACTTAAAACCAAATATGTATTTGTGCATGCGGTATTTGAAATACTGATTGTTACAAATTAATACACAACTATATACTAAGGAAACTATATGGATACAAATATAAAAGAAACACAGTTTATTTTTTTATTAAGTTTACATAATTTGTTAGTTTCGGTATAATTTCGATATTTGCTGAGTATTAAATCTCACACGGTTATAAGTTTTGAGTTGACAACTCATTTTAAGATCGTGTATTAAACACATACAAGTAGGTACTTGGCGTAAACCAGTTAGTGGTATTAGATATACTAGTGTCCATTCATATCAGTTTACGCCTCAATGCATGACAACACTGCATCGAAGTTCCATGTTAGCGACCTATAAATATATACATACATATCAGCTAAACGCTTGTTCTGTGTTAAGATACGGGACAGTTTCGACAGGTATATTGTTTAACTCTTTTGGCTTGATTATGTACAAATTATCTTTGCCGTGTATTTATGATAGGCTACCAGTTTTTTTTCTATATATACAATGTTCGAGACGACTTTGAGATATATATAATTGATTAAACTCTACCAGTTTATTCCATGTAATTCTACAAATAGTTCTATGTACGAGATAAATGAGAGCTTGATTTGAACTGTTCAGTATTTTTCTATGTAAAATGGACCTTTCCGACACAAAAATATATATAGCATATGTTATATGTTTCTCAACAAAGCATGTAAATTTGTCCCAGAAATATCCTCTCCATGAAGAAAGAGTTTATCATTAACTAGTTAGTTTCAAATTAATCAGAATTTGTCCTTTTCCGGAGTGCCCTAAATAGGAATACTCTCAGTGCATACTTTAAACGCATGCATGGTAAATTTCTGCTGTGTCAGTCTACAACGGGACTAACTTCAATTTCTCTCTATCAAATCGGTCACTTGACATTCGGAAGGCTGTCTGTTCGGAAGACCGTCCGTTCGTTATTCGTTTGATATCGTTTGTAAAGCGTCAATATTGAAGATAAGGAGGTGGTTCAGTTGATATCTGCTCGACCTGTTGACTAGATATATTACTTGACTTTTTAAATGATAATAACGAATGACATACGATCTGCTAGTAATGGTCCTTCGCATTAAAACATACGCTAGTCTGATGTGTATCTGTCATTTACATTTGACTATAAGTCACGATTTTTCCACAAAACAATGTCGCCAAACGGTGTAGATTTACCTGTTGCAATCATGCAATCAGATCAAGCTCCGTTTATGGTAACTGGCTTTATCCCAATATTTACGCTCATATAAATAGGTAATAATATCATAATAATGCGCAGTGTCTTTTGCGTTGTTGGATATGAACAAAGTTTCCGTTGCTTATAATTATATGTGAACTGAAAAAGTCCCTGCTGGTCAGGGATTAATTACACAATGGCGTGGTTTTGTTGTGCTCTCCTTTACGGAGGTAAGTTAATTGTATTAATTTGCTTTATTAAATAAAAGTCTTCGTACCAATAACGTTTAGTATTGTCTAATACAAGGAGGGGGAGACGGTAGAGGCTTGACTGAGCTTGAAATAAGTTAATACTCTTGGTCGTGTTAAGAAAAAGTGTTCTTTTAACTAGTTTTCTAATTCTCAGTTTTAAAGAAGAATAACACATTTTTACCTATTAGCCAAAAGTAGCAATTTCATTATTTTTAAGATACCAAAGGTGGTGAAAAACATTTGATGATGAAGTAGCTTGACCGTGCTTCGACTTCAAAGGGTTCCCTTAGTTTTTACATCCTCGATATCCAGGGGTTATGCTCACTTTCGCTCTCTGCACCCCTGGAATATGCCATAGCCAAATTGAAGGCTCAGTGTGCGCCACGTTGTTGATGAGACAAGAAGACCAGTTCGATCCTTTGATGTACATCAAACGAATCTCGCGGTCGGTAAAACTCGACAGGCTTTGAAGTCGAGTGTAGCTCCTTTGTAATCTTCAAAGGACAGCCTAGCGATTGGTCACTTTTTTTTAGTGAGCATAACCCCTGGATATCGAGGATGTAGTTCTGACAAAAAAAACACATAATTATGTATACTCGACTCACTCTCTCGGCGAGAAACGTATTATCACCTAGACTTAGGTATATAATAGATGAATTATATTACACAGGGCCATTGAATAATCTTTCGAGGAAAAAGAGTTTATTATTTTTTAATTCCATTCTTAAGACAAACTCAATGCATCATGAGATCAACAGAGGCAAGATTCAACCGTTAAATGAGCAATACGCCGTTACAATAACAGCCTTTAACAAAGCTTGTACTGAAACGTAATTTAGTCGTAAGGACTAATCGCCCCTTTGACATCATTGACCACTATTCAAAATATGTCGTGTTTGGACCCTGCCTAGTTCAATTCCTAGTATATGTAATGATGTAATGATTGGTTTTTGTTACATTTATGTTTTCTCCATAATGGCGTCATCTTAAATACATTTGTTTCTATAAAACTTGATATCAATATCACGGAATTAGATTAGACTAAGTCCTTGCTATCTAAGTCCGTGTCAATATATACAAAGGGGTAAATACAAGATAGTGAGAAAAGATGATAGAGGTTTTGATTAAAAACAATTAAAGAGTTTTGAAGCAAAATAGCATTTCAGGTTTTTACTAAATGAAAAGCAAAACAATCAAAATTATTTCCAAAATTTGCAGTTGTTAACAACCATATCTTCAGGACTTTCCACCCTTCGTAATACACATGTTTTTCTTGTCGTATTTTCCTGTCGTCATTTCCGTATTGCGTATCGGGCATTCCATTACCGTAGTGTAAATTATAGTAACACCGGGTAAACAATAGTTTATATATATGACTTCTCTTTTCTGAGTGGACTTGTATTTCACAAAGATTTACCCACTGCACACATGAAAACAAACGTAATTTTAAGGTGACCATTGTAAGTAGATCATTTCACATTCTCAACTTCAGGGACATTTCCTTTCGAAACTATCGGTATCAGTGATTGCCTTGTCTTTTTCGATTCACATAATGTTCTCTTCGTCTGTTAACTGGCACGGATTATTGACATTTAATGATATAAATAAGCTCAAGGAGAAAATACTAATTGGTTGCGAATACGCTAAAATAACTGAGTGAATCAAATACTGTTTTTTCCTTGCAGTGGTGCTTGGTGTCCAAGGTATGTATTTTATTATTTGTCAGAGCGAAATTAAAATATGTATTGTAACATGGCGAAGATAAGATTGTGTTTCACATTTTTCAGTGGAGTGTATTTCAAATAAGTTTTGGAAAAAGGACTGATAGTTAATTAAATAATTAAATCAATATTTTAGATTATGCTATATTAGCATATAACTATGTCAATTTTTATTGTTTGCTATATTAGCATGTATGTATATTAGGCACATGCCATTTAATTGATGAAATATCTTTGCATGAAACTTTATGCATTCTATGATACTCTTAACTAAGATAACTGTTAAACTGTGATATAACCTTACATTGTATATATGTCGATTGCATCAATATGTATGTAACTTTTATCTAGCACATGTATTTTACTAGCAAGATTACCATGTTTATTTATATATCGATTGCGTAAACATGTTATTTTAGAATCCGCTTTTAGAAAAAGAACTTTAATGCTTGTTTACAAGCTGAATTCAATCAATTATCGATGTTTTACAATGTCATATTTCACCTTGGTAAACTTCTAGCTGTTTTCCACCTTCTCGATTAGGAAGAATGCTCTAACATTCCTTTTGTATTAAACCAGAGGTTCCAGATTCGACCCCTAGCGGAGGCACTAAAAACAATGACCTCTGTTGGTTATATATCAAATTATACTAGATGGTTTAGTTATTAGTTTTTGCATAAACTGTTTAATTTTTCATAAATCAATTATAGTATACAGTAATAAATATGACATGATTGATGTTTTTACTGTATTTCGCTTTATGAGACGCAATTTTACACTTAGTGTTTAAAGATGTGAATCAACACTTAATAAAGCTAAATAAGTACTATATTGTTGAGGAAAATAAATGATATTTTAACGGATTTTTAGAAGGTAATTTATGACTTTAATTACTTCGGTTTATTAATATTTGTTTTAATGGAAAGCAGACATAGTACCATGGCAAACGAGCGCAAATAGAAGTAAGACTTAAGGATACCAATCATAAGTGTACAAGAAAAATCATGTTATTTTTTAAACACGACTACGTATTATTTCAATTTATATTTTTGATGTATTTTGAATTATGAAAACTGAATTTGAAAGTAAGATATTAGATGTTTGGAGTAAGTTAAATTCTGAAGACAGTTGTGTTATCGGGAAATGATAGAAAATTAAATTATTATCAAACTTAGAATGTGAGTTTTACAAGAATTATAAGAACAGCTAATTTCATCTCCCAAGTGATGTCTTCAACCATATTTAACAAAAACATAGTAGCAGCGCGATATTGAGCATGCATTTCATTTTCAATTCAATCTGAATATAATACATAATTAAGAAAGCGTTTCATTAAGAAAAGTTACAGAAAAATGCAAATATAAATTCTTTCAGCTTTTGATAAAATGTGAACAATACTGAATAAAATGTATTTAATTTGAGCAATACGAAATGAAATAATTACTTATGTACACGTGTAAAGTTGAGTAACGGCCTGCATCATACTTCTTGTTGCATGTGAACGCGTGTGTGTGTGCATATGCAGGTGTGCTTTTCATTTGAGTCTATGAGATATACTAAGTAGTGCCTCCCGCTGGGACCTCATAACAATGCTTGTTTTAACATTCCACTTTGTTATGAATTTGATATAACGGTTATGTGTTTAAGCGTGACGTGATACAATATGTGTGCTGCGTTCTTATCAAAAAATGTCGTTAAACAGTTATTAAGCTAATCCTCTTTTGAACAACTGGGCCCTGTTCATTAAGATAATACAGAACGAATATTGCTTAGTCTGCAATGAGAAATTATGGCCGATGCCTTCATAAAAATAGTTTACTGATATTATAACATGTCAATCTTTTGTAACCAAACAGAATGATAGGAAATTGCTACTTATCTGATGTTCATTTATATACAGATATCCTGTGGAGCTATTCTTTCCCCTTTTGTTAGCTGTTGCAATTCACGCCTGTCTTACATCATGATGGTAAGGGCCAGTCGAAAACATAAAAAATAATAATATGACGTTCCTGTAACTTGTATAAACAGATCAAATGAGCTTGACATGTTATAAGCATCATGTGCAGAATACGCTATCATGTATCCTTCTTACAAACATTATTCTTTTATTTAATATGAGACTGCTAAATGACTTAGCTATTTCTCAATCGGATAGCTAAACTTAACGTCAAATTGATCTTACTTAGGAAGACTAAATCAACGTGTAAGTACTTGAATCCGTTGTTATTTTTGTTGAAGCAAGATATCAAATATTGCTTTTAAGAGAAAGCTGATTTACGTCACATATGATGTTTTGATGTAAAACGAGAGACGTAAACACTTTTGAGGTGATTTACACTTTAGTAGGGTTGCGTTCGAATCTTACACTAAATTTGTATTTTGTATAAACCATTTTGTTATCCATACCGGTAACAGTCCAGTCAAGAACTTTGTTGGTATCCATTTTGTTATAACAGGATGTAACTGTGTATATACTTGTAACAATAAATAACACTATGTCCGTCTGTGTAAAGGTTTACAATTGAAATGTTTATCCTGTTGTAAAAAAAAAAAGCTGCTTTAAATATGTTGTGGTCGATTTAGAATTACATTCATTTCAACTCAAACGATTTCAATGGCTGTAGTGTTTTCACCAGATGCAAATGTATATTCAAATTGTGATATAAATTCGTAATCGTGTACCAACTGAACGAATCATTGTGCCGATGAACAGTCTTTCAACTAAATATTAGTTTATCACGTGTTTGTGATAGGCATATATCCTTCTAACACATGCGCATGTGATAGGACTAGTTCGTTCTTGATCATAGGTGTGTGGTATAGTTATTAAATTTAACACATGTGCTTATTAGATGTACCATGTACGTGATTCCAACACATGTCATTTGCATATTTCATTCTATCACATTTGTATCATATACCTAGTTCATTCTAAAGGGTGACACAACTATTTTATTCTAGCATGTGTGTGTGAATGGTCTTGTTCATTCTTTTATTTAGGTGTGATATGCCTTGTTCATGTTAACACACGTACTTTTATTGCACTAGTTCGTTCTTATATATGAGTGCGACAGACATCGTTCATCATAACCAATGAGTGTAATTGGACTATTTGATTAAAATGTGTGTGTGACAGGATTCGTTCATTATAGTCAATGGACACTGTAACGTCACTGTACCCAAAACGGGACACTTGTGGGAAAACGGCCTAAAACTGCCATGCAATGCAAAGAAGTACTTTTATACATGCAGGTTTCACTTGATGATATTTTTCTGACAATTTAACTGTATGTACGCTTTATTGTCTAGTATTTATCGTTACATGGACAAATTAAAGGTAAGCATAATGACTAAAACAAAACTTTCGTAAATGAAGTGCCGTACGACTCTATTTATTTTGATATCATTTTCAAAAGGTTTTTTTATCAAAGCTAATGCTAGTTTGGAGAACAAATTTAATCAGAAACCCGTTTGACACAATACCAAAGTGTCCCTTTTAGGATACAGTAACACGTGTTCAAGGGCCTACGTGATCCTGATAGTATTTCACTTTGTAGTGCCGTGGACACATGCAACGATCCCGATGCGAGTCTCAACAAACAGACCTCCATTTAGCACAGAGTCATATCCCGCATCCATTCATCCAACCAAAACTCAAGTTGGTGGAACAATGAGTGGCCTCTCACTTTCAATTCCTCCTATGGGACCACCTAGGACTAATGGAGGACATGAACACTCTCAGGATTATTCCAGCATGCATCCCTCATATGACAGCCCACCTAAGACTAAAGGAGGACATGAACACTCCCAGGACATGTCTACCTCATATGACAGACCACCTAAGTCTAAAGGAGGACATGAACACTCCCCGGACATGTCTCCCTCATATGACAAACCACCTAAGACTAAATGAGGACATGGGCATTCCATGGATTGTTCCAACCTGTCTCCCTCAAATGAAAAGGAACCTAAGACTAAAGGAGGACGTGGGCATTCCAAAGATTGTTCCAACATGTCTTCCTCATATGACAGACCACCTAAGTCTAAAGGAGGACATGAACACTCCCAGGACATGTCTGCCTCATATGACAAACCACCTAAGACTAAAGGAGGACATGGGCATTCCATGGATTGTTCCAACCTGTCTCCCTCAAATGACAAGGAACCTAAGACTAAAGGAGGACGTGGGCATTCCAAAGATTGTTCCAACATGTCTTCCTCATATGACAGACCACCTAAGACTAAAGGAGGACATGAACACTCCCAGGACATGTATCCCTCATATGACAGTCCACCTAAGACTAAAGGGGGACATGGGCATTCCCAGGATTGGGCCAACATTTCTCCCTCATATGACAAACCACCTAAGACTCAAGGAGGACATGAACACTCCCAGGACATGTCTCCTTCATATGACAGACCACCTAAGACTAAAGGAGGGCATGAACACTCCCAGGACATGTCTCCCTCATATGACAGACCACCTAAGACTAAAGGGGGACATGGGCATTCCCAGGATTGTTCCAACATTTCTCCCTCATATGACAAACCACCTAAGACTAAAGGAGGACATGAACACTCCCAGGACATGTCTACCTCATATGACAGACTACCTAAGACTAAAGGAGGTCATGAACACTCCCAGGTCATGTCTCCCTCATATTACAGACCACCTAAGACTAAACGAGGGCGTGGGCATTCCCAGGATTGTTCCAACATCTCTCCCTCATATGACAAGCCACCTAAGACTAAACGAGGGCGTGGGCATTCCCAGCATTATTCCAACATGTCCTCCTTTAGTCCTAGGAAGGCTGTCATATGAGGGAGAAATGACAGACCACCTAAGACTAAAGGAGGACGTGGGCATTCCCAGGATTATTCCAACATTTCTCCCTCATATGACAGACCACCTAGGACTAAAGGAGGACATGAACACACCCAGGATTATTCCAACACGTCTCCCTCATATGACAGACCACCTAAGACTAAAGGATGACATGAACACTCCCAGGACATGTCTACCTCATATGACAGACCACCTAGGACTAAAGGAGGACATGGACATTCCCAGGATAGAACTGCATCTATTATTCAAGGAACTACTGGACATGCACATGTCTCTAGTGTGATAGTAACAACGTTTTCTCCAACAGAAACGTTTAAATACAAATGCCCGAAAAGCTGTGTGTATTGTGGGGTTGCTAAAAAGAAATGTATGGCTTTAGATGAATATGGAGACATTTTATCTACGTTTACTGCAGAACAAGTGTGGTTAACTGCCTTTCAACAGTTCAAAGAGATGGGTAGTAAGTATAAATTAACACAATGCATTATGAAATATCAAGAACTTAAATTTGGCAAGTTCGACATCTATGCCATAGCTGTTTAATGTAGCATATTGTATGATAAAAAAGAAATTGTACTATTATGGGCCTTTTGGATGGTGAAAATGATGTGATATGAAACTAATTGCAAAGACCGGTCAATATAACTGTTTAAGGTTGATATCACCACATATTTACGACAGCCAAAAGCCATAACAGTATTTCATACATCGTTAATACAGAGAAGAACAAAATTACTTTCAATTGAATTGTTTAAATGATAGATTGCCATATTATATTTAATGCAGGTTCTAAGTAGTACCGCTCGGCTAGGTGAAACAGTAATGTTGATCAATACTGTATTTTTTTATGTCAAAAGATAACCAAAATAAAACTATGAACTTTTGCAAATGTGTATAATCATATAAACTGTTTTTTAGGCAAGTATAGGCCAGTTTTATTGTAGATATCATGATCCTATTGAGAACTATTCTATTCTACCTCTATATTGTTAATGTACTTTGTTGGTTTCGTTGTCACCTTCTCGGCTCTTAGTTTGAGAAGTTGGCATTCCTAAGACTTGATCTAGAGTCATCGATGTGGCAAAAATCACTTACCTTTTGGGAACACCTGGTCTTATTATTCTTTAACTATTCAAAGGGTCACCGTGATCATAATTTGTCGCAGGTTTATCAATGGAGGTCGTATTACTGTTTTGTTTACAATATCCAGTTTTGGTAAAGGGAAGTAACGTCTCTATAGCAAGCCATACTTCCCAATTTAAGAGTCAAGTAAAGTAGAAATTTTAAGTTGAGTTTATGACGCCCTTGACATTACTACAAACAAGGCACAAACATATATCATTAAATATAATCTGGAAAACAACTGTTTAATCAGGAAATCTTTTAACAAAGATAATATGATTATGATTGTATTGCACAGATAGCATTTGTTGATTCTAAAAGTTATATTAAAACATCTTAGTAGTGATGTACTCAATATCAAAGATAGATGACTGTATTGCTTGTTGTCCGCCTCAGGATCTTATGAAAACAACAACAAAAATACCATCCAGATATAGACGACATTTATGAATTTCATTAAAATATTCCCTGAGCAACAACATTTTTACTTTTTAAAGATTAAAAAATGCTTGCCCAAATCACTTCTTCTGCCCAACTTGGTACGTAACATACAATGGTAAACAATAATCTTTTGAAATGTGTTTCAGCGTTCAAAATTGACATCCAGATAGCTACATGTGATGGATTTAAGTCGTTCTTCGGAGCCTTCGCTGTACTTACCACAGCTGTCAAGACGAATTTGGCAAACTTCCTGGCCGATCCCTCTATCGTTACAGCCGCTCAAATTGAACAGTTTCCAGGTGAAATATTTTCAATGTTAAAGGTTAGTAGTATAATACTTAAGTAATTCTAGTCAAAGATAGAAACACAAAGTTAATTGTATATAAGGTTGGGTTATCACAGGATTATGACAGGGTATATACAATGTTAGTTTCCTTTCTTTTTTTGTGAAATTGGTGTAGTAACAAAAGGGAGAAATTTTGTATTAAGAGAAAAATTATTCTTTTTATTGATATTTTCAATCCTTAGACCGATATCAAAAACTATCAAAATCATATTTTGCGTCATTTTAGTCTGTAAACAGAAACAAACCTTACCTGTGTAGCTAACAACAAAACCTATTAATTTTCGTATGAAAAGCATTTTTTTACCACAATATTGACTACTTGGATGTTTTTGCCGATACAGCATTGGTTTTATATAGTCTTGTCCTGTTTCTTCATTTAATACATTTGTAAAATGCATCCTTACTCTATGACCTAACTGTAATCATAGAACTTGTTATGCTTTGCACCTAAGATATATGTATAATACATATGAAAATAAGGCTGACCTCGTTATCGATCCATTACCAGGTAAATCTAGTGACCCCGTTGTAACACCCTCTGTCTTTCTTTCTGTCTGTTCTTTCCTTTTGGTGCTGTCCTCCTAGGCGCAAGTCTAAGCTATTGCGAGGAAGTTAATCCCTTTTAAATACATGTTTATCTTTTCTATAGTGGTCATCATTTTCTGAATGCAACCTCTAGCACGTCGTTGTTTACAAAATATTAAAGATTTGTTCACTCTGTCATATGTTGTTGGTGACTTGTATACTTTCTTGGGTTTTATGGAATATATCAGGACGGCTACTACATGGTACAGGAAACGCTTACCCTGCTGGAACATTTGGTTTCGCCTTTTGTTTTGGTGACATTTCACTTCAATTGTTATTTCCATGTATCGAAGTTCAGATTACTTCTTTAGTATAAACGATGTGATACGTTTCTTTGCTTTATATAAATACTTGTGAATGATATTATAGTTATTAGATATCTCATAAAGCTCAACTCAATTAAAGTACTTTTCTCGTAGGTTTCTGATAGGTACGACATCATGTTATATCATTGGCTTGGTTTGAAAACCTCATTGTGTTACAGTAATTAGTAATACTCCGTTAGGGATATATGCTTTCAGTTTATAATTCACCAATTCAACAGATAATAGTTAATTCTATCACCAGCATATCACCAAAAGATTAAATGCATCCCGCAATATACTTTCATGTGACCAAGCATTTTTTAGTTTGTTTGTTTGGCGGCTGTGGTCATTTAGGGCCATGGTGATTTATTTATTTATCTTATCATGAATGTGTTTAAAACCGGAACATTCGATTAAAAAATGTTAGACTGTAAATGAAGTGTCACATGCGTGGCATGAAAGTGGATTTTCCCGTTTTAAAAGGTACGAATTTTGGTAATTTTATGAACTTAAAGCCTTCATAGCAGGTTCTTTAAAAAAAATCAATATCTTTAATTTGTTTGTTACACGAACTAGTATTAATTATTTTATTGAAGAAACATATAACATTTTCAATAATAGATCTTTATGCTTTATTGATAACTGAGCATTCTGCTCTTATGGCATTAACATATTTTCTATACAAAAAGCACAAGAAAAGTAGTATCCAATTTTTACTATTATTTTGGACAGTCTGAAGTTCAAACACGCGTGTTCAGCGGTATGACATTAGCACAGAAGGGGGTTGTTTGTAACGGATGGAAATCTAAGGATTGCTTGACCAAAATCGTCATCAAAGACTTATTGAGTTGCGTGAATATTCTTGAGGTAAGTACTTGTAAGTATTCGTTAGAAATATATAGAGTGTTGATAACATACTGCCACTTTCTTGTGTATTAAATGATTTTAGAACTTTTCCTCCAGTCAATATGTTGTGTTGATACGGCAACTTTATATCCGTGAGACCCAGAAGAATTATTTTCATGATTTGTATAAACAAAGTGTTGCATTGACAGAGTAACGGAGTGACTTTGACAACTGACGAGAAGAAAAAAATTGTCGATACGGATTCGTACGATACCTGGTCCGAAGATGAGTGGATTACGGCAGCACAACAGTTCCCAGAGGTGTTAAATAAGGCGCAATACATGAGTATGCCTATTACTGTGATGGTAGAAACGTAAGTTTGAACTGAATTAAAAAAAAAGCATGATTTAATGTCATTTTAATAATTAAACAGGCATTTATTTTTATTTTGGAAGCTTGTATTTAGAAACACTCTGACTTTTTATTCTACACATGCTGACGCTTGTTATTTTGTGCTATTTACTCTGTAATGTAAAAACGTGAATTCAGAGCAACAAGGACCTTTGCAAATGAACAACAGGTAACTTTAACAAAACTATACAGTATCACTTACCGTGTATACAGTATAAACCTGGGATAACCTTGTTTTTGATGTCTTATGACATTAGGGCTACGGTATCTTTGAGAACAAATACAATAAGGTATGAACGATTATTAATAGTTTAGACAATAAGCAGTGGTTTCCCAAGCTAAAAGTATTAATTTTAAAATAATTCTTGTAATACCTATGGCGAATACACATGCATACTGATGAGTTCTTTCTTTCTCTTAATCAGGTAATCTATCAATAATCACAACTTTTGTGATATTATTAGTTCAGCCTCTTTTTGCAGTTTTCATATATGTTGAGGTTAAGCTAAATAGTCTTGTTCTATGCCACTATCAGCTTGGCCGTTTTGTTTCTAGCATGGTAAATATCAAAGCAATCGCCAAAGAACTTCAGAAAGGTGCAATTTTTGCCATCAAGAAACGTTTAAAGGAGTATATGTTGAGTCAAATGCTGAATGTAACGTCGGCCACACAGAGAGACTGGGTGGATCTGATGAAAGAATTCGGTGCTGAACCAAAGCTATTCAGTGACGTCCTAGGAGTAGCGGCAGTATGTATGATCGACAGACTTACTTATTTCGCTTAAAGTCGATTTGTGAGATTGTAAACAAAATTTAACCAACTTTAACAATTTTAATATGAAATTACTATTGACATTAATGTCAACGGTAATGAAGAAATGGGGTGTTTGGACCAGTTTTGTGTTAACAGTCGTAATTGAGGAAATATTGACTTGACATATCAAAACTCAATATTATTATCAATAATTTGATTTAATAAACTTGTCGATTGAAACGAAATGATATTAAAAAAATTGACAATCATTTGGATGTCGTTCACAATCTCAGCATTTAAGAGACAATTTTTATTTATTCACTTATTTACTTGTCAATGGGCTTCAATGTCTCGATGTTACAATAATATTCATGATTTGTTTGTGATACATAGAGTTTCACCAAGGAGTGATGGTTGGTTTTCATGTTAACTCTCGTAATTTAATTCTTAAATTGTATAAAGGCACCAGGTTTACCGAGTGACTTTTACATTTTGAAAATGAACATCGAGAGTTAGATAAACATGATAATCAATCATCTCGAGTTAGGGAACTCTTTTTCTTTTACAACGTTTAGAAATGATATATAGAAAACAAAAACCATAAGGTTTCTTTAGGATAAATTATGCCCGTTTCCGATCGGTAAAACAATGACCATGAACTATGACGTTACAACAGAAGGTGAAGTCGCAAAGCGTTGCTACATGACGTCATAATTAGACGACTGACGAATGCAATAACGTCCATGGTTTTACCCACTAGTGGGTAATCAAAATAGTGTACCACCTCCTAGCAGAATTATCGAATGAGTCTGGGGGAATAACTTATAGGGTTTTGGGAGATAAGATGACCCATAATAGGCTAGATCAATAAACAATTCTTTCAAATGGCAGCATCATTTAGAAAGTAAAATGTAACAACAATTATAAGCCATAACAAATAGAACAATTTATATATTTTGAAATTGAATATTCTAGATATATCAATGCATCGTTTACCTTTCCAGAAACATTATGATTCATTTTATTAGTTCATCTCATTTATTCATATTTTGATTAATATTGCTCCTTTTCGCAGACTAATAAGAATATTTAATGTTTCCTGAGTTACCTGACTTTCTATTCATTTTTGTTTTTCATCTTTTTCCTAAAAGAGTTTGTCACAGCTTGATATGGCGAAAGTGACCAAAGAGTATCAAGTAAAATTTCTGGAAGAAAACAAAGATGATATTGACATGTCAGCACTGTCTAGTTCGCAAATCATCGGGTAAGTACCCTTTTTCGCTTGGCCATTATATAGAGATTGCTAATATTTCTAATTATTGTAGCTTGTTATATAGAGATTGATTAGATTATATATAACATTTATCTTATCACATAGAACTTGTCAGGTTTGTAAACTGGGAAAGAAACTTTCTCGTGTGGAAATGTTCCCGTTATAACACAAATCGCTGGACATTTTGCAATGGCAATGGTTTAAAATATTTTACAGTCTATTAGTTGATATTTGCCTCTTTTCATTTTCGCAAATGTAATCAACGCGAAAAAATCGAATATTTCCACATCGAAAAAATCTTTTAAAGTTTTCTATAGTTAAATGCATAGCCATGGTCTGAAAAGAATTTTCTAGTTATTTAATACACGATACAATTCCAGTATTCAAGAAGTCACGAAATTCCTATAAATGTCATTCATGAAATATAATCCAAAAAGCGAGAACAGGGATTCTACACTTATCATGAGCACGTTGTCTAGATGAAACTTCAGTCGAACAAACTTCCATCCGTCAGATTATTTAATTAACTAAGGTTTATTATGTTTCTACCTGCTGAGGAACTCTTTACGTCAAGGTACTACATTGTAGTAAACCATATCATTTAGGACTTGAAAGTGTCCGTCCTTTATCCACGCATTGAAATATCATAGCACTGGTATTTTTTCAATCCATTACAATGGAAATACTTTGACTATCGAACTCCAGGTGTTGTTCAGTAAAATTCACTTCATATCAAGAAAAACTGATAAAAACCTTAAACCAATCTGTGCGGATAAAGAAACTGCTATTCCGTCATTAAACATGCATTTGAAAAAAACTTTGGGTTGACATTCCCGGTTATCATAGTGGTTATATTGTAGGCCTACATGTACACCTGGTTCAGGAATATCGCTTTATGATTGGCAGATTCTCTCAGACAAACGTCGACCTTTTTCACTGTGCTTGAATAAATGTGTAGTTTCAACTTATCCTCAATTACAAAAAACATCCATAGATAGTATATGTAATATCATGTCTTTAGTCATACATTATTTACAAAATCGCTTTGTTGAGAACATTTTATATAACATAGTCATATCAGGTTATTGGAATCCTGAATTTGTTTTTTCAATATGTTTATTAACCTTATTGTAGAATATTTTCTGAGTAATTTAAAGGGATTTATTTAATATGCTTACTAACCTTAATGTAGACAATTTTTATGGATTTAAAAGGAGATATATACACTGCCTTCTTTATATATTTTTGTCTTGAGCAATAACTCCCAGCTCCAAGTTCCGTGTTTTAATTTGTTAACCATACACTGTGGGTCTTTTTCACTCCTTTAGACTGATTTCGGGGCTAACAGAAAGCGACATGTTGCTGTTAAATGTTGCTGCGTTAGAAACGGCTGCTCCTGCGATATTTCTACTAGAAATCGATCCGTATCAGGTAATGTTAACATCTTTTTATATACAGTAATGGTTTTCCATTGAATAGCATACTAAATTTTCACATGTATACGGGTTACTGATATTTTTTCCTAGTGGTGAGCGTGAGTGAAAAAATCAGTGTTTTCTACCATATCAATGGAATATAAATGGTATCCAACGGGAAAAACGATGCATTTCCTATATTGTTACATTTTAAAGAGAGCAACGAAATATTATGGCAAAATATCACAGCATATACTGAGTGCAGAATTAAGTACCGGAAACTTTGGCGACATATATCATATATATATCATCAGCTAAAAATATATTTATTTCGTATTTCTTAACTGAAATGAAGATATTATTTTTTCATCAAACTAATCATTCCTGATATTGTACTAGTAAAATCTAATAAATACGTATACTCAAAGTGTTTGAGACACGACTGCTAAAAATCTTATATTGGTCGCTAATCCGATACAATGATATATATAGTTGTCGAAACTGCGTCTCTCGTGTCGCCCGTATGAATGACACACAGGATAACCGTATTTCTGTATCAATTCTGTGAAAACAATCCTGGATATGTTTTCAAAATATGATATTCCACTATAATAACCCAAATCAGATATAAACAGATCCTCCTCACGCTCTTTTAAAGAAAATTACATGTTTACGGCTGTAATAAGTACTTCATAGCTACACTATATCAGTTAACACGTCGACAAATAGTATAAACCTTTTTTTAATTCATTTACAGGTGTCAAATTATTACCTTGATCATTTCTTCTTTTGAGATTACGTCTATGCCCGCGAATTAGCGAAAATACATTGTACTATAACCAGCAAAAAGTAGATTGATCGTTGTTGTGATATATAATGCAACGGCATTAATCGTTGTAATGTGGCAATATATCTTACCAAAATACAACGGTAAAGGATATTTTAAGATTTAAAATAATACAACACTACAGTGCAAGATACTACAGCAATTGCAAAAGTACGACGATATTAACAGAACAACAGCTTTAATGTTATGGACAAAAAAATACATTATAGGATAAATAACAAAAACAACTGACCTAAAATCAGTTGTATAAATACAACATCTTCACCACATTACTAACTAAAATAAAGTGCTGTAAACACAATATCTTAAAATCTAACCGAGTCACTTTGTGATGATATCATTTTCAATCAACAGATGAGAAAGATTCTGAATGTGTTCAGAACGAACTTACCTAGCTACTTCAATCCTTCTTCATTTGATGCCGCAAAAATGGCGGTTTTCGCGCCAGTGATGGGATACCTCTCTGATGCTGAGTTCGAATCGATCCAGGATTCAGTGTTACTATCGGGTATGAGCAACGTCGCCAGCTTTGGAAAAACTTCTCGGAAAACCGTAAGAGAAATTCCTAAAACATATTTAAAGTAAAACTGCTTGAAATAGGAGTAATAAATATCATTGAATTGTTTCTATTGAAAGATTTAATTTTACATACATTGCAAATTGAATTATTTTGATTAATAAAAAAAGAATTAGCTGCAACAGCAGATCTCCATTGCTCAAAACTTAAATACTTTTTCAGCAATTTTGGTATGCAGAACATAGTTTTCAAAGATAAACTCTACAAGCACATGTTGTGAAATAGCAATCGAATATACTATGATTTGTTTTCATTTGTGATAGGCCAGCAAGATGATGAAGGCGTTAATCGATAGCAGTGGTTCCAATGTAAGTTTTGTTTTTCCTTAAAATAATGTTTACTTTAAGTGGATATTGATACGTACAATAAATTAGTTTGTTATCTACTATGTTTTACTAAGTTAAGAAACTTTAGACACTATCTAATGATCAGACAATGTATAAATAAAGCTTCGTATTCGAAATGTTTCTGAAGTTAGTGAAATGTTGTGAGCCGATAGCGTCCGGCCACATGTGTTCTGTACGATAGTGTCCGGCACAGGCTACATATGTGTTCTGTGCGAGAGCGTCAAGCACTGGCTACATATGTGTTCTGTACGAGAGTGTCCGGCACGGCTACATATGTGTTCTGTACGATGGCGTCCGGCACGGCTACATATGTGTTCTGTACGATGGCGTTCGGCACTGGCTACATATGTGAACTGTGCGATAGCGTCCGACACTGGAAACATGTGTTCTGAGTTGATAGCGTCCGGCACTGGAAATATGTTTTCTGAGTTGATAGCATCTGACACTGGAAATATGTGTTTTGAGTCGATAGCGTCCGACACTGGAAACATGTGTTATGAGTTGATAGCGTCCGACACTGGAAATATGTGTTTTGAGTCGATAGCGTCCGACAATGAAAACATATGTTCTGAGTTGATAGCGTCCGACACTGGAAACATGTGTTCTGGGTTGATAGCGTCCGACGTTGGAAACATGTGTTCTGGGTTGATAGCGTCCGATACTGGAAACATGTGTTATGAGTTGATAGCGCCCGACACTGAAAACATATGTTCTGGGTTGATAGCGTCCGATACTGGAAACATGTGTTTTGATTTGATAGCGCCCGACACTGAAAACATGTGTTCTGGGTTGATAGCGTCCGATACTGGAAACATGTGTTTTGATTTGATAGCGCCCGACACTGGAAACATATGTTCTGAGTTGATGGCGTCCGACACTGGATATTTGTGTTTTGAGTATATAGCGTCCGACAATGTAAACATATGTTCTGAGTTGATAGCGTCCGACACTGGAAACATGTGTTCTGAGTTGATAGCGTTCGACACTGAAAATATGTGTTCTGAGTTGAAAGCGTCCGACACTGGAAACATTTGGTCTGAGTCGATAGCGTCCGACACTAGAAACATGTGTTCTGAGCCGATAGCGTCCGACACTGGAAGCATGTGTTCTGAGTTGATAGCGTCCGACACCGGAAACATGTGTTCTGAGTTGATAGCGTCCGCCACTGGAAACATGTGTTCTGAGTTGATAGCGTTCGACACTGAAAATATGGGTTCTGAGTTGAAAGCGTCCGACACTGGAAACATTTGGTCTGAGTCGATAGCGTCCGACACTGGAAACATATGTTCTGAGTTGATAGCGTCCGACACTGAAAACATGTGTTCTGAGTCGATAGCGTCCGACACTGGAAACATGTGTTATGAGTTGATAGCGTCCGACACTGGAAACATGCGTTCTGAGCCGATAGCGTCCGACACTGGAAACATGGGTTCTGAGTCAATAGCGTCCGACACTGGAAACATGTGTTCTGAGCTGATAGCGTCCGACACTGGAAACATATGTTCTGAGTCGATAGCTTCCGACACTGGAAACATGTGTTCTTAGTTGATAGCGTCCGACACTGGAAACATTTGTTCTGAGTTAATAGCGTCCGACACTGGAAATATGTGTTCTGAGTCGATAGCGTCCGACACTGAAAACATGTGTTCTGGGTTGATAGCGTCCGACACTGGAAACATTTGGTCTGAGTCGATAGCGTCTGACACTAGAAACATGTGTTCTGAGCCGATAGCGTACGACACTGGAAATATGTGTTCTGAGTCGATAGCGTCCGAAACTGAAAACATGTGTTCTGAGTTGATAGCGTCCGACACTGAAAACATGTGTTCTGAGTCGATAGCGTCCGACACTGGAAACATATGTTCTGAGTCGATAGCTTCCGACACTGGAAACATGTGTTCTTAGATGATAGCGTCCGACACTGGAAACATGTGTTCTGAGTTGATAGCGTCCGACACTGGAAACATGTGTTCTGAGCCTATTGCATTCGACACTGACTACATATGTATATTTTGCCGATAGTGTCTATCATAGGTCATATGTTATCACCCTTATGTCATTTCCACCTCTTCAATACAAGACGAAAAAGTTAAATAAGATGAAATGCTGTATTTTTTTCTACCGCAGGGAGCTTTGTCCAGCAACGACATAAAAACCTTAGGAGTAAATGTCGTACTTGATAGTCTAGAGGTTGATGGGATATCAAAAGTACCCGCTGCATCCTTTACCAAAGATATTATCGCAGACATAGAAAAGGCCAGCGATGAATTAGACATGTCTGCAGCTGTAAAAAGTAAATTATTCGAAAAGGTATAGTGTTCCCCGACGTTTCAATAATGAGATTTTTGTAAGGTGTTATTATGTATCAAAATATAGTTGAACGTAATTTTAAATTCTAATCAAGATTTTTTAATGTTAAAGGGCGATAACGCAGGGTTCGACAATTTTAGTCTCTTTTGTCAAGTTACTTACCCCTACGTTCTAGAACTTTGGTATCACAAAAACACAATATAAAAACAATACTTTTATATTATTGTCTAATGTAATATAAAATAGATATTGAAATTATGAAATGTAATTCATCATCGTCGAAGTTACCTTTGTTGTTTGTTACGTCGTTATATTGATGTGTTATTTTGAAGATGGTGGAAGGAGCTGGTCTTACGGCAGTACTTGAATCACCAAGCCTGGCTAGAGAAGTACCTATCAGTTTACTTCTTGACGGGATATCTTCAATGACTGATATTGCCGGAGAAAACACAAAAATCGATATTGTAGTTACAATAAAACAGGTGCGTGTATCCTATTATTCTGTCCGCATCATTTATACAATGATTGTGAAATAATGAAATTAAGAACCAAATATAGACTTTAAATGTTTACATGCCATTTCAGAAACAACACTCAGCCAGACAGTATAACTTAAACTTAAGTTAATTTACCAAGTCACAAACCATACTTAGACAGGTAGTATTACATCATCACTAATTTATCAAAATGTCATAAACCTCATTCAACCAAGCAACAAAACATCAGGTCCAGTGCACAAACAACACCCAGCCAGGCAGTGCAACATCGACTCAAGCTTACTTGCCAAGTCAGAGACCATACTCCATACCCATGCATCAACACCTCTCGTTTACTTACAGTTGTCCGAACGTCACCAAGCTAGACAACATAACATCAATCCAGTTTATCAACGATGTCTTACGTTACACTAAGCTGGCCACTACAACTTTAACTCAATTTCGATTTTTAAATACAAGAATAGGAAACTTGTTTTCCATTATAAGGAGTAAGGGAACTGGTTTCTTAACTCAGGCGATCGTGAATCAGTTTATAGCAACAGAAGCTAGGATTTACACTTTCAATATTAGAAGCTAGGTAATGAAGTCACACATCAGGAGCTAGGAAATAGACTTTCAATATTAGAAGCTAGGTAATGAAGTCACACATCAGGAGCTAGGAAATAGACTTTCAATATTAGAAGCTAGGTAATGAAGTCACACATCAGGAGCTAGGAAATAGACTTTCAATATTAGAAGCTAGGTAATGAAGTCACACATCAGGAGCTAGGAAATAGACTTTCAATATTAGAAGCTAGGTAATGAAGTCACACATCAGGAGCTAGGAAATAGACTTTCAATATTAGAAGCTAGGTAATGTAGTCACACAAGAGGAGCTAGGAAATAGACTTTCAATATTAGAAGCTAGGTAATGAAGTCACACATCAGGAGTAACTAAATATGTTTCTTACATGATGAGGTTGATCTTCAGTTCCTAATCTCAGAAGATCGGGAATCATTTTCTTACATAAGGAGTCATGTAAAGGGTTTTATGACGGGAGTTCAGGCATCAAAGTATATTGAATATTCATATAATATCAGGAAAGCTATTACTTAAACGATGTGACACCATGACAGAAAAGACCATCAAAATCATAGACCTGGGGGCCGTAACTGAGAGTTTAACTAGTATAAACAAAAGAAAAATATCTTTTCTAGAACTGCTAGAACTACAAATGACCGCAGATCATGAAATGTCTACCTTTTACAGATCTTTAATTTATCTGTTTTCTTTTTGTTAGATATGTGTATCTTCTTATATAATGCAGGCTAGGTTCCTGAAAGAGGAGATGGATAAACTGTCGGTGACGTTAACGTTGCAGAGGATCAACAACATCCTCCCATACACATGTGCACTCACAAATGAACAGATAAATGGCATTGAAAAGGACAGTTTCTATTTTGATATCCTTAACAAATTGACCGAAAGTTCATGTGTCACCATCGATATGGTCAGTTCAAATATTTATTTTTAAATTATCTCGTTTTTGTTTGTTTGTGTGTTGTTTTAAAAAAAATCTACAAACCATGGCTTTGCAAAACAATGTGAAATGAACGGAACATAATAAAGTTTATATTTACGGAATTAAAACATGCACATGTGATTCTCTGTAAACACCGTTACCTTAAACAACCTGATAAATGTTTAACCTTACAATTTTGTTTTAAATTATACGTCCTCACTTTCCGTTCTTTCAGATTTCTTTTCTACACAACCTCATCAAAGAGTATCTTTCTTTTGATTCTACGTCGGCTGCGGACCTTCAAGCAATAACCACCACATCGACCTTAGCAAACATGTCTCCTAAAATCATGGCCAAATTTACGTAAGATAAGCTACACACTCAGCTGGTTTAAAATTGATATTGATGATATATTATTTTAGTTCCTTCTTTTGGGGGTCTTTTTTGTACTAAATGTGCCGAATGGAGGTGTAAATGGAGGGGTTAGGAGTGGGTGGATGGGGTATGAAAAGCAGGAGAGACTGGGATAAAATCACAACATTAAGTACGTTATAAATAAATTAAAGTTAAGCAAGTACGGTATGGTCCCTGTAAACTTTAAACGAATGGTGAAAGCATATTTAACTTAAAAAACTCGAATTAAACATCGGTATTGAGATATATAATTTTGATAAAGTAAACTTGAATTTTATTTATTAAAATGATACAGAACTAATTGAGCTCAGTCTGTAATAAGGTTTTAAAACTGAATTCTTAATAAATTAGCTGACTGACATAACAACATAACAATCTGTTTTATAACTGTACAGAACTTATCTAAGGTCATGCGAAGCATTATTTCTCCTTAACTAGCTATTGAGATATATACGACTTATAATAGGGGAAAACCATTAATTTTGCTGATCACGTAATATTTAATACAAATATTAAAAAGGAATGTGTATTTGTATTTTATAGACAGGATGATCTGAACAAGTACGGCTCTGCCATGTGCTTGACAATTGTTGAGCAATTGGGGCTTGCTGATATCAACCTTCTTTCAAAGACAGAACTTCAGGCGAAATACCTCTACAGTATTACCTGTCTTGTAAGTTTAATATTGTAATTTAATATTGTAGGTAAGGTTACGAACTTTGTGAGGCTACATTGGGGTGTAAATATGAATGTTGTGGAGGCAACAGGTTTGAATTTTGTATGCGTGTTCAATGAAGTTGAGTCAAATTTTCAATACATTAGCTTGTAATGACCGGTGTACATTGTATCGATCGATGTTTTTGGTTGTAACAGTCAAATTATATGATTAATATAACAATTTTGTACACAGAGCAAAACTACAGGAACCATAACCGCAGACGACTTGTTATCAATTGGAAACATGGTTTGTGGTATGACCACTACTGATTATGTAAGGCTGGACAATGATGCTTTGGAACAGTACGTGATGTGGATGCAAAGAACATGTCCCATGAGCAATGCTGAGAGACAGGCTTTAGTCAACGCTTTTGTTGCTGCAAAGGGATTGTAAGTGGATTTATAAAAGATATGAAATACATTATTTAGGGCAATTAGCCACCTTTAGATTGTTAACCTAGGAGTATAGACTATCTCCGAAACAGCATTATTAACGTTCGATAAATACTGCTAATGGAATAAATTTAAATAAATTTAACATTATAAATCCGCTTGCAGTAGAACTAAAATTCAAGAAGACCAATTTTAATCAGGTACACTACTTTCCCGATTCATTAAATTAATTTAAAAGTGACAGAAGTTGATAACGTGGTATGTTGTTAGGACATGTTGAAGGTAAGGTAAATCCTAACTCACTTTTTTGTACACACGTCTTGCATGTGCGGATAAAAATCCTAATACAGCTTGTTAAACATCGTGATGATATTCTGTTAAGGTAATAGGATTGTGTCACCATTTCTCAGTAGAGAAAAAAAGTATAGGTTATCAGAATTTTTAGGATTTTAAATCGAAATTTATGTAAAAAGGAGTGAATGTTGAAAAAAAAGACAATTTTTTGCAAAATAATGTCAATAAAAATGATACTGCCATAGATAAGTATTGCATTAATGTATATCAATTTAATAAATGCTGAAATTGTGTAAAATAAATTTTCTATAAACGATAAAAATTTACATTTTATAATAAAACCATATACTCATAGTAATTGCATGTAAGAGTTATCTTTCTTGAAAAACTTCATAGTAGTGAAATAGGTAGCCGGTTTCCTGAAATACAGAAAAATGGACACATGTGACTCATTGATGAAAAACAACTGTATTAATACATGGATTGCTTTGAAATACTTTAATATTGAAAGAGCACACTGTTCTATCAATAATTAACACACAATATTCATTATATTTGATATTTAAGATTAAACATCAGAAAATACAAAAAATGTGATACTGTCTCCCTACATTGGATTTTCAATTAGGGATTTACGTCCTTTTTCCGTTTATCAATACCCTCATTCGACCTTTATATTAATCACTTAATTTCTACCACAATTATATATTTAGTATAATTGCCTTAAATTTGAACAACTTATTTAATATGTTGAGTTGTGGACGAAAATATATTTATTATTTAAAATATTACCGTTCATGTCAATAATCAGCTTCGACCGAGAATCATTGTAAGTATACTTCCGATTTCAAAATGACATTGTATTTTCAGAACGAACAGTATCAAGACGTACGAAATCATAATGCTAGGGACTTTATTCCCCCTCCTGCCGCAGACTGTTATCGATTCTATCACTGTTGTAAGTACATTTCAAGTTGTCGCATTTAAACTACTGTCTACTTCTGTATATCATGTCATGTAAAGTGACGTTGTTAATATAGGCTTGTGGCGCAGAGTCCTTAGAAAACACATTTTTAGCTCTTGAAACTTCATCTCGGCTTCTCTTCTTGCTCCAGTCAAAATATGAATGTCGGGAATATATTCTTAAACTGATGCTTATGTGTCCTTAGTTGCAATTTCAATCATTTTAGGACACTGTACTAGACATAGCAGGACCGATACAAGATGAGTACAATGAAAAGAAGAAGTGTACTAAATCCCGAAAACAGTCAGGAAAATCAAACGAATTTTCTTCGGATGACGAGACCGCATTTGTCAGTGGAGAGCAAAAATTCTACACAAAAATAGCGAAAGCATTAGATACAAAAGCTAATGCTGGAAGTCGCAGACGTAGAAGATCCACAGGTATGATTTTCCTTCTCCAATAGATATTTTGAAATGGTGAACCATTTGTAACGTGCCATCATCTTGGACGAATGACGTATGTGACAAAATTGCTGACGCTACACTGGTTACAATGCATTAAGTGATGGTGACGAATTTAGAAGTTTTGTTTCTTGAACGTATCTCAGTTTGATTTTCATTAAAGTATAAAATGTCATTTATCAATTTGATTATCTGTCACAAAAATAATAAGGTTTGATTCATTATGGCCCTGATGACTGTTACTTAACCTTACAGCCTCACTGACGTGTAGTAACATTCAAGTACTCGGCGCAGCAGGCGTGTCAGCCCTGTCTACAACACAGCTGAGTAGCCTTGCTGATCAGGAGTTCACTAGTTGCATAGAGACACTGGGATCAGTAACGGACTACAGTGACGCACAAAAGACGGCCCTTCTAGACGTCGCCACGAGGAGTAGTGTAAGTGGACATTAATATACGGTAGAATACGGTAAACATCTTTTATATCTTTTAATGTTTGAAATTTTACCAATTCACCAATTATTATCAATTGACTCGACAGTCCTAACAATATGAATCGCAAATTTGATTATGTGTTATTTCGAGTTTTCAGACTACACAGAACCAATGCTTTAAACCGCATATTCCTTTGTGTTGCTAATCAAACTTGTTATTTTAGTAGAACAGTTCGTGCCTGGGTATTCCAATATTTATTGGTGCTTATTTGCCTCAATACTCATTACTTAGATATATTAAGGTTATTAATTTTAATAGAAGAACGACTTTGAAACAAAAATGCGTATTTGATGACGCTGTAGTAAACGATTGAAAAATTATTGATCAGAAAATATATAGAAGAAACTGAACTAATGAAGCTTCAAAACAGATACCTAATATAACATTTTTTAAATATACTTTGTTCTACTGTAATGCCATTTAAACTCAATATCATTGGGAAACAATGGCAAAAGCTACTCGATATAAGATAAGATGAACATATCATGATAATGATCGTTTCAGGTTTTGGGCGCCCCATCCACTTGGTCCACCACCAACGTCTACAATACTGGTGTGATATGTCAGGCCCTGACAGAGGCCCAGATCGGTACCCTCACTCTAGACCTGGACGCCGTCAGTCGACTCGGACAGTTCGATGGTTGGGATAGTCTTAAGGTCAGGGTCTAGTTTGATTTAATGTAGGGCTGGAGAAGGTTGCTGAAGACATTGAAAACTACCAAAGAGAAGAAATGAAAGTGAAATTTAGAATATAAATATTAAGTTGAGCTTTTAACAGTGTAACTTGAAAAAAATCATCAATGATTGAAAGAGGAAATCTTGTGGGTTAATACGATGATTATTTTCATTTCAAGAAAAAGGCAGTGTTTGAACGATGGTTGAGTCTACTGAAGGGAGGGGATAGCAGTACCATTACGTCCAGTGAACTCAGGTCACTAGGTCATATAACCTGTGGAGCGACAACAAGCCACATCGATGTCATCCCACACGCTATCTATAAGTACGTATCATCAAAAGTATCAAAAAACTTGGACACAATTCATATTGTTGTCACCCCACGCATTATTTATGAATAAGTTATATTTCAAAAGTCATTGCAAAACGTTTTGTATTAAGGACTTAATACTTTTAAGTTTACATTCTTCTGTCTGTAGTCAGTTTGATCTCATATTGATCACTTGGTCATATACCTTGTGAGTCGGACACAATTCCTCCCAGTGAAATTTTATGTGTTGTTTATCAGTAAGTATCATCATTCAAATGTCAATTAATTATGTTGTTGAACAACGTACCTGTATGAAACATGCGATCTCCTTAAGCTCATATCTGTCATAAATGATCGGAAACAGCTACATCCTCAACTGGATTGCTACAACATATACCTGGCGGGTCATATGTCATCCTCATCATTGTCATTTCGCATGTTTTTGTAGGTCTATATTTTTATCCAAACATCATTAGCACAATACGCACACTAGTATATTAGAAACGTATGCACGAAATACATTTAATATGACCTTTATATGGAAATTACTTTTGACCTCTATCCTCACAACTATAACGGAGCATCACTTTACGACAATAGCTATTTTAAATTTAACAATAAATACGCATTAGTTTTCAAATCCAAATCTGCATATGTCATTAGGTAGTTCAAGGCATGTCTTAGCAATTTATCGTTGTACTATTCTCTACCAAATATCCTTCGTCGATGCAATGCTTTCCTTTGAGCGATATAAACTGAAAGTAAACACTGCAACAAGTACTAATCAAAACTCTTATATAATGAATTTTGCCTTACAGGAATGCGGCAGACTCGATCGGCGAGCTGACGAGCTGTGATGACACACAACTGCAATCGTTTGCCGCCTTGGCAAAAGCAGCTTACGGGAGTGACGTCACTACGTGGCTTTCCTCTGTTATATCTAACATTGGGATAACGATAGGTAATACAGATTTGTAAATATATCACAGAAAAAAAGCCACCGAGAGAAAAACGTCATCGTCGCTTACAAACCATTGCGAAACGTCTATTGACAAATCAAGACAATTGGTATACAGGAACATATAAAAGTGACTCGATAGGCTAGATGAACCATCTGCTGCCAACGAATCATTGTAGCCACAGTGTTTTTTTTATAAACCCATTCAATATACGCTAACTAAATTGTGAACTAATTTCCATTTACCTAATTTCGTTGTCAGTCAGTGTCTTGAATCGTTCGCAGTTGACATATTCTTTGTTGTATTACTCCTTGCTAGATACAGTGACACGCAACACTGACTCGCTAGATTGAGTGATATACGTAGCGAGAACATGATGAACAGTAATAAGACCTTTTCAGTTGACCTATTATATAACATTTGTATCGTTATACAGGCGGTTTACCGACCTCTGATATTGGTATGCTATCGACTACTCAGATAGATGCTATAGACTCCATCCACATCTCGCACATTCCACCTGCTACATTTGCAGTAAGTAACGTATGAACGTACAGCCTGTGTGTGAGTATTCATAAAAGTAGTAAATATAGATATATAGATTTGCGATACTTACGAAATTAGTTTTTAAACAAGTTTATCCATGGCAATGTACTGATGAAACATATAGATTATAAAAGATGAATGTTCCTCAGCAATATGCATGTTTTATATCGATAATGTTCAATTTCAACAAAGCTGCAAAAAGAAAAACAATCAAAATTTCGCAAAGGAAATATCGGTTTTCCTTTTCGAAGTGTCTGTACGCCAAAAGTTACGTCCGAAAATCGAAAGGTGAAGTATAGAGATGGTCGACATGTCCTTGAAGATGTACCGGTAAATGTGTACAAACTCTTTGAAGGAACAAGACGGTTCTTAACTTGTCCTTTTTTAATGACATACATTGAATATTCTTTTACGGAAGTTTACGTAAACTAACAAGTGATTTTAAACGGTACAAATTTTAGTAAACGGTAACTTTCTCAACAATTCTTCCGATCGAGTAACTGGTTAATCGGTTAGTTTGGCTACCAAACATTTAACAACAAATATACATTATAAGTTTAGCAAATATTCCGCTCAAAATCAATTTATGTCCATATATATTAATTTGCACGATAGTTTTACTTTAACTTTTACTTTATTTCAAACTCTCAACACCAAAACGAAGGAAATATAAAAGTTTCTTTTGCCAACATTCGTCAGCATAAAGTGGGATACAAGCTGATTAGTCCATGTTTTAGGGGTCATTTTTATAACTCATTCGAAAACTATTTTACACTCCACCTTAAAAAAAGAGTTTTACATGTACCGCGCAAAGTTGGCATATCACAACTATGCATTATGGTTCCATTTTAAAATCTGATAAGGCCTATCATGGTGTGGTCAATCCGTATTGTGAAATAACAGCCGAACAGGTCAGCCTGAACGTTGCTTGCATTGCTAAAAAATCGATTTCAGTCTCATTGATGTAAAATTTGAACAAAAAGACCAAAAAAACCAAGGAGCTCCCTTTTTGGATAAAAATCAATGTCCGAATATTCGGTTATTGATTTTAGTAACGGTTCGCGGTCTAGCGACCGAGTAGCCGATTAATCGGTTACGCGTTGACAACCCTAACAAAATTGAAAGGTCTATCGCACAAATCGGATTTTTTATCATTCGAATCAATGTGGTATGTTTTGTTTTGTTTTTACCAGTTGTTTGTTTACGACAGGGGTTCACTGTTGAGCAGTTTCTGACATTCAGTACATCACAATTATCTGCCTCGACGGCCGACCAAAGATCTTCTCTAAGTGAATCTCAACTCGCCGCCCTCTCCGCTGACTTCAGTTCAACGTCAGGTTAGTTTAAATAGTTGTTAATGCCCGTTGAAAGTTACATGTATACAATTGTTCCCAAGTCTGATCAATGATAGCATGCGAGCAATACATGTCAAGTATATAAGCAAAGGTCATATGACGTTGTAAACAAATAGAAGTTCATGTAGAGGCACGGCAGTCTAGTGGTAGGACGCCGGGCTCGTGACCGAAGGGTTGCGGGTTCGAGTCACGGCACGGCACTGTGGTATATCTTTGAGCAAGAATTTACTCAGCTGTAAATGAGTACGTGGATGGGCAGTGCTCGAATGGTTGAATGTTAGCTGTTAGCGCCGAAATGGCAGCTCCGGCTGTATGTTCCCCGGGGAGTTGAAAAGGTATTGGCTGGTTGTGAACCGCTTTGAGACGACCTACGAACTAGGTTGTGATAAAGTGGTATATACGAACCTCGAATTATTATTATTATTATTATATCGATGACCTAATTAATTGATGTAACAACATTTATACAAACAGAAGGTTACGTTAAGTCAGTTGTATTATTAATTTCATTGTATATATATTTTTTTAAGGATTTGATTACGAAGGCAATTTGCCTCAGTGACATTAGACATCCAGATTCGTTTAGTCAGACATACAACGCATCGAAGTCCATAAATATACATTAGTATGATTTAAATTGAAAACTTATTATTACTGAAACAAATGCTCCATTAAAATTAATGCTTGATTGCCCTCTACGTGTTCATTTTGTTGTCCTTTGCTTAAAATATCGAGACAAATCATAAGAATGTAGAATTCTTGTGTTTTGTGAAGAACATACTTTTATAAAGAGTTATATGTTTGTAATAATAATGTACTTTGTTCCCAACAGACAATGGCGCGGGCACGGTTACGTCATCGGTGATGCTGGCTTTAGTGCTTTCGTTGGCTGTGGTGTACCAATAGGTTAAAGGACGTTATTTGTCCATACCAATGTTGACAAAATAACGGAACAGTAGAGTTGTACATATAAACGCCGGTATTTGTTTTCCGGAATTTCACTCTACAGCGTTATGTGTGATTCTAAACGTTATTATACTTTGTATTGTGTGATCCGTCAGCTCATGTATATAATATTTGATTTATCAACAAATCTATAGTTTTGTTTACGAATGACAATAACGAATTTATTGCTTGATGTTTAAATGTCAATTTATTCGGAATTGAAATAGAAATACTCGATTTTTTTTTGATTTTTTATTTAAAACAAATCAGTGAACACAAATTTGTTTGGCCATTGTTGTATTGTTGATTTCAGTTTTACTTTACGCTTTTTTTTTCTTGTTATTATGTTTCTTGTGATTATTTGTTAGTCAAGAGTTATCTTTCTACATCTTTTAACTTGGTAATCATGACGTTCTACACAGTTCAACTGATTAAGTTATCAAGTGTTTACATTTGTTATTGTGTATTTATCTTAAAGGTATCGAAGCTGTAGAAGCTGCTACTACACTAAGTGTCTGTGTGACGACACGTATTATATATCTGCTATAACTTTGTGATAACTAAGTTTTATATGGGTGTTGTTTACCATGTTAATCTGACTCGATTGGTATATTTCTGGTAGTTTTTTTAGTTGATATTTTCTAAATGTATTATGCATTAATGCATTATATTAATATTATTTGTGTGATTTGAATTTAGAATTAATCAACATTTCTGTTTATCATCATTCGGTGAGAAGTGCTTCACAACAATTTCTGGTACGTCAACAATATCTTGATATGTAGGAAAAATGATAATTATGGCGTAGAAATGGTTCTTTGGAAAAAATATGTATATATATAAGTATATCAAAATAAAATAGTTTGTATCAATCCATTACTGTTGGTTGTTTTTATTATACTGCTTTATGCAGTTTCAGCCAAAATAAATGTTGGTTTTAAAATTTCATTTGAAGTTCGCTAATTTTTCCCTTGTCATGTGATAAACGATACGAGCAACGTAAGACAGGCATATGTGATTGCATTCTATAATATTTGGTAATAGGTCTGTATGCCACAACTATTTACACTACATCCTTTAGCTGTTTTGTCCTTCTAAAACTCATGGGTTTTGGTAGAGGCCAAAATCGTGGAGATCCAAATTGGTCTCAACTTCTGTTGGAACTTACTTTTATATGATCAGCAAAAACCTTAAAAATAATATTTAAAATATTGCTATAAAAATCAGAACAACACTTCATGCAGTATAAATTGTATAGTACAAATAGAATAGTTATATTTAAGGTAAATGGTAGCACTGGGTAGAGTACAGCTTAAGTTTCAAAACCATTGCTTGATCAAATATATAACTAGTTGCTTTATTGATATATTTGTTTCGTTTTATTTTATCTAGTTTTTTATGATTTACAAATAAAGTTGAGTTTTAGAAAGAATGTTAGTTTCGACAAAACATCTTTCATAGCAATTTTGGTTGATTTATATCTATAAAAATAAAAGAATCGCTTTTAGCTTATGTTATACCTGTCATTATTACATACGTTTAGTAAAGGGACATTCGAGCTAAGTTACAACCAAAGGGCAGCAACTCTTACATTATTTCCAGATTGTCTTAAAGCATTCAAGATCCTTCATATAATTTGAGTTCTTGTTTACCTAAAACCATTACATTATGTACTTTTTGCCTCATCAGTATCAATTAAATGTGTTTAATATATGATTTGAAATAGATAACAGTATCTCTTTAATAAATTGAGCATTTATTCTACATACCATGTTGTTATATTGTTTGTTAAAACGAAGGATAAATAATGTTGACACAGTCAGCAACATACTGTAAAACTACTTGTATCTAAATTGAAGGAACCGTATTATGTTTCTTTATAACAACAGTTAATTTATCATAGCTCCCTACCTAGCTATAATATGACACCAGTCTACGGCGCTTAAAAGTATCAAGACATAAATTTCATACTATCAATACAAACATATAATCAATATAAGTAAAGTAATGCGCAGGAGCTGCCTTAATTATTCTTTTAACTACCCACTAGCCTTATGTCACCTGTATAATAACTCCACGTGTGTGTGTGTAACCGTTTATGTTTTATGTTGCGACTTCGCATCCAAGCATCTTGTTTTTCATAGTGCCACCATACTTGACTTCTACAGAAAAGGCACTGCAGCAACATCCCCAGACCACCTTTTACTCCACCTGGGTTGATGGAAATGCAAAAAGTTGTACATTAAACAAGTGGTTCAATTTAATAAGATCTTGTTATTGTTAATGTTTTAGTTAAATCTTTACTCCATTTATTTAATTTACAGTGTAGTAGCCTTATAGCAACTAGTGCAATATACGAATAGGACACAGAAAATAATGTCGAGACATTTATGTAAACTGATAGAGTTAAAAAGCATTGCTCGTCAAAGATATATTATCCTATACCTGTACCTTGCATTTCAACAAACTATTCGTGTTAAAAGAGCAGTACATGCAGCACATCTCCCATCCTTTGCACTAAGAGCAAACTGTGTCTGGTCTGGTTTGGTCTGATCTGGTTTGGTCTGGTCTAGTCTGGTCTGATCTGGTTTGGTCTGGTCTGGTTTGGTCTGATCTGGTTTGGTCTGGTCTGGTTTGGTCTGGTCTGGTTTGGTCTGGTCTAGTCTGGTCTGATCTCGCCGACCTAGCCTAAAAGTTTGTTTTGAGATGGTTAGGATATTTGACAAAATGTATGTTTGTATCACTTGGAACAATATAGATTAGTTAAATGTGATGATAGATTTCTCTTATATATATATATGTGTATATATATATAGTCATATATCTATCAAACGATTGTCCGAGTCAATCATCTGAAACATTTTATAACTTTAAATACCGTATATGATTAAGATAGAAAGTAGCTGTAACAAGGTACACCTACTGTTGATACAAGCCTTTACATTTCAATCTTCCTAGTCAAGCAAAGTGTGGAAATATACGCACCCATTTATTTATAGATAGTTAGTTAGTTATGCTTAAAATTTTCACACAGCAAAAACAAAAATAGCGCTATAGGCGAAAAGATCGATTTTCCATCGCCTACCAACTCTATTTTCACAATTTGTAAAGGTTTTAGATAACACACGAGACAATTGGTGAATACTATGTACAAGAATATATTATTATATTAACATGTTCGTGTATTAATGGTATGAAATACACGAGCACTAGGTATTATTAGTTATTGAGATACGATTTACTGTTGTCCATTCATATCAGTGTACGCCTGTGTGACTGCATGTCAACACTTAATGTCATAGGAGTGTATTGCTAAACGGAAATTCATCCCTAGTTGAAAATCCAATGTAGGGAGACAGTATCACAATTTCCGCATAATCTAATGTTTAATATTAAAGTGATGAAAATTGTATGCTTATTATTGACACAACAGTGTGTTCTTTCAATATTAAAGTATTGCAAAGCAATCCAGACATTAATTTAATTGTGTTTTAATCAATGAGTCACATGTGTCCATTTTTCTGTACTTCAGGAAACCGGCTACCTTTTTCACTACTGTGAAGTTTTTCAAGAACGATAACTCTTGCATGCAATTACTGTGTGTATATGGTTTCGTTATAAAATGTCAATTTTTAATCGGTTTAAAGATAATTAATTTTACACAATTTCTGTATTTATGAAATTGGTATACATTAATGCAACACTAATCTATGTTAGTATCATTTTTATCGACATTATTTTGCAAAATATTGTGTTTCAATTTTTCTCTTTTAAATTCACTCCTTTTTACTTAAATTTCCATTTAAAATCCTTAAAATTCTGACAACCTATATTTTTTGTGGCAGAAATTTTTCTTTACTTCAAAGCAATATAACTACAAAATTTGAATAAATTCTACTGCGAAATGGCGACGACACAATCCTATTACTTTAATCGAAGTACACAGAAAGAAATTACCTATACGTATGGGTATACATATCGGCACAGCGTATTCTTTTCATGGTATGGGATAGTCTCAACATGTTTATTGTTTCAACTCGTTCGGCTTGAATATTTACAAGGTATGTAACATCTTCGACATACATAAATAAAAGGCTACAGGTTTGTTCTATGTACAAGGTGCGGGGCGACTTCGACATTCATAATAGATTTATATCTTCCATATTTTTTCATGAACAATGTACGGAAGAGCTTAGCTAGACAGTTTTTGAAATCTTCATTGTATTGCATAGGTCTGATATGCATTTTGTATTTAATTTTGCCTGTTTGATCTGGTATAAAGTATAATGGAACTGTTACATGCATTGTTCTTTATAATGTACCTGTAGTTTGTTTTTACGTAAATGACTGGTAAGCTCAAACTCATAAAAGGAGAAGTACATATATACGTTATAATTTTCAAACGCACTGTTTTTTTAATATGAACATCAAGTTATCTTAATAATTATTTCGATTTGAACATATTTACCTTGGCCCTAAATTAAATCCACACCAGGTAGTCGCGCATTATGGAAGATGCAAAATTTTCCTCAAATACCTTTGGTTAATGAATTCAAGGGAAAATATTTTAAAACATAATGTGTTGGTCAACAAAGCGTTTGATTTTGTCTTAGAAGTATCCTCATCGTAAAGAACGAGTATATCAGTTGACATCAGTTGACATCTAAGTCCAGATTAGTTAAGTCAGGCATGCACCACATCGACATTCAACAATAATATATGAATATGTGACTTGTTTAAAACAGCTCCATTGTGGAATGTTATATATGTTTTATATTTATATAAGGTCTTAGTTTCGAAGCAAATCTCTTATTTCGAATATATTATCTGCTTGTCATATTCGTGTCCTATACGTTATTTTCATTTTTCGTTTTCTTCTTCTTCAAATATCAAGAAAAAATACATGGACTTATTAAGTAGTTATGCTTTTGTGATACTCGTTTTCTTTGTTCTCAACAGACAATGGTGCGGGCACGGTGAAACCCTCATGGATGCTGCTGTTTTTATTACTTTTTTTATATATTTATTCTAATTCCTACTATTAAATAGTTTTGTTGTTGTATTTTGTTTTAGTCATTGTTATGTTAGTAAACGGTTATAAATACATCTTTTGACTTAGTAATCATGACGTTATACACAGTTCAACTGTTTAAGTTATCAAGTGTCTACCTTTGTTATCGTGTATTTATCTTTAAGGTATCGAAGCTGTAAATACAATGTGTTATCCTATTATATATCTACTTTAATTTTGTGATAGCTAGTGTTTATATAGGGGTTCCATAACGGATGAGTGTAATCAAATTGATCCGACTTGAGTTTATTTTCAACTCTTTTAATCGAAAACGAGCTTTAATAAGCTGGTAGAAATATAAGTGAGGTGGCAGCTTTGGTTGTTAATGTGTACTTAATGTGCTATGCATTGATTCTTCAAATTATCACATCCCATCAATTCACAGAATTTCTTTTATATCTTTTATCTATAGTAATAAGTTTTAATACTGTATCGTATGTCGTCGATATTTTGATGTGTAGTACATTACTATTTGTATAAATAGTATGCATTGTTTATATATCGAAATAAAACATGTATGCAATTATTATTTTTAGTTATTTATGAAATTCATTCCAGGCTTATTTGCGGGCTTATCTAAAAACTGCTCCGTTTATAAAATTGAGGTACAAAGCATGAATTTATAGAATGTTTCGTTATAAATAGAATTTACATTTATATACACTCTTGATAACATAGGCAATGCATTTTGGTTGTGTTGACGTGTACAACGACATGAGTCTGACACGTGAAATCTGAGTGACTTTTTCAAGTCGATGTGTCGTAGCATAACAAAATAAATCTAAAGTATTATCATTTACTTTGGTAGTAACTCTACTTATTTATTTACACTATGGCAAATACCAAAAGTCGTTATTTGCAGCTATCATGTTTGGTATGGTATAACCAGAATGGTTCTTTCATGCACAGTTACCTGTTGCCTCTATCTTTAGATCGAGACCCATGTGTGTCATGTGCTGAACTTGTACAACAATTGCTGAAACAATAAGAATACTAATAATAATTAATATAACAAAAAGTTGGGATGGTTAGACGCATGTCATGATAAGAGTTGGGATAACATTAGTATGTTATTTCCAGTTATTTGAAAAGAAAGTAAGCTGGTTACCCATAATAATAAATTGAAAATGAGGTGATGGAAAAATGACAATAAGTAAACATAAAATTATCAAAAGTGCAGGTATACGTGTTTTGTGCCAGGTATTGTGTGTAAGGTATTAGTTTAAACAATGGTAATGAGCTCAAGACGCTCATGTCAAATGTATCAGTAATATGAATATATTTCAGTACTGTATAATTTATCAATGCAATTCAAATATCGTAGTTACACTAAATATAACCGATGTCAAAAGTAGTTTTTCTTATGTTCGTTTCGTTGTTCGAGTCAAATGATAATGAAATGGTCCGGGCAGCAATCTTAATAACTTAGTGACTCATATTAAACATGTGAAACAATGCAAAAAGACAGCTCAAACCAACAAGTGCATAGCAGTGAAGATTCTGGATTATAATAATTTAAATTTAAATCATCAAACTGTAGAATTATCTTGTTTTCAAAGCCACAGAATGTTAAAAAGTAACCATCGATTTTGTATTGTAGAATGCTACTAACACAGAAATATCAGACAAAACGCTGCCTGGCTATATTTGCATTTTCCTCCTCACTAGTAATGTGGGTAATATCTGGTTTATTGATTTCTTAAGCCTCGACCTGTAGGTATGTGGTCGGGGTAAGTTGTTGTTCTACATAACAGTTCTTACAGGGGTGGTTATGATGTTAACGGTTGAAGCTATCGTTTATATCCGCCATGTTAAATTGTATTTGTATGTGTGTGATAACATATAGAACACTTCAACTGCTATTTTAGAAAACCAGTGAATTACTTGATTTGATGCTGAATTTGAAATTGTGTCAATATACGATCAATTGCAATTTAGAGATTATATTTTATATGAAAAGAAGTGCTTTTAGAATTATGAGGATTCGATTATTCTTCTTGTATGAATAAATGCCACAAACACGGCTTGCTGCTGTCGAAAAGTGTTTTTTCCACATTTTGTTTTCGTATCATGTTAAAGATATTTGATATAAATAAATTAAGTTATGTTGAATAAGCAAGTAATCTGCTTAGCATATTTCGATTGATATCGCATTAAGGCAAACATGTGTATATATTTGTTATACTAGTGGTTTAATAATGCCTCAAATTGATCGTGACATACAGTTTAAATGTTTATGTCAATAAAAGCAACATTAGGTTACTAGTGGCCAAATGGGTTTAACGATTTGTCAGTAGGTCGTTTGTAAAGTAAGTCCCCGCTGGTCGGGGATACATCAACTGCTGGTCAAGATGAAGTGCTTGTATCTCCTTCTGTTTGTTACTGGTAAGTGCAAATGCATCTTATAATTTATAGCGATTTATTTTCAAATATTGTTTTACTGATTTGAAAGAATTAAGGAAAAGTTTCCTAATTATTATTTTCATTGGAATTAGCTCTATAACGATTTGTCGGTTAAGTTGCTTAAGTAAATACCATAAGTACATAGCATTCATTAATTATATCATCAAATATAACATTTTTGTATACATTATAAATTATATATTATACAATATTAAAACGTCAGATATTTTGAGTTTTTGAAAGTTTTACTCTGATAACATATAGATATCTATGTTGAGACTTTACATGCCTTGTTTTACATGTGCTCAATAATATTAAACACCTTTTAAAACGTTCACGTTCATAAAAGAAAAAGATCTTAGGTGATTTTGTAATGAAATAGGATGGTCAGGTGGCGCACCTGTCCGACAACTTGGGTTTATCTTGTATTCCAGTTCTCTACCCGATTTTGAAGCTATCATATTGTGTTCCAACGAAAGATATTATCTTATATCGGCGATACTTTAATGCCAGAAAGTCGAACCAAGTGAAAATGTTAAATGTAACTTTTTTTTATAAATGATATTAATCCACAAAATTCAATGTTTGATCACCAGAATGAAACAGAAAATGATTTTTTAACAGTAGTATATGCACTACTTCCAAGCATGCCCCACGTATTAGAATGTTCTGGATAAAAACACAATTCGTTAAATAATACAAACATTTAGGCATTACATAGAGACGCTAGAATAATATGACATCTAACTGTAGGTTTGACAAAAATATTCACGACTGATGTTTAGAAAACACTTACTCTTCCGAACAACACAGTTTTCCTTCCGTTTTATTTAAGCATTAAACAGAATTCTATTCAGAGTTATTAACTTGAACAGGACTGCAGATGAATCGAATAACGCTCGGTAGCTTGATATGAATAATTATTTGCAATATGACAATAAATTGATATTTTAATTCAAATTCCCTCTTAGATTTTAGAAACATTGTAGAGCAAATGTAAATAATATATGTTATTTTTTTTATTGTCATATCTTTTCTGTTCTTGTTATTGGGTTTTAATTCCGCTCTAAGTTTGGAAAAATCAAAACAAGAGAATACCGATGTGTCAATTAAACCATAATTCGATCTAAAATAGACAAGAGGCCCAGAGGGCCTGTATCGCTCACCTGTTTCTTTTGTAACATGAAACTGACATATAGGTAACTTAAGACCAAATTTGGTAACTAGAACACAAGACATTTAAACATCTTAAACAGTTCTGAAGATTTTGTTGTTTGAAATTTGAAATTTTGATTTTGCAGCTTTTAATCTACATTGACCTTTGACTCCCGACTTGCACTTAAAGATGACCTTTGACTTCATTACTGTAATAAAGAAAACAATTCACACAGCTGGTCTATATAACATACCCAAGTATCATGACTATCATGGTTCTTAGGCTATTGTTGTTTGAAATTTTTAACGTATTTGACCCCTATGACTTTGACAATAGACCAAGGGCATTTTAATGAGAAAACTTCATAGCACTTCATCCTAGATACCGTACTACTGGCCAAATATCATGACCCTGGGCCTTATGGAACTTGAAAAGAACATTGTTAAAGCATTTAACCCATGTTGACCTTTAACCCCCGACTTGCACTTCAAGTTGACATTTGACCTTATAACTGTCATGAAAAAAATATTTGCACTTCTGGTCTACATAACATACCAAACTATCATGACTCTAGTTCAAATGGCTCTGAGGATATTGTTGTTTGAATTTTTTAGCATATTTGACCCCAGTGACATTGAAAGTAGGTCAAGGTCATTTTAATGTGGAAACTGTATAGCACTCCATCCGATGTACCTACTGGCCAAATAGCATGGCCCTGGGTCCTCCAGTTCTTCAGAAGAAGTCGTTCAAAAGAAAAAGTTGACCGACTGACGACGGATGACGGACCACGCAGTATGGCATAAGCTCACATGGCCTTTCGGTGCCAGGTGTGCTAATATCATCTAAGGCAAAATATCAACAAACGAAAGATTTTCATGGAGACACTCAAAAAAGTAGAAGGAAATAAGACTATGGGTTCCGGAAGGGTTAGTGCTTCTGCTTTATCGATGACACCCGCCATATAAATCTAGATGAAAGTAAAGCAGTGTTACATCTCAATTTAAGAATTTTGTAATGGCAACAAAATAACAAGGCACGATCATGAGCGTATTAAAAAAATATCGACCTTCAAAAAGCACACAGAAATGATATGTATACACTACGAGAACATAAAAGCGATCATAACACTTGTGTAACACGTTTGTCTAAATTTGTCTTATATTAGCTTTCAACTACTTTTGTCGTTGTGTTGTATTGGACTATTCAACCATATTCTTTATATTTTAAGTTTATAAATAGCTGGTATCAAGGTAAATAACATCGATTCGTGTTTGGCGCATTCACGGGTGCCTTAAATAGGATTTGTTTTAATTCTTAGCATCTTTCTTTAGGCTGATCAATAGTAAACTTTACTAAATAGTAGATTCGAAAAAGTGCTTACGTCAGACATCTAGAAAAAATATGTTAGTTTTATCCATATCACTACCTACTAGTATATGCATTGATGTTTATTGTATTATTTAAGATTACTGTGCTGTTTGTTAAGGCATTATGCCGTTTGTTCTGTAATCTATTCAACAGAGCTGACCAGGTTATCAACTGGGCTACCAGTGTTAAATATTCAGGTCATGGTACTCATAATCACAATAGGATCAATGCCAGTGTCGTGAGTGTGTCGATACCCGATTACAAGCTTAAGGACAAACTATGGAAAGGGCCAAGTCTACTTGACCTTACAGCTTAATTTCATAATATTGACACCTTTTTATATTAAATAAAGAATACACTATATCATCCCTACTGATATAAATAAACTGATCTTATAAGAAGTACTGATGAGGAAATGTTATTTAAATGGAAAGATAAATTGTGCAGAAAAGGAACCTCCATTATTAATAGAATGTGTTTTTTGGGCATAGAATGTCAATGACTACATCCCTACGCTTTAATGGTGGGACGTTTCGTTTGGTGATCACTTTAAACCCATCTCATTATAGTAGAAACTTAAATAACAAAGGTGGTAATGAAGTCACAGTGACGTCCAAAAAAATGCTATCAAGGAGGGTCCATGGTCAACACAAACCAAATACAATATATACCATATTTTTTATTATCTTTTATAATATAAGATATGAAAACAATAAGTGAACGATATAATTGTTTCAAAATCGTAACGCCTAGGTAAACGTCTGATCTGCCAGCTGTTTTCAATACATATTCCAACGTACAGCTATGACACAGGAACGATGATAATGTTTCCAAACAAGGACCACGTTATTAATGTTTTTCTGCCAGCACAACTATAATTGCAGACGGTTGAGTGTGGTTCGGACATCATATCAATCTCTCATCGTACTGAAATGTGTAAAACTATATATTAGCCAAATATCGAAAGAAATATATACCGATGATAACAGGTTTAACTTTGTGGTTACACAAGGCAATTGTTTTATCTGCTCATACTATGAACCTGTTGTTTCTTTTGCAGTACTCCTGACAGTTCCAGGTAAGTTTATTTTTGTTAAAACAAAACAAAAGAGTTACACGACTATGTATCATTCCCTATGTATTAACATTGTGATTGATTTATTATAATCAAATTTAGCTTGGTCTCCGTAAAACAAAAGAGAATATATTACAAAAGATTAATATTCATGACTTTCATTCATTTTATATCCAATTATTTCCCTTGTAAAGGAATACATTTATTATGATAGAATTAGGATCCTCACAACTAAAGCAGCAAGGAACGAAAGTAACGTCACAACAAAAGCAGCAGGGAACGAAAGGAACAACTCAGTCAAACAACCGTCCTACCGGTGCAAACAGGCCAACTGTTCAGCCAAACAACCGCACTACAGGTGCAAACAGACCAACTGGTGCAAGCAGGCCGTCTGTTCAGTCAAACAACCGCCCTACTGGTGCAAACAGACCCACTGGTGCAAGCAGACCGACTGTTCAACCTAACAACGGCCCTACTGGTGCAAATAGGCCAACTGGTGCCAGTCGGCCGTCTGTGCAACCTAACAACCGTCCAACTGGTGTAAACAGACCGACAGTTCAACCAAACAACCGCACTACCGGTGTAAACAGACCGTCTGTGCAACCTAACAACCGCCCTACTGGTGCAAATAGGCCCACTGGTGCCAGTCGGCCGTCTGTGCAACCTAACAACCGTCCAACTGGTGTAAACACATCATCAGTTCAACCAAACAACGGCACCAACGGTGTAAACAGACCGACTGTTCAACCAAACAACCGTCCAACTGGTGCTAACAGGCCGACTGTTCCGACAAACAACCGTACTACCTCTGGAAACAGGCCTTCTGTATCACGTCCTGCAACTCGTCCTCCAGTGCAACCAAGTGTAGGCTCAGTCGTGTCTTACAGCTGTCCAAAGGAATGTAGCTACTGCCAATCCTTCGTAAAGTCGTCTACCTGTATGGCATATGATCAGTATGGACAAATAAAGCAGAGGTTTTTGTCATCCCTTCCACGGAACCTTGTTGAGGCTTATAATGAAACATCAGATATGAAAAGTAAGTAAATTTGATTTACGACTTAAAACATATAGTTTAAGGAATCACAAACAACCTATTTATAATTTCGAACATTGTTTTTGCTCTTTATGTATACAAAATACATGATCATTTATACCCAAATGCTATGCTATGCATAATGTTTTCGCAATATTGCAGCTTTTATTGTGAATGCAAAGATGGCGTCCTGTGAAGGCTTAACGTCCTACATGACAATATGGGCAAAGCTGTCACCAAGGACTAAACAGAAGATAAAGGAGTTCCTCAACGACACCACTTCTGTCACAGCACGCGACATGGCCACATTCCCAAAGGAAATATACGCCTCGTTACAGGTATAGCGCTTGTGGAAAATAGGTACTTTAAAGTAAAAACACATTACTTTATAACCCAAATCAAACGCATCATTTCTTGTGAAGTCAATGTACTTGATGTTTTTCTTGAAACTTTTAATAGCAACAAATAAATAAAGAATATTAAATATTTAAGGGGAAACCGGACAATTTAAAAAATTTGATCAATTTATTTATAATTAGAATTAGGACATCATTTCCAAGTTTTATTTGCCACAACATTTGTTATAGCAAGTTAAAGTAATAAAAGTAACGGTACAATGCCATCTTCTTAAAATTATGGATAACCTCCGTGTGTATCGATAAGAAAAATTGGTTAACTTTCGTGAAAACATGCGAGAGTAAAGTCCAATTATATACATTGACTAGGCAGTTCAATCGGTTAGAGCGACAATATCAAATCTGAGGTCCAGGTTTCAAATCCGGTCTGGCCTCTGAATTTTTACACTCAAAACACTGTTGTTGATTACGTTTTTTTTTATTTCACTTTTATTTTTTTCCAACAAAATTCCAACAAGGTATGGTTTGCTTTTCAGGACTGATTTATTAAAGCTATAGTCATGCTGGGGGAAATTCGAGTGTGTAGTTACAGTTATTAGACGGTGAAAACTTTAAATATTACGCAAAAACATGCTAGACACAGTTTCTGTAACCGATATGTTTGTTGTTTGAAATTGAAATCCCTGCGAATCAATTATGAGTTAAATAACTGCGAAAGTAAAAACAAGCATTAACAAAACCAATAGATAAGTGTTTCCTGGGGGAAAATCAGGAAATAAATAAAGTAAAATAAAAATATTGCTCAAATAGTTCGTTTGACCCGGAAATGTATGTCTGGCGAAAACTTAATAAAATTGTACCAAATTGATAGTAATGTTATTGTTGACAATATCTCTATAATGTTTACCATACGGAAATGTCACATTATAAATATAGTGCTTAAATCAATAATGTGATTTTGATTTTTAACATTGGCAGTCCAACCTGGAGAAAGTAGTATTCAGCACCATGAACCAGGCACAGAAAGAACTGGTCTGTGACAAGCTGAAGTCTGTTGACTGTCTGGTTCGCGCGGCAATCCTCAGGAACCTCGACTGTTCAACTATATTGCTGGTAAAGTTATTGTTATCCTTCTACACACAATATGCACAATTGTGCTTTTTATGTTGCATTTTTGGATTACAATTTGTAAAGCTCTATTGCTATTTTACTGTAACGTCAGCGGGTGATTGGCAAATACGTTTTCTTCAAGGGCATAAATATTCAACATAAATATCATATAATTAACATTTTTTTGTATTTTTGTCATCTCTAATAATTAAGTATTTAAATGAAATGACTTGTGAAGGGATATTTAACACAACTGTGAAAGGTGACATTTAGACCAAGTAACGATGTCGATTTTCTCGTCATAACGCGTATCACCGGGTGTCTTTTTGGTACATATGACAGGGGAAATAGACATCACAACAATGATTTACAATTTTCGAGCTCATAATTATTCACAAAATAATGATAATTTGACTCATACATGCAGTATATGAAACACGTTGACGATTGAAATTGTGCATGGGTATTTGAAAACGTTTTTCGTGAAAGTGTTATTTTATTGACAAGTATTCTTAAAACTTGTTATTGTCATATTTTTGGTTGTGTCTATTTATCAAACAATTAAAGTAGTTCGTTATTGAAGAGCAACGATTCTTACTAAATGTTTCTTCAGGTAAAGCAAAATAAATTAGAGGTGTATATACTTACAGCAGGGTGGAGGCCAGGGTCTATCTAAGACAGACCTATTAGCACTTGTTGATCTTACCAACTTCACAAACTGGGACGACGCCGAGTGGAACAAAACTCTATCGTACTTCGCTGAACTTTTGACATATACACATTTTGAGAGCGTACCCATCGATGTTCTTATCGACAAGTAAGATTATTTAATATGTCACGCGCTTGTAAAAGACCACCTTATACAAGTGGTTGTGACTGTATATTAAGATAATAAGGCAAACAGAAATATATGACAATATATGGAAATAATTTTGATATCATCTACCATAATTATTTACAAATTAGAAGGATTATCAATGTTGTAATTAATTATTAGTTAATTAATTACATGAAGCGTTTCGCTCCGATACATAATGAATTGATCCGATAATGTATTGAAACACAGTAACCATGACACGAACTCATTGCTTTCTAATGTTAGTTTTGTTCATACAATGCATACCAAGGTTTAAATTGGTTGACAGCATGAAGACTTTGATGCCTTTTTGTGGAAAGCTGTCGGTAAAAGTAGTGCAAACTATTGCCAAACGGACACAGGACAAATTGGTGGCGATGAAATCACAGGCGACCATTCCTGCCAACATTAAATCTGATTGGATGGACCTTTTAAGTAAATGCGGTGCAAGTCCGAACTTTTTTGACGGTGTATTGGACGTTCAGGAGGTACTGATTATTTTTTTAAAAAAAACTCTAACAACCAGAAATGTTTTCGACGGATTTAAAACGTTTTCATTTAAATGCAAATTAAGCTTCTTCTGTGCTTTTATAGCATGGTTTTATTGCCCATGTACACATAATTGTACCATTTTTTTATTTTTAAGAAGTTTTGATTACTCTTATTTACAGGATTTACTATAGAAACTTCCATAAAAGGGTAGTTGTTACTCTCTGCTAAACGTTCAGCATTTGGGGTAACCACACGACTTGGGAGCCCTTTGTCATTATAGTATGACCAGGCCGAGTACTGTGATGTGGTTCTGGGCATGTTATTTCAGTTTCAATTTAACTTACGATATCTACTTACTAACGATCAATAACAGTTTAATACGATTTGTTACGATTTGTCACTTACTTTTTGTATCGGTTCTATTGTCTTTTGTCTAATCCGTTCTGTAAAAGTGTGACATATGTGTACCATCTTTAAATACTTGTTTCATACTTTGATAGGCAATGTCATCAGTGGACATGAGTAAGACTGACCCTAAGGATGCAATGAAATACATGGAGAAGAACAGCAAGTCTCTAGATGTAACTGTCATGGACAAAGACCAAATTGTTAAGTAAGTTCTTAAAACATATTCCGTTGATTTATTTTGACAATTTATTTCTTACATGAATAGAAATTGTGCTTTCCTTTTTTATGGGTTCTCAACGCCCTTGCATATTTAATTTTTTTATCTTCAATTGGTTTATTGGTTGTATTTCTTCACATTTTGTATGTATTTTGTGTATTGTTGTACATTTGTTACATTAGATATTTGAAGTTTGATATTATATTTTATATATGTTATAAATAATTTCAGCTTTATCAAGGTTCTTGCGTTTAATAAAACCCGAATGATGGAGTTAAATGCGACAGCGTTAGAACTGGCTGCATGTGACATATGTAAAAAAGCATCAGATCTAGGAAAAGCAGACGTAAGTTTTTAATGTCATTTGCAAAGGATATGCTAAATAATGTTTTCTTATTCTTACATTTTCGTTTAAATTTATGCTTCTTGTTAATTAAGATAAATTTGAAAATATTTGGATGAAATAAAAGGTTTTGAGAAAGTAAAGGCACTAAAAGAAGACAAGATAAGACACTTACAGCGATGAGAAGACATCAAAGTAAAAGTAAAGCATCATGACGCAGATAAAAACGTACTGTAAAATGTTTAATATTCTTTTTCCATGGAACTAAAAAACAGGATTTACTCGATAACACGTTCATGGTTTTTGATTTCCTACTTATAGATCTTACTTGATGTGGAATGTGAAGTAATCATAGCTAACTCTACTTGTATTTTATTTTAGTTGAGAATGATCACCGAGGTTATACAACGTAAGCTGCCAACATTCACCGACCCAACAACCTTTGACGCCAGCAAACTGGAATGTATCGGTTGCATGCTGCCTTTCTTTCCTAAAGCAGCATTTGACCAGGTGCCACCTGCAGCTATGCAAGGAGCTCTTACTTCGGGAGACATCAAAAACATGACTTTGAAATCTAGGTCAAAGGTACCTACCACGATTGATAAAGACGCATAGTTCAATAAGGTTGCTAGTTAGCACGTTATACTTTCCAATTTACGGTAGAGATAAACGCAATAATGAAGACTTCACATACCATTTCATTAGAGAATTCATGAACAGTGTATAAAATATACCTAACGGTTTCTATATCTACTTTTTTAAAACAGTAATTTGTTTAAATTTCTGTTTTTTCATTATTCATGTATGATCCCCTCAAATGCAATATCTTGTTTTACCTTAAATAGGCTCGCTCAATAATGACAATGGCAAAGACGGCTTTCAACAAACCAAATGTAAGTAAGATTATCCATTCTTTTTACTTAAATACTTTTTAAAGAACATGAATAGTTTTTGATCATCCTCAACAAATGAAACCGAAGAAGTTAAGTCTGAAGCTTCGTTTCTTCGTATTCTTTAGTGATATGTCACTTAACAGTCCTTCTCTCTTCTTCCGCACTAAGAGTAATACAAAATATGTGTAAACCTCGTTTTTAACATTCCTTTCATAATAGGTAATTATTTTATGAGATATATACGTATCATCTTAAAACATTTCTGCTGTTTCACCAACACGAAAGCAACCAATCATAAAATGTTGGTAGTAGGTTTGGCTACTTTTGTGCAAATCCACAGGATAGTCTTGCTAAAATATGGACAATTACTATTAAAATGGTATGACCACGCCTATTAATACTGATGTTTTACTTGAAAAGGGAGACTTCAGCAGCGATGACCTTGAGAAGATGGGTTCATCGGTGTTAGCATTGAAAGCTACAGAGGTGATTAATGTACCAGATGCCTCATTTACCGACAGTGTGGTAGCCTCTCTGGACACTGCTCTCAAGAGTGGAGAAATGCAAATATCTAAAGCCGTCAAAGCAAAGTTCATCCAAAAGGTAAGCACTCGACTGATCAACCTCTCCATAAGTGTTTTGCAATGTTCAAAAATACCGTTGGGCATTCTTTAACTTAAAAGAATGAAAAGATTAGATTTTAATTGGAAAATAATGGTATTTTGAAATGACGATATACTGTATACCTGGTTATATTATTGTATATAAGGTTTTTTTAAACAGTTCATTTATTAGTATAAAGTATAAAGCTAGATAAATATACTTGTTTTCGTCATTAGCGTAAAAATTAACTCAGAGCGCATATCAGTTTAACAGGACAAAAGGTAAACAAATGACTAGGCAAAATATTCCGGTAGTCAGTATACTTTCGTTAGAATAACACCGTCTTGAGGAACAAAATACATATAATTTACAGAATATTTTTCGTTCTGTATTCTTTATTTCTCGTACTACTAGGTTTTACAATACCAACTAACTTTTTAACTGCCTCTTATGCTATACCAGGCCTTTAAGGTTATATAGAACCACTGATCGTTCGGTGGTTGAATTTAACAGCAAGATAATTGAGGATACCCGTGTTATTCAAAAGAGCTTGGTATCAAAATAAAGGTTTCCATATTGATTATGCAGATGAAGAGTGGTGCTGGTCTTGGAAAAGTTTTGGAAACTTCTCTCGCCAAGGAGATTCCCATATCAGACCTAGAGGAGGCCTCTGTATCGGATTTTGACGACCTGGTCGGAGAAACCAATGAAAGTTCCATTGAATGTAACACAAAGCAGGTTTGTTTTTATGAGAAAAATTCTACATGAAAATGTATTGTTTAAGCATAAGATGGAATATGGGTTTTGATGCTCCTAGAGATAGTATATGGTGAAGACAATATATGGTTTAACAATTAAAACGGGAATATATGCATGACAGATATGAAATAATATATGTTATGTACGTTTAAAACAGCTATAACAGTACTGAAAATCATGTTTGTACGAGAAACTAAATATGTATGATAAAGTTATGTCGGTATAGAATAAGATTAATGGGTTATATAATTATTAGAATCATTAGTTCAAAGTCGTGTATAATACAGGGTAAAGGGAAATGTGTTTCAGTTTTAACTGAAACACCTTAGAACTGTTTTGAACCAGTTTTAACGTTACATTGCGACCTTGGATACACCATATTATACATAATATGTCTTCAGGCAAGGTTTCTGATGAAGAAAGTGAAGACTGTTGTCGGAGATGTAACTTCAACCAACACCAACTTTACCCTGATGAGGGTAACAAATATTCTTCCTTATGCGTGTGGCTTTAGTAAGGAAGATGTTATCAACTTCGTGCAAGACAGTTCTTACCTCGATGTTCTCACAAAAATCAGCGAAACTCCATGCTTGACACGAGGCCTGGTAATGCTATTTTTTTATTTGTAAAGTGTACTTTAGTAACTTTATTAAAATGAGATATTTTTTATGTTTTCACAATTCTTCTTCTTATCAACCTTTTGAAGCGTGTATTTAAAGGTATGTTTTGTTTCATTGCTGCATAAACTTGATTTGCTAATTTTTTTGATAGATTAGCAAAGAATACGTTTCAGTTGAAGTATTGTTATTGACTTCAACTAAATCAGGATCACGTAATATTGTTTTAGAATGAACGAGTATAACATATTTTCGTTTGTATAGAGTAAGACGTTATACGAACAACGAAAGAACGCCACTTCATTCGACTCTACTGACGCTGCAAGTCTCCAATCCTCCACCAGCAGTTCTACAGTCAGTCAGATGTCGGCGCAAATCCTTGCACATCATAGGTACGAGCCCAGACAGGATGCTTACAATATAAAATCATGATTATGAGCATGAATATTTCTTAATTTTGTTCAAAATACAAACAGTTCTTCTATTCGAATTACATGTAATTATACATAATATTGTGGTTCATTCGACGACCTCGTTCAAAGTTATACATGATAAGTTGATAATTGTGTTTCAGTAAAGCTGAGCTAGACAAGTATGGTTCAAGCAGGTGCTTGGATATTCTGGAGAAAGTGTCTACAGCTAACACAAAGCTCCTCACAAAGGCCGAGTTGGAGGACAAATGGGACTACTTTGTCGCGTGTGTGGTAAGTGAACATCTTAAAGTTCTTTGGATGTACTATTCAAAAGAAAAGATATACAATGTGATTACTTTTCATAACTGAACTATACGGTTTAACATTTACAGGGCAAAATATCTGGGACGATCACAAAAGACGACTTGAAAAAGGCCGGCAATCTGTTGTGTGGTATCACTGAGACATACATCAAAGAGTTGGACGCTGATGCTCTAGACGAATATGCAAGTGTCATTCAAAAATGCAGTCTCGGCAAAGACGAGAGGCAGGCACTAGCAAACAATTATGTGTCAAAGATGGGGATGTGAGCCACTTTAACGTTTTGCTTTAACATAATAAACAGGCGTCAGTAGACAATCATCATTTACCTATAAAGTATTGAACTATCACACAACTACTGCCTACAATTCCTGTCACTATTCTCTCAAATATTGTGACATTAAGACAGGGGCTATCATATTAGACTAATTTTTTGCATGCAGCGTAATTGAAACGTTAAATGATCAGAAAATCACACTGTAAATAAATATTACATGGTTATCTTGAATATTATATCTTGTAATCATATGCTTATAACCGTTTTCGTGCTTAAAATTATTGTTTCTTTCCAGAACAAGCGGTTCAAGTATGACATCGTCGGCAGTTGTGAGCTTGGGATCTGCAGTTGCAAACTTACCTTCTTCTATTCTCGATACTATTCCAGATGTGAGTTGATAACCTCAGTTTAGAATTACTAGACATATCCCTTAATTACACACGCAAAGAATTTGCTTACATTCGATATGTTTATTATTTTTGGGTTTTTTTATTTCAAGGAAACTATATCTGATCTCTCTGAAACGATAATGAAATCGTTCAAAGAAAAAGAAGAATCTGACAAGGAACGTGAAAAAAGTGGATTTAAATCCGATGTCAAGGACGCCGATAAGCAAACTTACAAAACGTTGAAGATTGCTGTTGCAACCAAAATTTTGTCTGCCAAGGAATCCCTTACTTCTTCCAATTCCGGTTTGACTGGCCGTAAACGGAGATCAACAGGTAGCGTTATTAAGCTAGGTATTCTATACTGATGTTGTGCTCGTATGATAAGTGTTTCAGGGCAATAGCAATAACAGAAATCAATAACTATGTACTCCGCAGTATAACTTTCGTTACTTTAGCCCTTCATTATGTGGGAGAATTTATCCTTGCAGCGAAAGTTAAAGCACCATATACTATATTCAGTCACTACAAGTAAAATGCGAAATTCACAATACTCTAATATGGATATGGATTTTTTTTCCCAGTGAAGGGCGAAAGTTCTCATTTATACAGTAATGCGAAATTCCCAATAACTTAGTGAACTTACAAAGGGGAAAATAGTGCACATGAATGTTCTGAAGAAACAATCTGGCCAGAATTGTTTTCCATACACAGTAAAATGTTTTGAAAATTGCTCTGTGTTGCTCAAATTTAATGTTATATAACTTTAATGGTACACTTAGTCCCTGTTAACGGACATGTATAGATATGAAACCCCCATATGATATAAAGGTATATATAAATATTTGAATGGAAACCCAAGTACGTCTTATTATAGTATTCAAGACAAACACACATGTCGTGTGAACGATTTCCTCCAACAATGATAATAACCGAAAGGTCGATACTGGCCATTAGTGAAACTATATAACAATATACATCTATAAATAAATAAATATACAACATTTGATATAGCGCCCTATCTAGCTAACATAAGTCACTCTAAAGCGCTTTACAGTACATAGATATACAATTTTATACAATCAATACAATTAGCATATACATTAATCAATATAATATTGAGGAATTCGCAGGAACTGCCTTATCAGGCGCTAACTAGTCATATGCCACCTGACTAATATCTCCCTATGTGTGTATGCCTGTGTGTGTGTGTGTGTGTGTGTGTGTGTGTTCGAGTTGTATTGTGTTCTGTTTGTAGTGGGACCGTACTTCCAACGGTATCATTTATAGTGCCACCTCACCTAAACTCCACTTGGGTTGTTGGAGTTGTGTAGCAATGTTCTTGTGTCAACAAACATACATATCAAAGTATTGACCTAAAGTGTATGTATACAATAGTGGTATTTATCAATGTTTGAATTATCAGCATCCCTGACCTGTAGTGACCTCCAAGCTATCGGAACCAGCGGTTTGGCAGCCCTGACCACAACGCAAATATCCAACTTGGACGACCAGGAGTTCATCGATTGCGCTGAGACATTGGGATCGGTGACAGACTACAGTGACGCACAGGAAACAGCTCTATTGGCCGTTGCCATGAGATCGACTGTATGCTTATAGTATATCATCATATATTTTAAAAGATTCGTTAAATAATTATTTTGATGATGTATGATATACAATGGTTATCTTACAAGGTTTTTCATTTTCAATAGAACAATATGAAAGATATTGCGGATTATTACCTTCTTCAGACAATAACATAGCAATCGAATGTTTGCTAAGTTGTTACATATGTATGAGATGGCAGTCTAATCGACCAGTTGATTAAGCTATGCGTGAGCGTATGTACACCTAGGTGATATTTATGTACGGGATGGTTATCATATAGACAAATCGATTCGCCAAGCTTTGGTTAAGACGTGTTCATGAATATGCGAGAGCCTATTGACAAAAATAAGTCTGAAGTGATGGAGAGAGAGAAAACCCTGTTCAAGTGGCAAATAATGGTAGATACATGTATCGGAACACACCGGAAGTGCTTGTCCTAATAAACAAAAATGAGCATTGATCTTAGAACCTTGCACATGTATTGCCAAGTAAGAAATAAAAGGTAGCCCACTGGATTTGCCGAGTTGTTCATCATGTTACATTAATTACACCTGAGTGTACAAACGCGTATAGCACAGTCAAATCGACCTATCGTGTTCGTTTTTCATCTCGCACATATTTAGAGTAGCCGAATCGACTTATCGTTATCGCTTTTCATCTCGCACATATTTAGCGTAGTCGAATCAACTTATTATTGTTATCGTTTTCATCTCGCACATATTTAGCGTAGTCGAATCGACTTGACGTTTTTCATCTCGCACATAAATTGGCGTAGCCGAATCGAATTATCGTTTTCGTTTTTCATCTCGCACATATTTAGCAACTCAAGGTTCATACGCTTCACTGGCCATTTGTCTGATGAAAATTACAAAGAACATGCTGTACTATTCATCGAATTGTCACATTTATACAATGACTGTGCTACATGAACTTAAGATATAATCAATTTCTACCGCAGGTTTGGGGTGACCCGTCCACATGGTCTGCCACCAACGTTTACAATGCTGGTGTGATCTGTCAGTCCCTTACAGAGTCCCAGATCGGTACCCTCACTCTTGACCTGGACGCTGTCAGTCGACTCGGACAGTTCGATGGTTGGGATAGTCTCAAGGTAAGTAAAGCAACAACAGTGTTCCACTTATACAAGTTAAATATATGTATCCAAGTATTACGATCAGAGTCTCTTGTGTGGAAAATAATGTCGACTAGCAAGGACGATTTTGATTGAATTTTACGTACAGCTGCTGAATATCTAACAACTGGTCCGTTATCGAGGATTTATATCATAGTCACAAGCTTAGCTGATTAAATTCAAAGTAAAAATTGGATTTTTTTTATGGCAGAAAATAGCTGTGTATCAGCGATGGTTAGCCCTAGAGAAGGGAAGCGACAGTAGCACCATCACGTCCAGTGAACTTAGATCTCTTGGGCATGTTACCTGTGGTGCAGAAACGGGCCATATCAACGTCATACAGTCTTCTGTCTACCAGTAAGTGAAATATGAGATATAACATCTCAATACAGTCCTTTGTCTACTAGTAAGTGAAATGTGAAATATCACCTCTGAATACAGTCCTCTGTCTACTAATAAGTGGGGAGTGAAATATCACCTCTGAATACAGTCCTCTGTCTACCAATAAGTGGGGAGTGAAACACCACCTCTGAATACAGTCCTCTGTCTACTAATAAGTGGGAAGTGACATATCACCTCTGAATACAGTCCTCTGTCTACTAATAAGTGGGAAGTGGCATATCACCTCTGAATACAGTCCGCTGTCTACTAATAAGTAGGAGGTGGCATATCACCTCTGAATACAGTCCTCTGTCTACTAATAAGTGGGGGGTGACATATCACTTCTGAATACAGTCCTCTGTCTACTAATAAGTGGGAAGTGGTATATCACCTCTGAATACAGTCCTCTGTCTACTAGTTAGTGGGAAGTGACATATCACCTCTGAATACAGTCCTCTGTCTACTAGTTAGTGGGAAGTGGCATATCACCTCTGAATACAGTCCTCTGTCTACTAGTTAGTGGGAAGTGACATATCACCTCTGAATACAGTCCTCTGTCTACTAGTAAGTGGGATGTGAAATAACACCTCTGAATACAGTCCTCTGTCTACTAATAAGTGGGAAGTGAAATAACACCTCTGAATACAGTCCTCTGTCTACTAGTAAGTGGGATGTGAAATAACACCTCTGAATACAGTCCTCTGTCTACTAGTAAGTGGGATGTGAAATATCACCTGTCATTACAGTCATTTGTCTACAAGTAAGTGAAATGTGAAATATAACATCTTCATACAGTATACTGTCTACCAGTTATTGAAAAGTGACTATTGAATATCAGTTGAAACGTCGTTTTGAAAGATATTGGTTAACCGAAATCATAACCTTGTTATTTTGTCTTTTTCTCATCAGCTCAAGTCACAAAAACAGTTATTGCCAGGTGATTTTCAAGTCAAGAACATTTTGACGGCGTATGGTTATATGAATTGTTATTACTATACTTGTGGTATATTGTTCATGTATGTGATGCAACTGCCTTACGATAAACGTATATTCCTTATCATAAAAATTGCACAGCTTCTATGATAACCGGTCACATTTTGAGGGTATCAATTACAATATACCTGTGACTATGTCGCATTCCATCTGTATTGATATTTAATCTCGTGTACCTTAATGAAGGAGTGCTGCGGATGCTGTTGGTGAATTGACAAGTTGTGAGGACACCCAACTTCAAGCTTTTGCCGCCCTAGCAAAGGCAACTTACGGAAGTGACATCACAACATGGGACACCACTGTTATCACCAATGTTGGGATCGTCATTGGTAAAACATTGTTATTTTCATTCTGCTCTATCTAATTATATGAATATTGTCATACGTTCGGAAAACATTTAATTCCATATATACAGTATAGGAAAAGATCGATGGAATTGCGAATATATTTCAAAATTGTTTTTCATTATATCTACCTTTTTGTCTTACAGGTGGTCTGACCGCCAATGAAATATCCACCCTGTCGGAAACACAGATAGATTCTGTGGACGCAAACCACATATCATACATCCCTGATACTACTTTCACTGTAAGTCACTGTTATCGGATATATAAAATTACTTTATTCTATATACTTTTTGCCCTGGTTTGAGGGAGACCTGAAGAGTTGTTTTCCCGAGATAAATCATGTTTCCCGAGGGCGAAGCCCCGGGGGAACATGATTTGTCGATTGGGAACAACTCCTCAGGTCTCCCTTAAGTGTTTTATTATTCCGAAATTCCATCTGTGGAATCTCTGTTCTGTAACACATATAACAAAAATACATCAACATTAGGCAATGCAAGGTTGCTAGGTTGTGATAAAGCGGTATATAAGAACCTCCAATTATTATTATTATTATTGTTATAATATTTTTATTATTTCATTAGGTCTGGTAGCATATATAAACTACAAATATCTATCACTGTCAGTGTTTTGATTTGACATCAAATTGAACAACAATTATAGCCTTTCACGTTCTCAGCTGTTAGGAGGTGGAATCTCCCGTTCACAGCCATTGTTGATGTTTGGGTGTCGTCCAGAACACATCGGGCGTTAGAGAGTCTTACAAAGAGAGACAACTCGTCCGATAATGTGCGAGGGTTCCGAGAGGGATACTCAACAAGGAAAATGGATCGCGTGAGGGAGACTGGATGTTTTATAATCCTGTCATTTGATGTGTTTAAACCAATCAGACGCGCTGTAAAATCGATGAGGAATAATAATATCTAATGTCGGTGCATTTCTTTTGTGAAATGACGTTCGTCGATGACATAAAGTACATTTTTGGATTCTGTGTACAGCATTCATAGCGGTCCTCGCCAAGCCTGGGCAAATCAAAACCAAACAACAGACTTTCTTCTTCCGCGGAAGATCTTTAAATAATGTGTTGATTATTTCATGGTATGATTAATGATATAAAATGATGAAATACATATGAAAACGATCAATAAATCAAAGAAAAAATGTTAAAAAGATTGACGTTTTTCATCTCGCACATAGTTTAGCGTAGCCGAATCGACTTATCGTTTTCGTTTTTCATCTCGCACATATTTAGCAACTCAAGGTTCATACGCTTCACTGGCCATTTGTCTGATGAAAATTACAAAGAACATGCTGTACTATTCATCGAATTGTCACATTTATACAATGGCTGTGCTACATGAACTTAAGATTTAAGATCTTTTCAGTGAGCATCATGAACTATATCAATCTTAGATTACTTCGCTTTTTCGACCGAATAATTTCTTCACAAAAAAAAAAAAACTCCGTGAAAGATATTTAGATTATGTGTTCATTATTTCATGATATGATCAATGATATATAATATGGTAAAATATATCTGTATAAGACAAAACAAAAATAAAAGAAAATAAGTAAACATCTTTAACAGTGGCGTTTTTAATCAGTGAAAGTTCCGAACTATATTTGGTTCAAATTACTACGCCTCGTATTCCAATACTCTTAAGTGTGTGCGTGTGTGTGTGTAAGAGTTTTCTCCCCTTTTCCATCATCGCGTAGTTTCATGCTCATGACTTGTTGAACGACTGTTTGATTACTGTCCTTGATAAATTAGGCTTCGTGTTCTCTTTGTCTCAATGGAAAGTCTCCAAGTGAAAGAGAATGTTGGGTTATACTAAAGTAGCCGTCAGCAGCCGTGCCTAACGAGTTTATAGATAGCTTCCCAATGCGACAGCAGCTGTGCCTAACGAGTTTGTAGATAGCTTCCCAAATTGTAATAATAATATCATAATTATTTATTTATATTATCTATATAACATTTTTTTATTCTATCGTAAACTTTCCTAATATGGCTCCGTAGCAATGCAGTCATTTCCGTCATGGGTTTCCATCGATTTGAAACACCATAATATCAGCCAATATTCAATTGCAGGGCTGTTGAGTCAAGGTTATCGTTATTTATTTTTATACTGCTAATAGTAGCCAGTAAGGGACCTATATTGTTTTAGCAATACTCTGCTTGTACTAAATATTTTTATTGTAAATTATGATTAAGGGATAGGCTATTATGACCCTTACTCAACAGCATTTTCTTTATTATTTACTGCCATTCTGTCCTGATATAGCACCTCCTTTATTCCATTATTTGAATCCTTCATATACAGCATCCCTGAGTTCCCTCGGTACTTTGATTATTTTATCACCTTTATTAAACAAAACAAAGGATTTGATTAATTCATTCAAATCAGAGCTTGTTGGAACAATTGACTAATTAATTAGGATTGTTTGTCATGAGCAGCACATCGATATCCAAGCTTATTTTAATTATATAAAGGTTACTTTCAAACCAAATCCGGTCAGGAAATTCTCATCCTTTTTGTGTTTTATAGGGTTTCACCGTGACGCAAATCAACACGTTCAGTACTTCTCAGGCGCAATCAACAACAGCAAGTCAGCGAGCTGCTCTGACATCTGCTCAACTTACTGCGCTTGAAACGGTGGCAGCCTTGTCATGGACTGTTTCTTCAGGTACGGAAACATATCTCGTATACTTGAAAGTTACTCTTATATTTTGGTAACTGGATACGCGTTATTCTATGTTGTTTATTTAATTTACTTCATAGTAAGAAGTTGATTTGGCGTTAATTACTAAATCAGCCAAAATACGAAGACTTCGTTCAAAGGAAGGTATAACAAGTATATGAATGTATCACGATAATGTTTGGACATTTTTAGTAAGAAAACAATTTTGTTATTTTATCTGAGTCATTGCTACTCACTAAATACTTCATTTTGAAAATTATTTACTGCGATTAATGAGCACTCCTAAAGTAAAGGATCTCTCATTGATAAAATAGAAATCTCTAGAAAGAAGATATTCTATTGTAATTAATGTATCTAATGTATATCGCTGAAACGAATTCCATCTAACGAAATCATTTCATTTAAATCAAACGGAATTAGTATCAGGATCGTAGAGAGTTTGTATCAATCACATTTATGCTTGCATAAACATGTGTTCGTATGAAAAGGAAGGTGATTAATTTTCTAAAATTTTACCTAAAGAAATGTTATTCCTGTAATATTCCTTGCTTTGAGGTATGATAATAGATATCAAGCATACTAAGTATTGCTAAAGCAATACATGTCCCCTACCGGCCCCCACTAGCTATTACACTGAAATAATTTATAAAAATGGTGCCCTTTGGTGTTAATTTGGGAAAATGAAAAGTATATCATATCAGCTTGTAACTGATTTTAATGTAATAATAATACAAGAAATTGTAATGTTAGTATTATTACTGTGGAATTATATAAAATAAAATGATTGTTATATTTTGTTGCTTTTGTGGTATTAAATCAATTACGTGAATATCATCACCAATGTGTAATAACGTGTTACTTATCCAGTTTAATTCAGTTCATTATTGCCCTTTCAACAGCGTTACGACCCTTTGAACTTGAAAGTTATTTTTTGTCTGTAGGTATCCTAATGTTTCTGAACCATAATGTTTACATGCTATTTCAAATATTTTCAATAAGTGAAATGGTTAATATTTCTAGGAAATGTCACAGGAAAAAATATATATGTTTCAATTAAGTTTAACCAGTAAGAAATGAAGCCGCTAGAGGGCTGACAAGGATTTTCTAAAAAATAGTAACGGTGACCTTGACCTTGAACAAACAACCCTGAAACTCAAACTTGCCCGAGATATTATGGTCGTCCTTTGTAATTGTTTGAAGCTTGATCAAAATACCTTAAAGAATGAAGCCGCTGAAGCGCTGGCAAGGATTTTCTAAAAAAAGTAACGGTGTCCTTGACCTAACAACCCTGCAATTCGAACTTGTCCGAAATATTATGGTTCTTTGTATTTGTGTGAAGTTTGATCAAAATCTATGAAGGAATGAAGCTGCTAGAGCGCTGACAAACATTGGTGTTACGTACGTACGTATATACTTACGTACACAGACGGACGGAGAGGAAAAATATAGTCCCCCGCCCCGGTTTCACCGGTTCCCCTAGTAATATATGGCATGTAATTGTTAAATTACTTAAATAATTTGCTGCAAAACAAATCAAGAAATACCGTTCATATTATCATAATGCACATTTTTAATTTTAAGGTAGCTTTTTTTTTTCTAATTCCAAGAAATATACGAATTTTGCCTGGTTACAAAAACAATATGTATTAAAATTGATCGCTTTAAATATTTAACAAAATATTGATATATATACATGTGTATGTCTTTTCAGATTCGGGCGTTGCCGTGGTGACCGGTAGTTGGGTGCTAATGCTGGCTACACTTGTACTTGGTACATTTTTCAATCAAAATGTTTAGCTATCGGCATTTTCTATCGGAATTGACATTTCTTTCGGAATCAGAACTTTACACAATGCAGAAAACTGCTTAAAAATAAATAAATAATTATTGACGAACCAATGACGTTCAACTGACCGTTTCTCAATAATTTATTCTTAAAGCATCGTTACCTTGTGTTCTTAGACATACTATTTAGGATATGAAAATAAGGGGAGTCACAACCAGCAGAAAAGAATCTAAGAAGTAGTTTTTGACGAAACTATGACGTTCGACTGACAGTTTCTCAACAACTTAATCTGAGAGTAATATTACCGTGTTGTTCTTAGCTTACTTTCTTAGAATGAATATTTCTTTTAGTTCATAAATTAGGCACAGTTTTATGAAGCGTTAGAAATAGTTTATATAAACCATTAATGAAATTATGGAGTATGACTGAACGTATTTGTATACCGTAGTATTGGAGTGATATCAACGTCTGGTACGCTTCATTAGAATATGACAAAATAATAAAAAGTAAATAAAAAAATCTTAACAATAAATTAAAGCTAAAACATATTTATTACTATTAGCGATAATAACACATTGAATAACTATTTTGGTAGAAATAACAATTTGAAAAAAGGTAATGTATTTTTGTTCATTGCTTCTTATTTCTATTCATGTCCAGATATTTCCTTGTTGAATTTAATGTTGCAATAAAATGAAATTTAATCAAACAAAACTGTTCCTGTATGTTCTTTTTTCTGAGAGTTATTCTGTTTGTTTTGTTCTAAATGATAATAAGTTCACTTCCATTAAACTCATTTGCGATGTACGCTTGCATTCCGTCTTTGCGTATTGCAGAGTTATCTGCTCTTGGGAGCAGGTATTGATTGTTGCGTCATTTGTTTGTGAGAGTAACGTCATCAATTTTTGAGAAAACGACGTATTTTCTCACACAAACCAATGACGTAACAATCAATACCTGCTCACAAGAGAAGATAACTCTGCAATACGCAAAGATGGAATAATAATAATAATAATAATAATAATAGTAATAGAGGACATATTTCAGGTCGTCTGAATAATTTCTAAAATTCGGGATTATCTTTGTCTCTCATTCTTCATTCAGTTGAATACATAAGTCGATTTCATTTCGGAAATTATTACATTTGTATGGGATGTCAACCTAACATTCATTCCACGAGTAATGCTTGTCCTTTGTTCAATAAAGTAATACAATATATCGTACACATTTACGAAATACCTTACATATGTCTGTGATATCTTATATGTGCTGTGGAGATATCTTATAAAATGTATCGAGGAATGGAAAGCTTGAGGAGAGAGAGAAAAGAAAAGATATGTTCTTTTAGTTTTTGCTTTGTTGGCAGTAGATCGATGTGGGTCGTTCTGAATAGGAATGCACTCTTAACGGGTAACATCAATAACGTCATAATATCATATAGTTTGCTACAACAAGCCAAACATTTTAGTTGGCAAATTATGCTAGTTGTTGTTCAGGTAATTCATCTTACTCTAGGATTCCATCTGCATATCTACTTGTAAAAACAAAGGATAATTACCTTATCTACTTTCTTAAGAATCACTTTAAAAAATCTAACTCATTAATTTTGAGTAAATACAGACGTATCGGGTTGGCAATTGGGCATTGTTTGTAGCATGCTAATGTGAATGTACATACTATATTTGGTTTAAATCGGAACATGTTAGAGGAGGTATTGCATGGAAACCAAGCATGACGGACGGACGAACCCAAAAGAGTATTCTTCGTTTTAATCGAAAGTGGGACATACATTCTGAGAACCTTACACAGACTATCAGAGGACACGCTGATTTTAGCAACTTCCTTGTGTGTAAGGTTTACATTATTATACTTTATGAAGTTGTATCGATATCAACAAAGAAGTATGTTGTGTGATTTGTGTCAAATGTCACATAAAAACATACCGTGAAGCCATGCCTGCTGTATTGAGTAACACAATGATATGTATCCATTACCACATCTAACAGACACTTAATATAACTTTACATGTTTCACCACTTCAGAATGTTACGGATGGTTCCACTTACTTTTTTTTTTATCTCAATATAATTTACGTTGCCCTCTGACAACGTCCCTAGGCAATAATTTTTCGTTATATCATAAATCCATTCCTCAACATTAGCCAATGGCTATACTTACAACTTACGACTAAACTGTACGGTAAGCGTGACTATTTCAATTTTCTGAAAGTAAACTTGTCCGTGCTTGGTATTGAAATCTCTAAATCTAAGATGTTGACATGTCGTATTTGCTTCGATATTAAGGAACATACTTCGAGTGTCACGATTTATGTGATAGCAGTCAACTTTTGACGGATAAACGAGCAACACCAGGTTTCGAAAGATGCAGATTGGTTAAGACGAGAAGTCGCCATCTCGATTTCTATGGGAAATGTTATATTTCCTTGTGTGATATGAAGCTCGATATTTTTATAATACTGCCTAGTTTGCCTTGTTTTCGCGTTATCACTACCCTCAGGTTTTTATTTAAGGTTGTGATATGACATTAATATGACCTATATTTATATAGTGGATGTCGTCGATGAAGTAGAAAACGCTAACCCTACCGGGATGTTATTCTTCTTGTATCTTTTTAAAGGTCTCCTTGTAAATCTTTCCTTTGTTCATATTTTGTTTTAGTTTTATCAAATTTGAATTCGTTCGGATTATGGTTTTGTTGACACATCCGTAATCACTTATGGTATATTCGTGTATATTTAAAAATAAATGCACGACATCATTGTTATCAATTGCAATTGTGTGTTCTATGGAATAAGAGGATGATATTATAACCAACAAAATATAGCATGCATCATAGTTTATTGATAACGTTAATTCAAAAATTCTTCCAACATTACATTTACGAGGAATTATCGATTTATTAAGGAATAGAAAACTCAATGAACAGTTCAATATCTAGTGAGAATGTCTGTGTGTTTAGCAACGGCAGTGACTTGTCGGGCATTGCCCACAGTTAGCTGCACAGAACGGATCCGCATTGGGAATGTTTTCCCACGTTCGTTGTATCCCGGTACAATCCCCTGGTACCATGGACCACTCACAACCGCATCTGCAGTTCATCTCAAAAAATGCACCGGATGACGTACTCGCACAAAAGGCGTCTAGTTGGCTTTGGTTCATCATTGGGTTGTCGGGTCCAGTCCATCTACAAACTCGTGACTGACCAGGGTAACAGGCCATGGTCGAGGGCAGTGTGGTAGTGGGGAGTGTGGAGGAGTTCGGCATTGCAGCTGTTGATGTCGTTGTTGGTGATGGACTTGGTTGGACTGCTAGAGCATTAATGGTCACATCAGCACAGTTGACGAAAGTCTCTTGGTTTTTATTTGAATTCCCTGTGAAAGCAATGAAGAAATTAAATTTAAAAACTAAATAAGTACATACCCATGTTGATATGACATGAACAGGAACCAATGGAGTTACTTTAATGGTAAGCATATTCACCAGTTCTCACATGTCTTGTGATTTGCTGAGCATGCGTGACAGTCTACATCACTTCTTAATAGTTCTGGACAATTTCAACTAACTATCTTCTCTTGCTCATTTGTATTTCCTATTTGTCGGCATTGTGATTGTACACTAAAAATTGCGACGCTAAACACCATTTCTTCTTCTTCTTCTTAACACTGAATAACTCATCTAAACCTAAATTATTACTAATTCTTGTTCTTATGTCTGATTCAATGTTATGGCCCTATTTTAATCTACATCAGAAACTTCCGGTTTATTTCACAGTCTTTATCATTCCATCGCTGATTTAACGATCTGAGAAGAAAACACATGTACATTGAACAAAACCCTGCCAAAACCCCCACAAAAACAACATTAGCGATTTCCTATTCTGGATCACCAACATGTCGGACGTTTTCACACATAAACCATGCCGACACACCATCCATCACTGCTTTAACATTTTAAAAACAGGCAGAAGAATAAAACTCATCCATTATACCTTGTTAGAGCATTCGAACTTACCTAAATACAATTGAACGATAGGAATACATGACTGTATCGCTTATCTGGTTGTTGAAGTTATCATGATAAATGATTCTAATTGAAAGTAACTTTGCATGTTGGTCTCGAAACGTGGGTCCAGAACCTAGAACTAATATCAGTAGCATGAGAGTATTGGTGCTTCTTCAAATCCAGCAAGTTTATATATATGTATTTTGATTGGATCGCAATATTATGACTTGAGGACCAAGTCTTAACGAGTGATTGTATACTAGCGTCATATAGCTTGATGACATTTTAAAAGGCACAGAATTTGTCTTCTTATAATCTGCAATGGTATAATATGGTTGTAGGATGGAGATCTCAAAAATTCCAGAATATCTGTATTTGTCCTTTCGTGTCCAGCAGTTGTATAAAGTATATGGTAATTGGGTAGGGATCTCCAATATTTCAATATCGTGAGCCAGTGATTAAGTTTCCGGAGTAGAGCCGGATTCTAGGGCCAATTGTTGTAACACAACAGGTATAAACTACGAATCAATAAAGACCAATGACAATATGATAAACTCGGCGAGGACGCTCATTCAACCATTCAAATCATCTATGAATATCATTAAAAAAAGAAGAGGTCAGGAGCCGTGTAGTTCTCTCTCACACATATATCACAAAAACTCTTTCTATAAACACGTACTAAGTCACGACAGTGACCTCACTTGATAACCAGATTAATAGCTTTAACTCCTATTGGGTTTCAATGACGAAAACTTCCTCACCTAAACCATAAACTGACGAATATATCTGAAAAGTCTAGAAACAAGCCTTCAAAGGTTCATGACATCATGATAATTATGACGTCACAATACAATCTTCCATAATTCCGAAAATGACGCCGAAATTAACAATGCACTTAAACGTCAACATTTGTGGAACAACAAACAGGATGTTACAAAAATAGATATATATTTATAGGCATGGGTATAGTAACAGACTTTGCGCACATATTTTCTTTATTTAAACAGATCCTTCTGTCGCTTGATATAGAGAAATTACGTGTAACTTATCATTTTAACGTGAATGTATATGTAAATTTACATTTAAAATTCTAAGATGGTAACTTTTGGTTTTGTTGTTTGTGAAGTGTTATACATTGACGCAATTCACCAACAGTTTGTCTAATGTAAAATACAGAACATTTAGCACAGATCATTGCATAAACAGCATTTAGAAATCAAAGCTGATATTAGCTTTTACTTCACAAGACATACATAAATATTTACCATGATGACATGCTGACAGATATGGTTTACATTTGAAGATATAAGATAATACCCATACCTGCTTTCCAATACCATTGCAGAACACAGTGATCACATGATAGGTCGTCCGGTAGATGGACATTAATAGCGATGTCGCCTTTTGTAGTTGAAGGTAGGATGTACCTGGTCGAGCCTCCGTCGAGGGTAAGAACATTGCTTTCTAGACATTCCTTGGTCACGGGTGTATAGTTATTCTTGGCTGGGCATATTCGAAACTCAAACCAACCTTTGTGATTGGCAGTGATGTCGACAACAGCTGGAATTACCTGCCCCTGAGTGTATACAGCATTCGGGGATATATAACCTGAGCCGTACTTGCCGCCAAGCTCGTGGTCACGTGTACCATCGAACGCGTCTCCGCAGGTTCCGCATCTACCATCATTTGTTTCGCTGTATTGTCTCTGAAATTTAATGATAAATTCTCATTTTATCTAATTCCGATAAAAGATTTGTATAGGAAAATTGAATAACATTTTTGGTTACGTTTCTTTCTAGTAGTCACACCACAAAATAGACAAAATCGAGCGACCAAAACGCACATCACTTAGTATTCAATGTATGTAGGTGCAAATAAAGATTGTTATCAAATATGAATGAAAGGAAATACTGTTAAGGTATTTATTATCGTAAAGATCTAACTTTTGGCGCTATTCGGTTTTTTCCTCGTAAAAAAGTGACAGAAACGCTGACAGCATCACATAATCTTCATAACTGTACTTAATAGCATAGTCTTTGTAGTACACTGTCAACATGCAGCAAACACTGTTACATACCAATGCAATAAGAATTCAAATATTAAACTTTAAAACATGGGTAAGTTTCAGATCAAAAAAGTGATGTGGGACCCCCTCTAGTTCACCATACTAATAAATAACTTCTTTTTATCACAGATATTATTTTACGGTCGTGTAACAGACTAGTATGCATGCTCTCTCTGATGATCTGTCAACATTACACGTATGTACTCAACACAATACTGGACTGCTTTTATCAAAGATAATATTAGAAACACATAGGATATTTCTCACACAACGTTTACGTATAACTAGTACTTTAGTCCTCAATTTGTTAACAGAAGAATATATTTTGAGATCCATTTCGGCAAAAATTGCTGAATTGATGAGATAAATATTTCATTACATAATGTATTATAGATCAACACCTGTGGAGACCTGGCATGTTTTACATTGTTCATTAGTTGTCGAGCTATTCTCTCTTCAAAAAGTTTAACCGTCCTTTTCTACAATGATTAAGACGGACATAACTACCTACCCCAGCACCTCCGCAGTTTACCTCCATGTCATTGTAGTTTTTTACGAGAGCAGGATTCAGTCCTTCTCTCCACACAGTTGACCGCTGTGCAGGCCTCTTCAAAAACCCATGGCCTCGGACAGTGGTCAATAAGGCCAGTAAGGACAGCAGAACAGCCCAATAAGACATGTTGTCAAACGCCCAGTACTAACCACGAACAGGTAAGTTTAGGTATAACATACAGCTGCGTGCGTTTTAATAGTTCAGGGTACCGGGACCTCAATTTATCAGATGAACAAAGAAATTCGATCCTTGTTGGTTGTCAAATTGAAAGCAATATAAGTTTATTGTTGTAAAAATCTGAGGGATTAACACTGCTCATGTTTCCTTAACTAGTTTTGATCTCGTGTGACACGCAAATCGGTCGTTGAATTTCAACAGAGGTGGACATTGTGTGACAAAAACACGATTTAATGTCGGTACAATGATAAACTTTCTCTGGAAAAGCAGCAGAGCGGATGAATGACACTTCAGTTTTATTTGAGTGGGTGTAACAACATTGTTATGCAATTTCAATTCGCCTACGTCGTGTGCCAAAGCGAATATCATAACCCAGATCCTGGAGACAATGTAAGGTCCAAACGGGTTGATGTACCTGTCTGTCCACCTCAAACATGACAATAACTATTTTTGAATACTTGTGTTGCTATCAAACAATTATATTTATATTCATGGAAAAAAAAACCCATCGCAAATCATAAAAACAACATGGCATACGATTGCCATAACGATTCATGATAAATCATTGTAGGAAAAACTTGCTTGTTTTTGTATCCTATTTAATCTTAAACCTTAAAAAGTAAAACTCGCAAAGTTAATGATATGGTTAAGCTCAACCCACAAGGATCCCGATGTATCACATCGGGTGTATTCAAAAATAACAAACCGTGCAAAATGGCAACCATGATCTGATAATGCGTGTCTATTCCTGATATATATTTCTCAGGGTTGACGGCTAGTTTATAGCCGTAGTTGAGAAGTCAAACATGTAATGATAGAAAGAATCAAAGGTATTGGGCTATGATTCATCCCTTTAATAACTGTATTTAATTCATAGCTGATTATATCTGAAAATCCAATTCCGTTGTCTGTCCGAGGGTTAAGCATCATTCTCGTTGACAACTTTTCCCAAAAAAAGGATTTAAAGATTATCTGATTTGCTAAAAGGTTAAGAGTCCTATTCATTATATATTGTTGAAATAACATCCTCTTATCAAATAATATATAATTGAAATTCATTTGCCGTTTATTGAGATACAGCATCCAACACTGCAATTAGTAACATTAAAAAACACCTAATTGATGTAACTGTCAAAATGTTAAATACTATGAAAGATTAACAAAATCCAACCTTAGGGACAACTTCGAACTATTACGCCCCTTGTAATGTTCTTTCCCATCAACCAGAGACAAGTTTATTGTAATGTGACTAATATCTAATTTCTCGCGTCAGTTCTCGCGTCAGTGAGGATCTCGGGGAGGAATAAGAGTTTTCATTTGGAGTATTCTCCCTTCTGCATAGATTTATTACAACCAAACTTAGTGTTTCCCTCTTATAGTAACTTTCAGGGGTTTGTGTTCGTAGGCTTTGCGACCAATAAATTGGACAATATTTTTGATTCCATGCTCCTGCAATTCGAAGATGGAGTCATTGATAAAATGTAAACTAGGCAATGCAGAGGTCCCGGATTTGACTCCTGTAACTTTTTATCTTCTATCTTCTTACATTCAAATTTCGAACAACTAGAATTCTGTAAATCATCCTGACAGGCGATTTTTATAGAATTATAGTAGACTTATTTTAAATAGATCTTAAACACATATTTTATAATAGGGACAACGGTTACGATACTTTTCAACTTGCTGGTATCCTATACTTTTATTAACTTAAGTTCTGGTTACAAAAATGAAGTGGCGTGACAGAGTTGTTGTAGTGCCGTGGGATAAATATACAGGTGGGCTGTGCTGTGGAGTAGAGTGTCGTTACTGGAGACTAAATGGCATGTCAGATTGTTCCTGAATGTGTAGTACGCTGTGTAGTACGCAGTGATCGTGACGAGAGGTTAACCATAGCTACCCAGTAGTTCAAAGGCAAAACACGAAATCTTGAATTACCTAGGATCACTTTCGTAATCTATGAAAGAGCCTTTTGCTCCCTTTTGATAATTTTGTATTATAACGTACGAAATATATATATTTCTGTCCTTCCTTTTGTATTCCAGCGTCCACCCCGCAGCTCAGAGATGTCACAATAATTACATATGTATATCCTTGATACTCGAACATGCAGCGAGGCTCTGTTTACTAAACATACAACAAAGACAAGGGTTTTGGCGTAAATGGCTCACCCGATCGAAAATGGAAGGGTTGCCGGATTTATTGAATTATTCTGTATAGCTTGTTCTCTTGAAATCATTTCTTTCTTGGAATATCTTAACAGAAGACTGGAAATAATGATATTATTTAAGCTTTCCCGATCAGATCCAAAGTATTGTTGTTGTTTGTATTTGATGATAATTGTTTGTCCGAAAAAATGGCGTCAATTTTTCTTCAGCGAAGCGGGTCAAGTGGGGTGCGCGTCGGATGCTGCAAGGGGGACTGACCTCTTGACCAATGAAAAACCCCTTAATTACTTCTAGCATTGAAGGGGTCCCATAAAGGGGATATTTAGGGTTACCCTATTGGGATATCCTATAATAAAATAATTGAAACATTCGTTGTCCAAAAAATCGTTTATGAATATACTTTTTTATTTTTCTATGAAAATTCTGTGAATAAAATGGTGGTTGCAAAAATAACAACAAAACAGGATAAGGATTTTTTCTTTAGAGTTTCATTATCGTTAGAGTTCATTCGACTGTCTGATACTATACGGTGAAGCATAGTGCGAAAAGGGAGATTATCCATACATTTTGGGTTTTTAACTGTTCGTTATGCTTCTCAACAAGAAGTTCCATATTTAAAGCCGATAGTAATAAATATTGCACCAAAATATTTTTGTAACTAATCTATATCTTCTCTTTTGTGAAGATTAACATGAGCAATATGAAAAGGTCTGTGAATTATAACCGATTGCTCTTAATTTTATTTTTAAGGAAAGATTTTTTTAACGTCGTATAAAGGCTGTCATCTTTATATGGTGCTACTATATTACTTGCATATGACATTACATTAGAACATATGGCACATATTTAATCGTAACCAAGTGTGTTTATAAATGTATTACAAATCAACCCCTCAAAATCACAAGTACACAAAAAATATATAATTGATATGATTCAGGTAAAATTAACTGAATTGTAAATACTCAAAAAATATCTACCTTTCTACAGTATAATTAGAAATACTGTGTCTCGAATGAAGAGGGAAATGTCAATACTTTTAGAGTAGTAACAAATCATACAAATAAGTAACACTCTGTTTGATCTCCTATTCCTTCATGTTTTTTCCTGGGATACTAGATTCCATATGATATAGATATAGCCCCATGTATTCCCTACTATTACAGTTGTAGAGTACTTTGTCTTTATCCTATCTGGACAGGAGGCCATGTTACTATTTGTGGAATTCGCCTATTGTGTCCATCGACGGGTGACTGCTAAATTAGGATGGTATTGACATAATGTAATGTAATGTTTGTCATGTCAAAGGAATATAAATTTCCCTCTAATTATTTGTATGACACCAAGCCTTAATAGGTCACATACATTTGTTCTTTGATCATTTCAAAACGACGGATGAAGGATGGTTACGAAAGAACGTAGTTGATGTTGTGTGCCGAGTGCCGAGTTTAGACTTTGTTTATCTTAGTTGCTTTTGTTTTGAGATACATTTCGAATTGATAAGCATTCAGCTTGTTTTAAAAGAAAAATGATATGCATTGATAAATTACACTGAATTAAAATTTCTATGATATGTGTGCTGCATACATCAAATAATTACTCGTTTATTACTCGTATAACACGTTTATATTCATCTGAATACATCAATGAGTTGCTCTGTATAACACGTTTATATTCATCTGAATACATCAATGAGATGCTATATATAACACGTTTATGTTAAGCTGTGTACATCAATGAGATGCTAAGTATTACAAGTTTATGTTAAGCTGTGTTCATCAATGAGATGCTAAGTATTACAAGTTTATGTTAAGCTGTGTTCATCAATGAGATGCTATGTATAACAGGTTTATGTTAATCTGTATACATCAATGAGCTTCTCTGTACAGTATTACATGTTTGTACATACCGATGTGTTATTCAGCATCCTTTGTTTAAGGGTTGGCTTCATATACAATTCACATGACATATATCATAAAGTATTTTACGATGAAGGTGCTAAATGTTTGCTTCATGGAAAAATGAAAAAGTCAACGTATTTGATGAAGGGATATATATTGTCCACGTTATTTCATTGATATGTAACCACATTTAATCTGTGTCGTTTTTATTTCATTTTTAACAAATAATGAGTCATATCATCTATTGAATTAACAAATTACTGTATACTTTTACTTCCAGTGTAATAGTCTGATCAACATAGGTAACTTTTAACCAATATAAAACAATGCGGCGTGTAACAAGCAAAACTAAATCATATTATTCAATTTGTAATTCAAATATTATTCGTTAAATATATGCGTTATATAATTATTACAAATATTAAAAATGACAAAGATAACACCGTGGTTTAACGCCGGAGTTATAAAGTGAATATATTATCTACGTGATACACTGTTGTTAGTACCTGGTGGTCGCTTGACCTGTGTAATTCCTGATAAGTCTTGCCCAATTTATGTGAACATGATAAACCCTGAGATCGAGGACTGTACACATCAGCGACAGGTGCTGCTGACAACACACAAAGGTAAACATTTATGTTTTTCACGTTCATACTTAATTTAAATTTAAATAGAACATTTACGACAAATTGAATTATCGAAGCATGTATACGTATCTTTTGTTATAACAGCCACTGACCAAACCGTAGCATGAACATTAGCAGTGAAAATGTGTCACCTAACTTGACCATGACCCACAACATTAACAAAAACATCACAATGTCTCAACCAACCTCAGCCGAAACCTAAACACTGATAACAATATCACATACAGCCACTAACCTAACCATGTCCATTTAATCAGTCAATACATTTGCGTCATGTATCAGTAACCGATGTTTCTTTGTGTATGCTGATTTCGTATATGATCTAAGATTTTAATTTCTTTAATATAGATGACGTCAATCCACGTACTAATTTCTATGGTGGGATTTGCCCTTGAATCGGCCCTCTTTGCAAATGCCTCCCCCAATATCGTCATTTTCATCGCCGACGACCTTGGTTACGGTGACGTGGGCTGTTTTGGTAACACTTCCTTAAAAACCCCCAACATAGACCGTCTGGCAACTGAGGGTGCTAAGATGACACATCATCTAGCGGCTGCGAGTATGTGTTCCCCGAGTCGCACAGCGCTACTGACGGGTCGCTATCCGGTCAGATCAGGTAACACATAATTCTACATTGAGAGACGATGACATTGATAAACCGTCCATCGGTCGGTCAGTTACTGTAAGTAGGAAGGTAAATAATGAAAATGCGCTCATATATCTTATCTGGACTAAAAATAACCTGTATTCAACCTGTCTACCACGACAAAACAAGAATGGCCAGTGTATCATGAGATCCGTTTAAACATAGATGTTTACTTAAAGAAATTTAGCTCGGAATTGTATTAAGTTTTCTCCCTTAAGGTTGTTGTCAAATCAAATATAGCTGTACACAGATTAAACGCGTTATATATAGATTTACAAAATTTTAATTACTATTTCTAAAACCATTATAAATGCTATTTTATTGACAATCACTTTGAAACAAAGAAACGAATGATATATACTTGTTTACCTACCTGCTTTGTGTCGCTCTAGTCTTTATAATAATTTATCATATTTCCTTAATTACCTGTTGTTCTTGACACTTTCATCAGTAATCTTTGTGAAGATATGTATTCATGCAATGCCATAGAAGTGTGTGGTGTTGTAGTCATTAAGTTGTTGATTAATTCAACACGTTTCATCTTTATCCCTAGTGATATCTCCTCAAGAAGTGTGATAGAATATGTCATATTTATCTTTTCAACAGTAGACATTATAAAAGTGGTCAACTTGAAAAAATATATAAATAAATTATTATAGATCATCTGCCATAACGGGCTATGTTTTTTCTTCTATGTTAATCTAAGGAATCCGTTGATAGTAATATGCTCGCATACATCCTCAAATACATCCTCAAATATATCCTTACTGTTATCGGTCTATACTTGATATCATTACGATCGTCCGGCTTTTGAAATGCATATGTCCGCTCACCGAAGTGAAAAGTCTTGACTTAGGTCGTAACTATCAGAAAACCGGATGACATCTTTTCCTTTTTCCGTTGAAAGATCTGAATCAGACCGTTTACTGTTCGTAAGTCTATTATGTTTTTTTTAACCAAAGGAATCAGGACTTAAGTCATTCAATGTAAGTAGTAGTCACATGTAATGACTTTTTTTGCAGTTTTATATGCGAAAGTCTGTCAGTAGACGCATCGTCTGGAAGCGGCCTTACTAGTCACAATAAGTCAAAATCTGTACCTATCAGACAAAAAGTAGCCTAGACAATGCTATAAATGTAATTTATTACTAGCAAGTAAAGAGGCAATGTAAACGTTATTTATTTTACAACAATAATGAAATAACTAATTGTAACTTATTGTCGCTTAATCACTATTGTTGGCTCGGATGAAAACGCGCAGGGGTCTTAATGTGGGCGGAAATCGGCAAATAACTGTTCACGTGATCGGGAACCTTGTTGAGCGTTAAGAAAAAAACAGAGAGTGCACTAGGGCTGGCAAAGGGAAAACAATGTTGGATAGATCGATTTTATAGGATAAATCTAATTTCTAAATTAAAGTATTGATTTGAAAATCATGAAAACGGTAGATATCATAGTTGATATACCATAGATACGTCGACTACACTGAGCAAGGGGATCTCTCTCTATATATTTTAAAGATGACGTTTATCAAAAGGTAGTTTAAAAGCATATGTTTGAAATATGCTGGCTAAAATGTAACATATGTAAGCAGGGTACCATATTTGAAGCCATGTTTGATTTTCCAGGTATGGTGCCGTCCGGACACATTCGAATCAACACCTTTCTAGCCTGCCGTGGGGGACTTCCTCACGGCGAGATCACCATAGCAGAACTGGCAAAATCGGCGGGTTACAAGACGGCGTTAATAGGTAAGAAGGAAAGACATAATTTACGATCTCAAGACGGTTTAGGTAGTCTGTTATATCATAGTTAGGGATCTGCAAGACATTTCTGACGGAATGTTCTGAGGCTGGCTCTGTCGAGCAGGTTATAGTTGTCTCTATTAGAAAAGCAGCATATGCACTAACGACGCCGACGGGCACCAAACTGTCATGAATATGTAAACAGAGCTCTTACGTTCGGATTGTTTCGCGAAAGCTGCGATTGGTAAGCATACATAACTTGCACAGTCAGTAGGCTACAAATCCCTTTTTACAGGTATGTAGAAACGTTGGCGTCGGGGATGGGACTAATATTTAAGGATCTAAGTAGATAAACAAAACTAGTACAGTATTTGGTATATGTACGCATAAGATTCAAGAAGGCTAAATTGGTAAGAAAAGAGGCATGGTGATAATGTATATGTTATATGTATGTTAAAATGGGTAAAGAAAAGATGATAAAAATACTGTACAAACAGTCGGTAAGGTAGCTCATATAACTCAGCAACTTTATCGTGACAAATCCATCTTCAACACAACAAAATTAAGACACTTTTGTTACGGCACGATTTCTCACCCGACATGATTTGAGAAATCATGTCGGGTGAGAAATTGCTGAGTTCGCAACACGATTTCCCACCTCTGCACGATTTCTCACCTAGGGTAAGAAATCGTGTTAGGCGTAGGCATATTGCCCGTTGCCATGAGTACGAACATTTTGATTTGGGGGGATTGTGGTTTATTAAGGTTTATTCATTTAGAAACTACTGCGTAAACTTCAAACTTTGAACTTGTTCGAACTTCAATATTTAGCTCACCTGATCCAGTAGATTTGGACTAAATTTTGCCTGGATCATCCTTAGGCCAAGGGAACTCAATGTTGTATAACACCCCCCACCCCCACCCNTATCGTCGTTCACTCAGATAAGACTGTATCCATCATAGTGCGGTATCAGTCACTCCATAATAGTACTCCAGATGTTTATAAAGTATGCCATGGTCGATGACGTCAAATGCAGCTGACAAGTCCAGCATGACAAGCACCGCTCTGCACTTGTTATCCAATGCAGAAGATATGTCATTATGTACACGTAGGAGGGCCGTCTCAGTAGAGTGTCCCATGTGGTAGGCCGATTGCATGTTGTCGTGGAAACTGTTTGCATGGAGATGAATCTCTAAACGCCGGGACAAATCCGTCTCCAAGATCTAAGACTGAAAAGGCAGATTTGATACTGGGCGGTAGTTCTTCAACTCCTCCTTTTCCAATCCAGGCTTCATCATCAATGGTTTTACATGTGCCTTCTTGAAACACAAAGGAACCTTTGACCCAGCAAATGATTTGTTCATGATTGAGGTAATCAAGGGAAGCAGTGCTTCAAGACATTGATTTAATAGGTCTGTAGGCAGTGGATCAAACTCACAGGACTTCGATTGCGGGGTCATGATGATATTGCGCAACTCGTCAGGGGTTGTTGGTGTGAGCTTTGTCAATCGTTCCCCATCAAATTTAATTTCAGCAGTCATGACAGAGATATCATTGTCAGCAGTAGAGTTCACTTCCAATATATTTTCCTGATCGAGCTGGTTTTATTCAGAAAGACATCACTGAACCTGTTTGACAAGTCTTTTTCAGAATTACAGTTTGGTAAGATAATTTCACCTTTTTGACCCATTAAGTTTTTGGTGAGTCTAAAAAGTCTATGGTCCTAACCACATTCTTCAATTCTTTCGAAATAATAAGTCTTCTTTGACTGAATGAGAAGTGAACCAACTAGTCGACATTGTTCCCTATAAATCTGTTGATGAACGGTTAATTTGGTCCTTCGCCACTGTCTCTCTGCTTTTCTACGGTTCTGTTTTTCTACGCGGAGATTTCCATTGTACCACGGGGCATTTGGGCACCGAGCGACATTTAAAGGACACTAGATTCAGAGGAATAACTGACTTACAGTGACCAGCTGTTGTTGGCTTGATGACATGTAAATTCTCGTACGATACTGATGATGTCGGAATCCGTGTTGAAGTATTTTAACGGATCAATTTAGGTGAACCGGATTACGTTTGAATGTGTTTAAGAAGGTGCGCGCACGTGCATTGTATGAATCGGGCAACAGTATATTTGTTTTCATCTGTGAAGATATTTTAAGACTCCTGTTGCGTATTTCAAAAGTAAATGAATACATTTTAGATTTATAAACTTCCGTGTGATAAGCAATTAGCGGCCTCGCTTCCAGATATATGAGTGGCAATTATTAATAAATCATTTTCATATTATAGCTCTAACGGGCCACCGTAAATGTCTACCGGTTTGTCGCCTCGCTGAATCTATATGTACGTGAACAAAATATATATGGTATGATAAAAAATAAGGTTCATTTTATCATAACAAAGAGTATCAGATTTTGTTTGCATCTGATTATAAATTTAAAACATATTCACTTGAGTTTAGAAAGCTGGTGACCTTCAACAAGGTGACAGACATTACGACAGGTATTACATAATATGATGTAAATGTATATGGTATGATAAAAAATAAGGTTCATTTTATCATAACAAAGAATATCAGATTTTGTTTGCATCTGATTATAAATTTAAAACATATTCACTTGAGTTTAGAAAGCTGGTGACCTTCAACAAGGTGACAGACATTACGACAGGTATTACATGATATGGTGTAAAATGCGTTTAACTTTCCGCAACACCTATCACAGTCTCAGTAATTTTTGAACACTGGTTTGTTTATATGTCTCTTCTCGAATCCTGTGGTGGTCTTTTCATTTAGTTTCCAGTTACTTTGTTTCAAGGTATATCAAATATTTTTACTCACCTGCCTCGAAGTGTCTGTAATCCTATGATGTGGTATCGTACGTCAGTAGTCTATCAACTGTTTGTATGTACCACCTGTGCAAAGTACATTTGTCCTAAATAGTTGACCAGCAGATACCTTGAACGGTTGCGGAACACTTTACTTACTTTGTGTGGTCTTACATGTTAAACGTTTCAAACAACATTAAATAACAAAAACACTTGTATATGCTATAAATACCAGAAATGCATTTATTTATGTGGACAAAACCTTGAAAATTTAGTCTAAATAGATTGATAGATAAATCAATCAATACATATTAGGCATGCTGCACATTGGACTACTACTCATTTGAAATCATTATCTATTACATGTAAACTTAGGCAAGTTTTAAGACACCACGGACAAGATCCATCCCCAATTGAGAGTTGGGATGAGAAGTCGTGCCGGGTGAAAAAAACGTATCACCTATGCCGATCTGTTTTGCACGATGATTTTTCACCCGGCTGAGAAATCGTGCTGGGGTGATAAATCGTGTTGCGAACGCAGCACTTTAAGTACAATGTCTTTCCCGGGTGAGAAATCGTGTCTGGATGAGGAATCGTGCCATAACACACTTTATTACACATGAAAGTGTGCAAATATAAATTATTTTACAATTTAGGCATTACATTCTATTCTGTAAATCCTTTGATTTCTTTTCAATCAGCAACAACAATAAAATGGGATGCCGCTACTTATATTTAGATATTGCGCGTGTGTTTTAAAGAAAAACAGGACAATTACAGGCATGTATCTTATATTTTCAGGGAAGTGGCACTTGGGGATGAGTCGTACCATTGGCGACAATGTTTATCATCCAAAGAACCAAGGATTTGACAGCTTTTACGGGCTTCCTTTGACAAACCTTAGAGATTTTGGCGATGATGGGGATTCCATTTTCAGGGCATACATGCCAGCATGGCTGTGGCGGTGTTTCGGTATAACAATGGTAGGCTGTTTGACGTCTCTTGGTCTCTACAAGCGGGCCTATGTGGGAGCACTGTGTTGTTTAGTGTTAGTTGTACTAACTGTAGTACCAGTGGGAACGTTCCTATTCGTTGTTACTAATATGAAAATACTGAATAGTATGATTTATAAAGACTTCGATATAGTCGAGCAGCCTATTCGGCTTAGAGGAATGACGCAAAGGTTTGCGAAGGAAAGTGTAGAATTTTTAGAACAACAAAAAATCGAAAGAAATCCGTTTTTGCTGGTTGTTTCTTGGACACATGTGCATACGGCCATCCAGGTGACGAAAGAATTTCGTGGTCGAACGCGACATGGTCTCTATGGGGATGCAGTGGAGGAACTTGACAGTGGCGTAGGTGAAATCACGGATGCTCTAAATAGACTTGGACTTAGAGATGACACTATTGTTTATTTTACGTCCGACAACGGAGGCTATTTAGAAGAAAAGGGTCTCCATGGAGAAATGAACGGTGGATACAACGGTATTTTTAAAGGTATATTGAAGGTGGCGTTGTTCCGCCTTTACATGATCTTTACTTTTATAGTCATATTTTAAGAGTCATATTGTGGCACACTTATTGGTATCACTGCTGAATTTTAATTCAGGAAAACTTTTTTGTTTTCTGTTTGTTTTTAACATATTTGCTCTTTGTAAATTCATGTTTTTATTTGATTACGTGTTTGCTAGGCGGGAAAGGACAAGGCGCAGTTGAGGGTGGTATACGCATGCCCGGAGTGATTCGATGGCCCGGTAAGATTCCGCCCGGGACTGTAGTCAACGAGCCGACGTGGATGATGGACATGTATCCGACACTGGCGCGTGCAATGAGGGCAGAACTACCCAGCGATCGTCCACTAGACGGAAAGGATATCCTGCCCCTCCTCAGACAGCAGGACACGGTGTCCCCTCATACATTTATGGTTCATTACTGTGGGATCGATGTACATGCTATCAGATATAGGCCAAGGACAGGTAATATAAACCAAGGCCAAGTAATGTGAAATATTGTTCGACTGACAGATTATAACGCAGAAATTTTCCTTTCCTTTCGAAACACTATTTAAAATGCAGATATATTGCCTGTATATTTTCAAAATTTCATAGACCTTCCGCATAAAATTATTATAACAGGATGGTTGACATTTCTCTACAGTCAAATAATATGTCTTTTTTTGCTCGGGATGTTCACTTTCTGGACATTTCGGACTTTCAATAACATATGAATAACAAATGATCTATTGAACTTGTCCTGCGAGCAAAAATAGTATATAATTCTGATTATGCTGAAATACTTAACGTAAATGTACTCAATCAAAAATGCTAGAATTAGCACATTTCCGTTCTTTACGAGGGTCTACACACCGATATATTTTTGAAATTGAAAATGAGCCTTTTTCTAACAGTGTTTAAAAAGTGCTTACATTTCTATGATCCTTGATTGCTATTTCATAATTGTATTAATGGTGTTGGTAATTATTAAGGATAGACACCAGTCTAAAATGTTTTGGAGAGGACAAAATATTCTCTTTTTGAACTGACATGGTGCCTTACCAAGGGATGTTTGACGTACTTGAACCTGCATGAATTAAGTTAATAGTTGAATAGAAATGATATAATAATTATCATTCATATGCAATGAATGAAAAATTATTCAACCTGAACAGATAACAAGTTTGATTAAAACAAAAGATTGTAGCCACTTACCATTACATATTAAGGAAAATTAGTATCTCATATTCACTATCAAGATCAAATATCCCACCTCAACGCTTCCACGTTATCAAACGTAAGGATTCTGCATTCTCCTAAACCACAACGTCGTTGCCTACAGAAAAATTCCTTTACAGTTTTGATTAACCTAATTGTATTTGAGTGGTTAGTTCTAAATGCTATATCTAAACTTCATAGCAAGATTAATTTGATCTAATTTGAATGCACAAATCAATTTGAGTTCCTTGATACATATAATATATTAGAACGTTTTTTATGTCAAAATATTATTGTATACTACTCATGTTATTAATTCATTCATTTAACAATTTATTGATATGTTTATCATTATACCTTCATATAATAGTACAAGCAGAATAACCCTTGGCCTGCTACGATATTGCATTTTCACGCATTTTGCTCAGCCAATATAGCAAAACATAAAAGGTCATCATTGTTTCACATTGGCAAAGCTAACCTTTCACATGTCTGAATATAAGTGAATTTATCATCTTTAAACAGGTATCAAGGTGTGGAAGTTGGTCCTGAGGTCACCTAACTATGTCTCGGGAACGAACAAGTGCGTTCCCATATGTACCTGTCCAGATGCGATCATTCATAGTGTACCATTCCTGTATGAATTGACATCTGACCCGAGTGAAGCAAATCCATTAAACTACTCAGGCAACACTGACCTTGAGAAGGTTGTAGCTATAATACAACAGGGCCATGGACGTCATATCAGGTCTGTCGAGCCCGTGGAAATCCAATTTTCTACCCGAAATCTCATATGGAGGCCTCACCTGCAAGTTTGTTGTAATTTCCCCAGTTGTCACTGTAAAGATCCAAAGTATGCTGACTATAACTGACATCAGGTCATACACGGTTAATATTGTGTGTTAAGGAACATCAACATTTGCTGTACAGTTTGTGGTTGTGGTATACATGTTCAATTTGTGATTGTTATAAAATTGGGTTAACAGTATATTGTATACTATTTGGGATTGTGATAATATTTTATACTATTTTGGATTGTGATAATAGTGTATACTATTTGGGATTGTGATAATATTGTATACTATTTGGGATTGTGATAATATTCTAATAAAATGGACAAAAATATATAACAATGTTCAAAATTTGGATCAGCATTCGGCTTTCAAATGTAATGTGACATTCCTGATATGCTGATATTAAATGCATTATATTGTGAAGAATCTGCACCCGTTCTGATATATTATAGCACATTTTCTATATTTTTACCGTGTCATAGGAACTATTCAATATATTCCTGACATAAATACAATGATATTGATGACTAAATCATCAGGAATCATCAGGAAATGGTATCGCTTAAAACTATATATCTATATGCTTTAAATAGAGCACATTTAGTTAGCTCGATTTGTGCAATGTGCTGGTGTCACCAGTGTTTTCCATTCGAGCAATCCCTCGTGACGATTTTCAATACTCTTAACATTTATTTCACAATTCTCATCGATAATACACACACACACACACACACACACACACACACACACAATAAATAAATATCGTGAAATATTACACAATTTATATGTTAGAAGTTAGGAGTGGAACCCTATCTATAAATTCGTTTCAGCAAAGATTCATATTTGACATGTTGAATTGTTTTAAATCAAAATGAAAGCAAATCAACTTTGTTATATATGGTACGGTAGTGTACTGATTCAAACAACTTACTATATACACGTGTATCAAATATTCACACCGATCTTTGCGTGGAAATACTTTTGTTGGGATAAGAGAAATAAATATATTGTATATATACTGAACAAAGAAAGAAACGCACAATTAAATTATGCAAACAAAAGCCTATGATATTTTGGGAAATTTGTACAAAATTTTATATCAATATGAAGGGACAAGTCTACTCTTTACAATACTGTAGAAGAAAAGTCTGTGTGATGTCACTCGTGTCATCAGTAGTTACTCAAAGTAGCATACCCGCGAAAAACAAAATGACACTTCAGTACCTGGTGTGGGCACCTTTTGCTCGAATCCCTGCACGGATTCTCCTATGCATTGAATTCATGAGAACATTTATTCGCCTTAAGGGAATGTTGTTCCATTGTTGTGTTAATGCTGCGATCAACTGGGCGCAGTTAGTTGTGTGTTTTTTTGACGTTTCCTAATACACCTGTCCAGCTCATCCCACAGATGCTCAATGGGAGACATGTCGGGGCTATATGGGGGCCATTCCAGAGGCTGAACGTTGTTTGCCGTGAGAAAATCACGACAGACTCTGGCAACATGCGGTCGAGCATTGTCTTGCTGGAAAATTAGGTTATGACGTCTGAGAAGTGGAAGGACATGTGGTTGGAGGATCTGGTCTCTGTATCGAACGGCATTGAGGTTTTGATCCAGGACCACTAAGGGGGTTTTACTCCATGGGAGATGCCTCCCCAAACCATTACAGAAGCCCCATCGAATCTATCGCGTTCAACCACGCATGCGTCGGCGAAACGCTCACCGCGTCTGCGATATACCCTTTTTCTTCCGTCTGAGCGATACAGACAGAATCTAGACTCGTCGGTGAACATCACACGCCTCCATCGACGCTTCCCAAACCTATTCGGGCCATGTCTGCGCATCCAGTCAAGACGCACTTGCCGCCTCCATGATGTCAGAGGTGGCCCAAAATAAGGTCGGCGCGCAATAATTCTCTCGGCACGCAAGCGGTTCCTGGCATTTTCTTTTTTTTGTTCAGTATACAATAAAACACTAAATACAAACTCGTTACTCGAATAGACGAAACAGCTAATACTCTCTTAAGACTTCCAAAAAGGCTATGGGATAATAAAGAGTATGTAATACTAACTAGGTTACGTGTGAAGGGCCTCCATACTACCACACTTATGATGGACAGTGAGTCGTTGACGTCATACTTTTAAAAGAAAGCAATCTTTAAACGTTTCACATAAACAGTAACTACGTTTACATTTTAATACACTTTATATATTCATCAATGTTAGGCTTAGCTGACCTAAATAAATGTGCTTAGTCTGGTATCGGTCAACAATCGTTTTCAACGGCCTAGTAATGACTCATAGAGAGTTTGTTTTTTTTGCAATCCAATATCAACTCAACGTTTTATCTCATCATCAAAAGTAGGTCAAGCAGAATATTATGTAACCATGATGTAATAGTGATGGTAGCGGAGACCGTCTGAGATTTACAACAGCACTAGACCAGAACAGCTGTTTTATTTGTATCGCCAGTACAGTCATGTACAACTGGGACCACAGACTAGGAAGGCAGTGGAGATTTAACACAAGCGGGTAAGTACGTTCATTTTTAAGTTGTCTCAATATACTTGCACCAGGGTTGTTGTTGGTGTGGTGGGGTGGGGTTTTTTTTTGGGGGGGGGGGTATTTTTCTCCCATGCATAGATTACCTGATTTCCAGTAAGAAATGAAAAAACTCTGCTGAATCACGGCATCCTGTTTTATAAATGAAGAAAATAGATTTTTAGCTGGAATTGGTAAGAAAGTATTCAGCAAGGAGCAATAGCTATTTAGAAGTTGCCAAATTAGGTAGACAAGCCCCAGTAAATAATGGTGAGATAATACACTTTTATAAAGCACGTCACATCTACGAATACGTTCTTAACAATGTAACTTGAAACCAGTTTGCAGGTAAGGTCCCATAAATATACATTATTAACTGGATTTCGTTTAAACTGACCTTCATTTCTAACACAGAACAAAATAACATAAGTTTGCACTTCAGCAGTGATTCGATGTTATCTTTGAAAGTTCGAGACGATCAAATAGTAAAATAGTGTATTTGTTATTAGATGTCTTTAGTTTTCGGCTAAAATAACATATCTTGTTCCTTCTGTTTACATTTTCTATGTCTTCTTCACAAAATATTTCCTGACTTGTCAGGCACTGAAACCAGAATGTTTAGAAGTAAGGCTTCAGCCATATAGGGGCACTTTAAGGGAGTCAAAAAGAGTTCATTATTTATTTGTATATGTTATTATTTTATGAAACAAAAACCATAAAACATGTCTACTCAAGAAACATAAATACCAGACATATTTCTTGGCATTTTAAAAAAGGTCCACAGACAAGAATATGTTTATGATATGCAATATGTTTGTGTTGAACATCAAATGTGCATAACACATTCTGATCAATTGTCAGCAAACATAATTTAATAAAAAATACGTTTGGTCAGTCAGTCATATGCCAGCATGTTAAGGTCCAATTTAGGGTCGACTTTTAACATTGAACACTGATCATAACAGTTTAACGATCAACGTTTTCTTTTTAACCTGTTCTTTAATATTGTATATGCATGCCCTTCGCTTACATAACCCTGTTCACAGCTTGTGATATGTTATTGTCGTTTTATTTACGATACATACGGGAAAAAACTTTGCTACAGCAAACCCTTTTTTTATTTTTTTTATTTTTCAAAAGACTGAAATTAAAAAACATTCAATCTTTTACGTGAAAAACCCCCATTCAAGTAACATAAATAGTGGTGTGAGGGTCGTGCATTGTTGTCTACGTCTCCATGGAATGTTAATATTATTTGAATATCTTAACCTTAAGACAACGTTTAATTAGAAATTGGGCATTCCAAATACTCCATATCAATGACCAGTTAGATATTAGTTGTTCAACGAGATAACCGTATAAAAGGATGAGGCAACGAGACGCATGACCACCTAAATCCCCACGGCGGTTATAAGACTTGTTTAACTACTCGCACGTCTGGTAATACACGTTTTTGTTTAGTCTCGTAAAACGTTTCAATTTAGCAATACCAGTTATAAGGATCGTTGTTCCACTGCACTGTTTTTGTTTTGTTTTTTTGTTTTGTATACGGGAACATCCCTTATACTTCCGTTTGGATTTATCTGTTGGGCCAAAACATTTCTGTTGACCATGTAGCTCAATTCGTTGGAGCGATAGTGTAACAATCGTAAGTGACCACTGTTCGAGTCGTCCCGGTCTGGCCCAGCTGAATGTTTTCCACTCACAACTACGTTGTTGATTATTTTTGTTAAAATCCCACAAGGTATGGTTTTAATTATTTATCAAAACTATAGCCATACCGGGGGGGGGGGGATCAACACTAAGTTAGTTTTGGCATTGGTACGGGGATCCTTTATCATTAAGTAATAATTAGCGAACATTAATTTCTATTAGACACTCGATCGGACTTTCACGAATGTCCATGGTCTAATTGGGTACACAGTTGGATATTCCCGAATGTCAAATGTTCAATATATAACCAACATCTGGTAACCAGGTATGTTTTCAAGTAATAACCGTAGAGACCCAGTCGCTCACCCTTACTGGATGCCGAGTGGCATGAACTGTAGTTTGGGGGTTTGTTTCTATGAAATGTAGTTTGGGGGTTTATTCCTATGAACTGTAGTTTAGGGGGTTGTTCCTATGAACTCTAGTTTGGGGGTTTGTTTCTATGAAATGTAGTTTGGGGGTTTGTTTCTATGAACTGTAGTTTGGGGGTTTGTTCCTATGAACTGTAGTTTAGGGGGTTGTTCCTATGAACTCTAGTTTGGGGGTTTGTTTCTATGAACTGTAGTTTGGTGGTTTGTTTCTATGAACTGTAGTTTGGGGGTTTGTTTCTATGAACTGTAGTTTGGGGGTTTGTTTCTATGAACTGTAGTTTGGGGGTTTGTGTCTATGAACTGTAGTTTGGGTTTTGTTTCTATGAGCTGTAGTTTGGGGGTTTGTTCCTGTGAACTGTAGTTTGGGGGTTTGTTCCTGTGAACTTTGGTTTGGGGGTTTGTGTCTATGCTTTAGAACTATGGTTATTTTATAGCAGGCAATGGTATTATATTTGGAATGGTTTTATGTAACTATCAAGTAAAGCGTGTTCCTGTATATCACGCACATTAACGCTCCTAATAGAGAAAACGAAAGCTGAATTTGGTGTGAAATGCTACTGTAGTAAACGTTATTGCATTTACAACTTGCAACTTTATTTTGAGGAATTAATATATTTCAAAAACATATGAAATATAATGATCAAATGAGTCAAGAGTATTCATTTAAAGCATCCCCTTGCATCAAGTGACAAGGCAGTCAAAGTTTAAAATACTAGAAACACTCTATAAAACAAGTCAATTTTCTTGCAAGCAAACACGCTTGGTGTAAAATGCATCTCTACCAATACATAATATTTAAAGTATAAGATTTTTCTGCAAGTAATGTTTTGACTGATAGCCAAAGACAAATTGTCTACACTATACAATTATGGACTTCAGGTGAGGTCTATCCCTGATTTACGAACCTGGTCTGAACAATATTCACAGAGGCCGAAGGCCGAGGTGAATATTGTTCAGACCAGGTCCGTAAATCAGGGATAGACCGAAACTGAAGTCCACAATTGTTTTATTATATGACATTTAACGATAAGATTAATAATTTTTCATGGCATAAGCACAGTGATGGCATGGACCATTTTGGAATCACAGAGTGTAGGACTTCAAATACAAAATAACATACACACAAATTGAATTTCAGATTCAATTCATGTGATATTTAATTTCAAGTAAATATTATTTGAACAATTGACATCATCAATATTAACATAGTTCAGAAGTTTATGAGAGAATTAATTTGTATTTGAATTCAGTATTGTGAATGGTAACAGATTTACAGACTGGCTGGGAAATTACCTCGGCCTATTTTTAGTAGCGGTCTATAACACTTTTCTATTTCTAGGTCGAGGTCTGTAACACTTTTCTATTTATAGAATGAGGTCTGTAACATATTTACAGACTCGTCACGTGACGTCACTCCTCCAATCAGGGCTGGGAATTAGCACCAGTCATATAATAAATGCCAATGACATTTATTTCCTGCAGCCGAGTCAAAAGAACGTGTGGACAGTGCATTTACATATTTAGGAAATAAAAGACATAATCGAAACATGATATTCATTTGTTTACAGATTATGAAAGATGGAAGCATTTCATTGGAAAGCAGAATGTTTTTTCATGTCTGGAAATGCTCCACAAGTTTGCCTCAACAGTTGTTGTGACGTCACATTTCTTGTGGGACCCACGTATAGCGCTGTCTCCGCTCACAAGTGCGTTTTAGCGAACAGAAGTGCAGTATTCAAGGTGATGTTGACAGGATATCTACCGGAAAAGATATCACTTCCTGATGTAGACAAGGATGCGTTCCAAACATTTGTGAGGTATCTGGAATATAATATTCTTCGTTGACGTGGAACCAACTGTTCCGTTTTTTTGAAAATAACTATTTGTAAATTGTACAAAACTCATATGTGCTTATTCTTTTACGTTCCTTGCCGTCGAAACACATTTTCAGCTAATTTCTTGTTTTTGTTTTCAACATAAGGATGTATACAAGGCATGCTGTCATGGTATCATTGCTGCTAGACTTTAAAAAGCACAATGCATTATAGAAACGGTGAAATGTTCTAGGGTATTCATTATTTTCATTACACGAATACGTTTCTTGATGACCGTGACGCTGCCAATATTGTATTCTTTACAAAAGTAAGATTCTATTGTTGTTTTTCTTTCATTAATAAGATTCGCGAAGAACGTTTCATTGCTAGGCTTCTTTTCTTTTATTAAGATATCTGTATACGGATGAAATCGACATTACCGAAGACAATGTTGTCCCCCTCCTCTATATCAGCCGAAAGTACATGGTGGACATGTTGGTGGACATGTGTCAACGGATTTTAGTTTCTATGGTAACTAATGAAAATGTAGTGTATATCTTTAATCTGGCCGAAATGTTTTGCCTCAATAGTATGCAAAAATATTGTGTGAGTGTCATGAGGAAATCTTTGCACGAAGTCACCAAATCAGAAGATTTTATCAAGTTAGATGTTGGAAAAATGACGCAAATTGTCCGAGGATTAGACTTGGGTAGGTCACCGACTTACGTCGCTTTTTGTCTGCGTCACTGGTGTTCTACTGAATGTTCACGACGAGATATGCCGGAGTTTGATGAATCATTCTTGAATCTCCTTGTCTCTGAAATCCAATTTAATACCGTTTCGGGCAGGCTCTTTATCGAAAGCTTCCGGCATCCAAACAAATGAAACAAATTATTATGTACCCATATGAAATAGGGGGCATACAGTTTAAACAATGTTTCGTCGTTTTCTGACGTGAACTTATCCGTGCGTTTTCTCAGAAATACCTTGTTCTTCGGTCATATGGACGATCACTTGCAAATCCAGCATCTCAAGGTGAGTGGAAGGAAATCGACATTTCGCTTGATGTAACTCGTGGACTGCTCTCCGATTGACTGTGACAATAAGGTTCTCACTTATGTCCAATAGAGCAGCGCTTACTTCATACTTAGTGGGAATGAAACACAGGGATTATACTTTTTGTCAAAGAATATACTTTTTGTCGAAGAATTGACATTGTTATAATTATTATTATTCAAGATGGCAACTGGGATATCTCAATGGCCTTGACAAATTTGTATTGGTCTATTTCTAAATTTTAAAAAACATATAAAACAAAAATATAATATAATACAAACTAATAATATTATAATAAAAACTTGAACGCGTGTTTTGTTGAGCTTGTGTGAATGTGAAATATATATTTCCGGCGGCATCCTAGAAGACTACCATGGTTCCTGATTAGCCAAGTTCGTTAGGGTTAAAACTTGAGTCATGTTGGGCTGTATTTTAAGTAAATTTAAGTATGTATGTTTATGCGAGTATATATGAAAGGATCTGATTTGAAATTAGTAATTGTCATAAATATTGTAATCCTCTATAAATAAAGGAGCTATCATCATTTTGTTATATACTTACTGTACTGCGTCGACACTCCAGAATCAATGAATAAGAGTCCATGAACTGTTTATATATGACGATTCCGCTCAACCTAAAACCTGATTTGAGCATTGCATGGATTAATCATCTTTGTATGCATGGCAAGTGCCAATACGTTTTCAAATTACGTTTTGATATTTATTTGATGCAACATTGCTATGATGTCATCAAGTGTGTTATTTGTACTGAAGCAGATAGGGTAAATATATCGCATACAATTATCAAATAACTCAATAACTCAAAAATGTCCTATAATTTATCATGGACAGCAACACGTAAACCAGTTGACAGTTCAGCCCTATCTACACTGTGTTTAGAACAATTAGAACATATTACAACAACTATAGAAAGAAAAGTGAAATAAAACATGCAAATAAAGTACTTGCTGTTACTTTTCTTTTTAACAAACTGTTGTAACTACACAGGCAACTTTTCTTCTGTTCATTTTTCAGGTCAAAAGCATCTAAAACAAGAGCAAAAATGACAAAAAAAAATCAGACGATTTCAGGTGGAAAATTGACCTGAATATATATGTGACTTGCGACTTACAAAAATAACTATCATATCAATTCGGGTTAATTTCAGGTAAGGATTTGTTCAGGTCACCTGAAAAAAAGCCTGTGCATAAAAACACACAAACTTGTGAAATATACAATATAAACTCTCATCTCTGAAATTATAGATGAAAGTATGGCAAGCCAACTTAACATTTATTCAAGGAGCAATGTCGATTCTGTATTTCATCGAATTATATATGATATCTTATATAGCATATGAGATATCTTATATATTATATAAGATATCTCATATACTATATGAGATATCTTATATACGATTTAAGATATCTTATATAGTATATAAGATATCTCATATGCTATATAAGATATCATATATAATTCGATGAAATACAGAATCGACATTGCTCCTTGAATAAATGTTAAGTTGGCTTGCCATATGAAAGACACATTTCTGGCATGAATAGATCCCTAGGCCTTGTACATTGTACTAGAATTTCCACTGTCACAATCTGTATTTCCTGGTTGACTATCATCCATTTGTTCACAAGTTATACCTTCGTATTACGGACAGCCGATGACTGGTATCCTGTTTTAAATATCAAACGCTTATCAACACAGCTCTATATAACGTCATTTAAAGTTACTAAATTCTTGAAATGCCTCCTCTTCGTGTACTGCAACTGATAAACACGAATCAACAATTGGTAATACTTATGCTCTGGTCACATTTCATTTTCATGAGATACCGGAGAAAAAGTCTCCAATATTTTGTTTAACGTACAATTATTTATAAGTGTATTATTTCGTTATCAAAATGTAGATAATTGGAAAATATGCAAAATGGGATGATATCAATAACTCTCAATCAAACAATGTATACTACTTCAAACAAACCCTCTTCGTGTTAAGTTTGGAAAATTTTATTTTCATATTATATGCTTTCATTTTCCTTCATCCACTAAGTATCGGGTGAGCTTGTTTGTAATGAAACTTTAAGGTTTGCATACCAGGGTGTATCAGATAAAGAATGTAGATATGTTTTTCTATACTTCTTTCTGTCTATTCCTGACCAGTCTGTGGATTTTTTATCATTTGTATAATATACGTTTTATAAACAAATACCTTGTCATAAGGTCTAATACAACACACGTATGTCTGTAAAATAACAATACCTTGTATACTGGGAGTGTTTGTCTACAAATCCACCTCCTGTTTTTCATTCTCATGATGAGGGAAAACTTGCAATGGCAACAAATGCTAGTTCATGTGAATGGCTAAATCAAAACTAGGAGAATATGAGTTTTGTCGGTAAAGTGCCGAAGTTTGACAGGGACAAAATTCCCCGGTGTACCATATTCAACTAAGTTTCACCTCTGGGTGTCTGTTAAGAGCAATGGGAGGTACAAATGTATCTGACAGGCACTTAAGAATGTGCTTGCTGTATGCATGTATACATGTATAGCGTAAAGGAAACATCTAATTGTTTCAGATAAAAAAACAATTGATGTTTTTTATATAAACATTTGACGAGTAAGTTTATTCGAGAAAACAATCTTCACATACATGTACCATGCATATTTACCGACTTCAACATAACGTCACTTATCGTCAATAAAAAATAGAGCCTTATCAGTACGATTCCTACAAATAATACCAATGGTAAAGCTGTCAACAAACCTTCTCCAGTTCGTATATTTCCACATTTGTTTTCTTTACGAATTTGACAATATGCCCAATACTGCAATGCTCTGGGGTTTTCTGCCTTCTCCATAGAGATGGAATATGCCGTAGAGAAAGGTTATACTCATATTCAATAACAAAACAAAATCGCCAGCTTATTATACCTATTAGGAGTTGCATTCCGCCTTTGCTTTTAGCTCTTTAGGTCAATTTTTTTTATTGCAAAGCGTCCTAAATGTACCGTATTTCGTACGTCCACGGGTTTCTGCGACTTTTGATAACTTTGCTTGTCCATTTTCTTCTCTTTGAGTTTCCTTTAATTCAATATTTTCCACCAGGTTTTGATGTCAGTGGTTTATTTCTACTCTATATGTTTTTTACCGTCTTATTTCCATTTATTTTAAGATTAACAAATTCTACATACGGAATAAAGACGTTTGTAGCAGTTGATCATGTATCAACTCCTGGTCTCACCATACACTCGGTGATTGCTGGAATCAAAAGGGGAAATTCCTAGTGATGATCTTTTCTTTGATATTCACGAAGAAATCAAATTTAGACAATAAAGCCCCTTGACATATCGAGAGAGAACAGAGAATGTTGGTATGTGCATAGACTGATGGACAGACAGATAATTCCTACACAAAATTGTCACAATTTAAAACTAAAAACAAAGTAAATTTCACCAATTCTTTATTCGCCAATATCTTTACAACCCACCACTGTTAAATATGTAGCCATCGCTCAAAAATACGTTCAATTTCATCGCAAATCATTCCACAACAAATATAAAAGTTTTAAAAAAGCATTCATTATGAGAAATGTATGGTGGACAAAAACAATCGAGTCATGTGTATATATGGGCCCCTTAAGTAAGTTCAATTTTGTCTGTTTTATTTTTTTACATGGAAAATCGAAACAGCTATTTTTTTTATACAAACAGACTACAGCAGTGTGCGCTTTGCTATTTCCTTCCATTGACCTATTTCATTTCACCATTCAATTTGTGTTGGAATTGTTTGGACTTTAAAACTGCATGTACCTGGACATGAATGATGTTTTCAGTATCATCTTCACGAATAACTAATCTTAAGACTGATAGATGATATTCAACAGTACTGTTGGAATTATAGGGGGAAATCGTTTTCATCAGTAGTTATTGTCCAAATCCTACAGAATACTAACACAGTACCTCAAGTTACAATGAAACCCACTTTAAAGAAGATTCGGTTAACATTTTCTTCCATATAAATACATGAAATAAACAAAAGTATTATGTAATCATATAAACAAATATCCAAAAAAAGAAGTTAATGTCATGTGAATAAAATACGTCCTATCATTAATATGCATTATATACATGTATATCTTTGATACTGATTAACACTTACTTCCGCAGTAAAAACAAGCAATTCAAAACCTCAAAAGATGAGATCTGCCGTAATTAATACAGCGATTACATAGACAACGATTGTACCAGGTACACCAAAACGAGACAAGTATTACATCAATATTCATAACTTACAGCTACTTATAAAAATTAATTCAACACTATACACAAATGGACAATGACATAATTCCAACATTTCTTTTTACATAATAACGTAAAAATCTCTTTAAGCATTTCATTTTCTTCAGAAGAAAAATCTTGATGAGTAGTGTTCACACATTCAGATAGTATATATTACCTAGCTTATACTTGATATTATATAACTCTTCAGTAATTGAGGACCAATATTTCGTTAAATACACCATCAACTCTGTAAATTGTTAAATTATATATTTGGCAATTAAAACATTATTTACAGTTTATTCTGGCCATTAAATACGTCACATTGCATAAATCTATAATAAATACTGTATACTTTTAAAAGCATTAAATGTACATAATTAACAGAAAGCAATGTATTTGTGTCGCATAAGAGCATTATATATTCCTTCAGTGACATTTCTTTAACACGAAAGTTACAAAGTGAAGATATTTTAACAACTTCATCATTAAAATGTCAGCAGTCTACAAAAAGAGTATGACAAAGACGATATTGCGTGTGTTTATAGCACTATTTGCCTGTTATATTAACTTACAACAGTCACCGGACCCATTTGTATCCCACCTCTAAGACTTATTCCCCATGAACGTTTCAATTGTCTCCATAAAACATTTTCTTTGGTTATGTTTTGCCATAGTTTTCTCAAAATCAAGTAAACATTGTTATCTTATTTTTACACTTGGATATTTTATTGTTTTATTTTCTTCATCAGCACAAAAACAAAAACAAAACATAATCTCATAACAGCTAAGGTCAGAAGCCATGTGTCAACGGATGTCAGGGGAACGCACGGACCACTTCAAAGTGTCATCTTACTGAAATGTCATAAGCTGGACACAAGAGCATGGCACTCCAATTGGTCACGTTACAATAACAATAGGTTAACCAGTCCTTAATGCTATCCATCCAAACCTGAACGTCAAACAGACCCTTAACCTTCCTCACTTGGGCGAACGTTCACCACTAAAGCTAAAATCAACGTTTTGCCAAGTATGTCTCTAGGAAACAAAATGCAATTAGAAAATGGAGAGAAAATGCTATTTTCTTATGTGTTGCAATGGGTGCAGCGGGTATATTTTCGAATAGAAGCCACAAAAAAGTGACCACGTTTAGTTTCAAAATTTCAGAAAATATCAATGGCTCAAATTGTATCTTAACGTGTCATTAAAACGGTGTACAACTGAGTCCTGGTACTGTAATTACACCATGGCTATTTGTTACCAGATAACATCAGCACTGGAATCATATATGATCATCACAGATAATTATGTTTGTACATGGCAACAAATTAGCATTTATACATATACAGTGTAGCTGGAACTTAATGAACAAAATAAAATACTGTTAGAAACAAAGCTTATAAATACTATATGAAAATATCATAGAAATACAAAACTATATACATATATTGTAACGATAAATATAAACACACACACCTTAAAACAGACTGTTCAAAAGAACGGTGTGAACATACTGAAGCCTATTTAATCTGTTGAAAGCTTAAGGATACCTGTCTCACTGCACTGTTTTTTCCTATATACATGAACCTTCTCTTGATTTCTTTTATTGAGATAATTGTAGAAGAGCTGGGCAGGGCCACTTCCATTGACCAGGTAGCTCAGTTTGTTACAGTGATAGTATAACAATCTGAAGTTCTGGGTTTCATGCTTGTCCCACTGAATGTTTACAAACAGAATTCTGTCGTTGATTGTTTTTTTTTTTCATATTTAATCACAATCATTTTTCAAAAAAGTCTTGCAGGTACGATATTCTATTCAGAAAAGATTTATCGAAGCTAAAATCATGCCTGCAAAAACAGTTTCAAGTGCATAGTAATATTACAGTTTTAGGCATTGTTACAGGGATCCTTATATACTTAACAACTTTTACAAGCTTCCATGGCCTTTATAAAACCCAACTACAAACAGAACATTCTATTAAAAGGAAGAAGCTCCCTTTAAGGTGAATTTATACATGTTCAACTGATTCTTAATCTGAGGAGTTAAAGATTAAGACTCGTGAATCATCTAACCCTACTATCAATTTGGACTTCATTTTCTAATTAAAATATCACTTGACAGATAGATTAACCGATATGAATAATCCTATCAAAAGCTACTGCAGATAAAGGAAAATTGTGGGAAAATTGTAGGACTTTGCCATCCTATCATTACTAGGGAGTATTAGGATGTCCCCAACAACCATCCTTTCTGCTACAAGCTGAGTGTTGGGGATGCTACCTTCAGTAGCAAGCTATCTGATGAGTAACGCTGAGGGAGAAATAGTCTCAGAAAATCAAAGTTTTATTAATATAGCAACAACAGTCAGAATACAGCCTATACGCATACTATGCGAATGACATATGTTACATGTAGCTATATCTCATCTGAAGGCACTATTAATTATTAACAGAACTGTGATCTCCTGTGAGTGTGAACTAGTAAATCCAACTAGTCCTGTCCTTCCAAGCAGAACTGCTTAAAGCGTCTAACCTGTTAGATACAGAACCATATCAATCATATCAGTGTTACATTCCCAATGGAATCTGTATAATTACTAGCCCATCACCACAAAAGGTGACATCAATACAAAGTCTTGTTTTCTCTAAAAATAGAAAGGGGTAAGTGTATCACATTGGAAATCCTTCATAAAGAGTCCTTCGAAAATGTAGTTGAGTCCAACTCTACTATTCAAGACGTGGTCCTACTATCCAGTCAGTGTTTTAGAGGGCAGATTAGTTATTTTCTATAATACAAATGTCCAAGTAATCCAGTTGTCCCACATGTACAGCCCAGCCACTTCTGCTGGGAATGAAGGTGGCAAAAATATCCACTGGGACAAAAATGACTGGATCACCTGCTCAGAACAAGGGTGGCAGGATTATCTAATCTAGCCACAAAGATAGCTACATTATCAACTGGGAACAAAATGTGGCTGGATTAACTGTAGGAGCAAGGTGAGGGGATTATCTATTGGAAACAAATGGTGGCTGGATTAACTGTAGGAGCAAGGTGATCATGAGGGGATTATCTATTGGAAACAAATGGTGGCTGGATTATCTGTAGGAGCAAGGTGAGGGGATTATCTATTGGAAACAAATGGTGGCTGGATCATCTATTGGAAACAAATGGTGGCTGGATCATCTGTAGGAGCAAGGTGGGGGATTCTCTGATGGAAAAGGTGGTTGGATCATCTGTAGGAGCAAGGTGGGGGATTCTCTGAGGGAAAAGGTGGTTGGATTATCTGTAGGAGTAAGGTTAAGTACATATAGTTAAGAAGCCTGATTCTGGCTGGATTATCTATTAGTATTAGAACCAAATTAAAGGTGGTTGGATTATTAAGGCTCATCTTCAGTCAAATATCATTCAATAAATATTACATAATACCAAGCCCAATTATATGAAATTAGATCATATAAATAAAGTTAGCAAAAGGCAAAATGTGTACAGCTTAGCAGATATTGGCAAAAAAAATATTTATCTTGAAACTGAAAAACAAAGACAAGAACATACTGAGAACAGTTTGTACATTTAGCTTCAATTACAAATGTTCCGATGAATTCCACACGATTGTGGATACACATTCTCTGTAACTCATCTATGATATATTAGTACCTATAACATATAATATAGAGATCCTTACCATTACTGAATTAATGATTCCTTATACCTGTATATTACAATAGGCAGTAATTACAACAGACCTAAAACTCATAATGCACTAGACAGGAGACTGGGTCAGCCAGTAATCGAGGTACCTGTTAGAGTAGCATATAATCCTCTATTAATGGTGATCACCACTGCTCAGCACATTGCACTAGACAGGAGACTTGGTCAGCCAGTAATCGTGGTCCATGTTAGAGAAACATATAATCCTCTATTAATGGTGATCACCACTACTCAATACATTGCACTAGACAGGAGACTGGGTCAGCCAGTTATCGTGGTCCATGTTAGAGTAACATGTGTTCCCCTATTAATGGTGATCACCACTGCTAAACACATTGCACTAGACAGGAGCCTGGGTCAGCCAGTAACCTAGGTCCCTGTAAGAGTAACATGTGTTCCCCTATTTATGGTGATCACCACTGCTCATTAATTCAGTAATGGTAAGGATCTCTATGATATATTAGTACCTATAACATATAATATAGAGATCCTCACCATTACTGAATTAATGATTCCTTATACCTGTATATTACAACAGGCAGTAATTACAACAGACCTAGAACTCATAATGCACTAGACAGGAGACTGGGTCAGCCAGTAACCTAGGTCCCTGTAAGAGTAACATGTGTTCCCCTATTAATAGTGATCAGATCAGCACTGCTCAACACATTGCACTAGATAGGAGGCTGGGTCAGCCAGTATCCATGGTCCATGTTAGAGTAACATATAATCCTCTATTAATGGTGGTCACCACTGCTCAACACATTGCACTAGACAGGAGGCTGGGTCAGCCAGTAATCGTGGTCCCTGTTACAGTAACATGTTCCTTTATTGATCGTGATTATCGTGATTACCAATAATCAACACAATGGAAAGTAACAAGGATTTTATCTTAATATTTACTATTTACCACATTTGGGCGAAAGAACTACATAATTGCAACTGCTAATGACTCAAAACACCTATAGGAATTAATATATTTACAATACAATTTGGTAAACATGAACAAGAATAGATTCTTGGAAAATATACATAAAAAGAAAGCGTAATAAATCCTCAGCTTGCATTTGATGTATAGAGTAGGAATATACTGGGCAAGATAGAATCAGCTTTAGGTTCTAGCTCTTAAAGCTTTAAAAGTAATACCAGTATGTGTAATAGTTACACTAATTAATGGTAGTGTTTTATGAACAACTAAATCGACATCACAATTGTATACATTATTATTTTTACACATACAATATGAAGGAATTTTCATTTTAAATGATAAGTCTGGTTTATATTACAAGTCAAACCATAAATGTTTTTACATTACTAAGCCTCTACAATTGCAATATAACAGAGAAAAGTTTGGACTCAGGATCAATTTGTCCAAACATTTTATCAGTATATTATATTATATTATATATATTATATATAATATTTGGCGGGGGGATATAAAATATTTGCAAAAAACAAAAACAAAAAATTGTCCAAAAATGGAAATGATGTCCATATTATTTCCATATGTTAACTCATATTTATATCCTAGATTCAATCAACAAATTAAACAGGCCGATCCTGACTGGTATATTTTGAAATGGAATTTGCAGACTTAGTCTAGATCAATTGCTGTCATGGACATATTAACATGTACACATATATATGAATACAAAATACACCTCTACGTGGGACAGATACAAAATGCAAAAAGATATTATATATAAATATGAAACAATACCTGATAGGGATATATATCAGAATTAACAGCTTTAACATGTATTGAAAGAAGTATTTCGAATTCAAAACTATAAAATCTCATAAAACATGTAGAAATATTTGCTTTGGTAAACATGTACATTGAATCACAACTTTTCATGTTGTTTTCAACCAGCTTTGCCTTCGTTGTACATAAAACAAAATTATCAAATATTTTATACTGCTTTTTCTTTGTGGACTACAAAAAAATGTTATATATTACACTTCTCATATAATTTAGCGCCATTCTTACAATACCCGAGGGTTAAGCTTTGCAGAATCATAGTTCATCAGTGATTACAAATGTAACCTCCAATGAATCATAGTTCATCAGTGATGACAAATGTAACCTCCAATGAATCATAGTTCATCAGTGATTACAAATGTAACCTCCAATGATCATAGTTCATCAGTGATTACAAGTGTAACCTCCAATGAATCATGGTTCATCAGTGATGACAAATGTAACCTCCAATGAATCATAGTTCATCAGTGATGACAAATGTAACCTCCAATGATCATAGTTCATCAGTGATGACAAATGTAACCTCCAATGATCATAGTTCATCAGTGATTACAAATGTAACCTCCAATGAATCATAGTTCATCAGTGATAATCCTTGACATCAAACACAAAAATGTTTGTTAATGATTTTTATTTAAAAGCTGTAGTGCTTTAATTTCTAATGGACAAATTTTCATTATTTCCTTCCTACTTTAAATGTGTAGGTTGACAAAGAACTCCACCCTATTCAAAATCAAACTAGCTGATCTCTATCATATACAATGTAATAAAGAGATTTTTCAGATCTCAAGGATCCTGTACCACTGCAAAAACTGTAACTAAATACTGGAAACTGTTTCTGGCATGGCTATGTATGTATATAGCTTTAAAATGTTATTTTCTGAAACGAAATCATTGCTAGCAAAATAAAGAAAAATAAACAAAATATAACCAACATCAGTGTTTTGAGTGTAAAAAACTTGAGCTGGACTAGAACAGTACTGGGACCCAGGACCTCAGATTGTTAAACTGTCACTTTAACCAACTGAGCTACCTGGTCAACGGAAGTGTTCTGGCTCAACTGTGCTATAGTCATATCCAAATCTATTGTCATATCCAAATCTATTGTCATATCCAAATCTATTAAAGGGAGGTAACTGAATATACTAGGAAAAAAAGAGTGCAGTTGGACAAGGATCCTTGAAGTATTACAAAAATATAATGCCTATGACAAATAAGCACCACACAGTATCAGATTGATTATGAAGTTACTAGGGACAATTCAACTTCTAATTTTTGATAAATGAACCAGTAATATCAGACTCTAATAGAACTGTCAATATGACAACAAATTATCATATTGTCAGTCAATACATATAATATCAGACTTTTTGTATAATTAAACCACCACTATATCTGGTTGTTCCATCATCCACAAAACCAGTGTTTTAGGGAACAGACATATTCTACATTATGCCATAGTAATACAGCTGTTCTACATTTTTAAAACGAGAATAAAGACAGGAGTAACCTAGAATTATTTTGGGGACACTTTATGTCGACTTGGCCACCCTTTCCTTCCACCAAGTAGATCGGAATCATAACGCAGCTGAATATTACCAAACGTCACATTCAGCACTTTTAGCACATCCCCTTCTATCCTATTAAAGTAGCGACGTGGGGTGTAACCATCCCTGATAGACCTGCACACAGTGGCCATAGACGTTTTCTTACTTTTCACAGCTGACATTATGTCCTGCAGAAGTTTGGTTCTCTGGTGAATTTCCGACATGTCAGGTATGTATACATGTACGGCGGAGTGCCCAGGGTAGTTTACGCCATGACACACATGGAAGTTGAATTTACTTACAAGCTTACTAGATTTGGGTGACGATGTCAAACAAAAACCAACATATTGTAAAGATCTGAGTTGTCTTTGACTGTGCTGCTTGAAGTGATTCATTAATTCTTTTAAAATCTTCTCACTGTGTGGTGTCCTCCTGCCACACGCAACCGAATTCTTTGCCTGCCACAAGTATTTCTTAATAGCTGATTCAGCTTCTTTATAAAGAGCAAGAGAATCCACCTTACACTTCACATTGTTTGAATTTGGGTTCTTCTTATTGGCCGATTTTCCGACATCCAGCATACTTTTATTGAAGCTAAACTTGCCTCCATGACTTTGTGACTGACCAGTGGGACCTTTGGAGAGCAAGACATTGCTAGCTTTTGTATTTGTACTGTTTGGACAGGAAGGTGCTTTTCTCAGAATTCCCAGCACACTGACAAGTAGCCGGTCGGCCTCCTGTTCCTTGATTGCCCCTTGAGGACAGAACAGTTTCTGTATCAGACCGTCTAACTTGTGAATATTGTCCATAGACATATTAGCATCCAGCAATGGCTTGGAGGCATAGGCACACCCATAATAATCCTCATCTATATCAAGTAAGACTGACTCAGTGGAAGACACTAATTTACCTTTGCTCAATTTCTGAACAGCAATATCTTCTCTGATTTCTTTATAGAAAAATGACTTTTTGACATGACAAAGGTGAGGGTTGATGGAAACACCTGACTCTGTTGCCCGTTGTAAAGGTAAGTAAATACAACTTCGGCCATTTTCCGTGCTATTGTGATAGCACAAACAGAAGACCTTGAACTTGTCTCTGTGTGGGCCGTCCACCTGAGCCCAGCCCACTTCAACCTCTCCAGATTGTTCTGTACCCTCATGTTCGTGCTCTGTCCACTTCGGCCAAATCCAGATGACCTTCCTGATCAACCCAGCCATTGCAGCTTCCTAAAACAATATAAATGTTCAAATAGTCACACTGAAAATTCCATTTTAAAAATCAATTTAAATATATAAGTCTAAGATGACAGAAGGACTGAGATGACAGCCTGTAACAAGTTTCTCATCTTCACTTCACATTCTTAATATCTGTATTTTCAGTAACCCTGCCTTCACAAAACTCAGTACCAATCCTACCAGTTTTTAAATGTAACTTTTATTTCTTTTAGTTCTATACATTTTATAAGTGTGTAAATTAAATCAAAATATCTGGCCACTGAAAAACTGCCCTTCCTAATTATTCGTTGATCATCATATCATTTCCCTTGGAAACATCTGAAATACTGCCTATGATTTTTACATGCTTGCATTTGATCTGTACATAAATGGATTTCAAACTTTCTTGGATTTTAATGAAAGAGAATTCAATTATTACAGTAAAATATGTTACCAGTTAAAATATGTAACCAGTACATGGACATAAGGAACTCCAGGGGACTTAATTAAGACATAACTGCTTTACATACTGTAAAACTCACTTTCTGTCATCCTCGATACTCTACAGGCAACGCTCATTTTTGCTCTCTGCACCCCTGGGATATGTCATAGCTAAACTGAAGGCATGCTTCTAGCTATTTGATTATTCTCAGGTAAAAAAACATGACCAATAACTAGGGCTAATATACATGTCCTTTGAAGATCACTAAAGAGTGACACCTGACTTCAAAGCCAGTCAATCAAACTATTATGCGACCCACATTTTTTCGATGTACATCAAAGGATCAAACTAGTCTTCTCATCTCATCCACCAGGTGGTGCACACTGAGCCTTTGTTTTTGCTTCGACATATTCCAGGGGTGCAGAGAGCGAAAGTGAGAGTGACCTCTGGAGTATCTAGGATTCTTTTAGTGTACTCAAACTTTAGCACATTCTTAAACTTTAATCTGTTAGTGCATTGATGAGTTTTGCTCCCTTAAAACAATATATATATATTATGTAATAGTAAATAATAGTATACGGAAACTTCAATAAGCACTATTATAATTTAGTGGAATAATTATAGCATGAAAATTTAAAAAAACAATTACAGCAAAAGCATGAATGTTACAGTAATTTATAGACCTTGATGTTGCAGAATTAATGAAAATAATCTTGTAATTAGCAACAATGTAACTTTATGTATTCTCACATTAAACATTTTCAAGTTATCTTAATAGATTCATAAATGTTTTGGAATGGAGATTCTTATCATTCACGATGAAAATGAAAATAAATCCTGTAAATAATTATATCAAACTGTGCATACTGACCACAATAAATGCATCATTTCTCTGCATCATAGTATGAAGTTCCTTGCTGTCTTTGGGCGGACGCCATGCTGGGTAACGGCTCAGAAAAAATGGTGGCGCCATGTCACTATGACCATCTAAATGGATCTACAAGTAAATAACACTTTTCTTTAGGCTTAAATCCATGAGATAAATCACATTAATAAAGTGAACAAATACAAAGAATAAAATATTGTATAAATCAATCAACTGTATCAAGTGAATTATAGTTCCTATGGCAATGGCTGTGGGAGCCGTATATGTATACGTAGCCCATGGAAATCTATTCAATTTCATTATTTTTTGAAAAGAAAAGGGGGGTTAAGGGTCGTTTCCAGCCTCATTAGGGATTTAGAATTAGTTGTCATATCAAAATCTGGAATAAATGAAGTCAGCAAATATGAAATTTCAAATTCATTGGACAATTGGTTTAGGAGATATTGCATTTCCAAGAGATACATAAACCTACATTTTCAAAATAAAATGTGTGAATATCCTCTATTGTGCGCTATTTGGTTGAAAATTGGCCATTTTGAAGGAAATTAACTAACCACTCTTCAACTTTTAAAAGCCTTTGCATGCAACAAACATATAAATATTTAACAAGCTTAAACTTTGTCATATCAGGGTTCATCCGTAGAAAGGATTTTTTGTTTGTCACATGCGGAGGCTTTCATATATAGCTGTATGCTCATACGTTTTATGAGGCCAAAAATGACCCATGACGCCCCAATTCAGGTCCTCTTAGATTTGATCTGACCTTGAACTATGCTACAGGTTGCTGCTGTTAATGTGACACAAACGATCACCTCTGTTTGGAAAAGTTTGTTTAATAGCAGAAAGTAATAATGTAATCTAAAATGATCATATGGTAATTGGAATAAATTTTCATGATACATACATGTATCTATATCATGTATCTGTGTTCAATAGCCTTTAACCGTGGCACATGCATCCGGAATGCACAATTCCATTAGCCCGATACCTGGGGCCAGTAGCTTTTGTACCAGAGCTTGTGAAATTGTTCAATATATAATATTTACTATGGTCAAGCTAGTAGGATTTTTCAATATCAGCCTGCAGGCTATATAGCTACATGTATATATGTATATGGGGCAAAGAGGTAATTCCAACAGTTTTACATGTATACTATATATAGCTAGATCTCTAAAGTATATGAAATGGTTCCACCCCTGATGCATGAACATGTACATTGTACCAGTATGATATGCATACATGAACTATTGCAATTGACATCAGTGTCTTACTATAGTATAGTACATGTAGATGTGGTACACATTCCAAAAATCCATGTACATATATATGGTATATGTGTAGTGTACATGTCCTCATATTGTGATACATGAACCAGTGACTTCTCTTATATAATTACATGGATGTACATGCATGCCTGTGTTCTCCATGCCCTTTCTTGATAATTTGCGAAATGCATCGATATAGAAATTCAAATATATGATATGAATATTAACTCAATCCATAAATTTGAATGAATTATCTCACCAAGGTGTTACCATGCTGAGGTATGTACCCGTTCTTTGCTGCTTCAAACCAAACAGGAAGCACTGAAATAAAATGAATTAAAATATATATAAATATATTACAGTATATCGTAAGCATTTGCATAATCTAGCATTTACTATATTAGAGCATTTTATGGTAATCCAGCTGACAGACAGACTGACAGAGACTGATGTACAAGAGTTTCTCCTCTTGATTTATTCTATTCATGAATACTACAAATTAATGCACAGCTGTACATGTATTTTCACTTAACTTGTAACTTCAAGTCATAAAGACATAGTAAATATTTGATATTGTACATGAATTTTGGAAAAACATGACAAGTTGATTTAATTTGGGTATGCATGATGGAGTGTATACATGTATACAATCATTCAAAACACTCCTGTCAACACCCAGGTTCTGTAATTTGAGTAGGTACAGTGTATTGCATAAATTCTCTGGATCTGGACTAGCTTAAGCTTTAGCTAGCTACTTCATGCATGTTTAATTTCAAAATATATATGCTACCTTGTTGAGTTATGGATAAGTCATATTTATTACATTTTTATCAGTGAAATATCAGAAATTATCACTCAGTTTGAAAATAATTATATAAATACATGTACAGTGATAAATGTACATGCGAGCCCTGGGTCCTGTACCCATATAGAATTTCTGGAAATACTGAAATTTAACATGGTGGGACCAATATCTTAACCATGCAGTGGAAAAAGACCCATACAAACGAATTATAGATTGATGACTGCATGAATACAAAATGTTATACCGGTACATGTATCTCAATGTGATGATATATAATTATAAGTATTTCTAAACATTTTCTTCAGGTTGGTAAGTAAGGATTATGAGAAGTTCTTTTTACACAACCAATGAAATGTTCTATGTGACGTTTCGATGACAAGGACGATATGTACACTGAACATGTCACCTTCATCAGACAAATGATCAATGAAGCGTATGCACACAAAGGTGTAAAATGTGTACGAGTTGTCCATAAAATCGATGTGGATTTCGGCTACGCAGGAAACGTATGTACAATAGTTGTTATATATGTACCGAAATGACTCAATTCAGCTACCCTTTGTTAACACTTGGTCATAGATGTTAATTGGTCATTTGTCTGATGAAGGTGACATGTACAGTGTACATATCGTACTTGTCATCGAAACGTCACATAGAAAATTATATTGGTTGTGTAAAAAGAACTTCTCATAATAATATAATTATAAGGTCATTATCGATTTTATATTGACCAATCAAAACGGTATTTTCTATTTACTACCGCAGATTTTCAGTTCAGCTGCAGATGAAGCTTATAAAATAAGTGGTTGTTTTTGTACATTTTTGGTACATTAAGTTATTAACATACCTTCATAATTGATAATATTTATGTAAACAAATTAAACTACACAAGGAAATAGCAGAAAATGGTAGCATTGCGTTGAGTAGCCCATTCAAAAAAGCACACAGCCTAAGCTAATTGTTCTCAACGGATCCAGAGACACGTCATTAGAACCTGGCATCAAATACTACGCTTCTAATTCCTGCACTTTTCTTATAATGATGCAGCAATATTTTCATCATTTTACTTTGAAAAAAATTGTTAATAGAAAATTTAATGGTTTTCCATTATGCCATATAAATGGTATTTGATAGGAAACCATTATATATATATATATATATAGTTCTATATCAGTTCTGAGGTTGAAGGTTCAAATATACCAGCTACGTACCTCACTTCTTTTTCATTTCAGTTGGTGCCTATCATTAACCAATACAAATTACCCATGGAATCCCTACCACTTTCTGTTACTGACAGTCGACCGTAATTATAACTGTCTATATGTAAGCAACAGATCCTGAATATTCTGCTATGAAATATTGAAGACTTGCTCTCAGTCATGAAGATGTACATACTGTATCATGCTTGCATGCATATGTTTGCAGTATGTGCTGATACAATGTATCAACTTATAATTGTCACTCTAACTGCATTTACTTGTTACAAATTAAAATTGTAAATACGAAAAATGTACATGTATATACATGTATATAATGTCCTGTGTCCTATAAGCCATATCCATGCCATGTGTCAGGTTATCATGAGCTAATTAAACAAAGTGTCTTCAACTTGAACGAGAGGTGTGTATACATGTATGTATCATACAAATGTACCCGACCTATGGTGGCCAGACTTATAATTAACCAATTGCAAAGCCAGTTTAACTTCATTACAATAGCCTGAATTTCTCCTGACCCAACATCAGACTTGGCACATGTACATGTACTATAGATTTGTCAAAAAGTGTCAAGTCTGACATCCCTACAGGTCAGGAATCTAGAAAAGAACACATCTGCCATTAACCATGTAGCATGATCACAGCATGTAGATTTTGTGTTTGTGCCCTATAATCTTTTGGAACACAAAATTAAAGCAACCAAAACGAATCTGCTGCACCCATTGCAAATTTTGGAATCTTTATATTTCTCTATAGTCTCAGGACTTTTTGCTTCCTTGTGCCTTGCTTGGCAAAACCTTACTTTTGGCGTTAATGTTGTACCTTTGCCAAATTGAGCAAGGCGATGGCCATGGGTTCTCCCTATGCCAGGACATACATGTACTTAAGTCTTTAAAACAGTAGTATTGCCTGCTAAACATTCAGCATTTTGGGTAATGCCAACAATAAGCTCACCCATTGTCAGTATTATGTGACCAAGCAGAATAATATGCTGGGTGCCTTAAGCTTTGGCATAGTTTTTCACTGAGATAGCAAATTAGCAACATAGATTCAACATCAGATCAGCACTATCGCAAGAAAGCAATTACACCAACATACCCTGCCTCCAGCACACATCATGATCAATGCAAACATAACACATATGGAGATCTAGATGCGTCCTTAAATGATCTTAGATATGTAGTGGAACTGGACTGGGTTGATCGTCGGCAACCAGATAGCTAAATTGAATTGGTAGATTGTCCGTCTAAGAGTTTGGAGGGTCCCGGGTTTGAATCCGGTTTGGCTGTGCATTTTCCCCACCTCCTGTTACTGCCTACAGTGACCAACTCTTGTATCAAGCATTGGGTGTCGCTTTGGCAAGCGGATACCCGATCACTGGTTGAAAATAGATGTGTCTTCGGGGGTGAAGACTAAGAAAAAGAAGGGAAGAATATATATACAGCGGAACTGGACAGGGTCATTCATCGGTCAACTTGACCAGGTAAGTGTAGAGCATCTGTATCGAGTTTGGAGGGTCCCGGGTTCGAGACCTGGTCTGGCCGTGCATTTTTGGTTCATTGGTTCATTGATTGTGACACCGTTGTAAGCATCAGTTGCTTCTTGAGGCGCTTCTTAATTCTGTCCACTTCACTTCCGGTTGCATTAGGANACGTTTCTGTCTGTTTCTGCCCGTTCCTGCCCGTTTCTGCCCATTTCTGCCCGTTTCTGCCCATTCCTGCCCGTTCCTGTAAATCGTCTAATCGAATACTTGTATGACTTTCTTTAACACTGAATTTAATTTACCCTCATGATGCTCCTCAACAATGTAGACTGGCAACCTTCCTGGTTTAATTGGCTTTTTTCCTTGGTTAGAGAAATGAAATATTGGTCCCAGTCCTCCCTTCTGATATTTGTATCGGTATGATGCCGGAAAGGCGCCGACACTTTTTGGTACAAGGTTAAAGCTCGTTGTGCTTGCCTTATTGTAACGTAACAGACTGATGTAAATTCCCACAATCACACAAATAAACACTACTCCGATTATGTTGCTTATCATGTGACGTTTCCAAAACATTCGCATGCTTGCATATTTCATATTGTTCTTTCTAATATAAACAGCGTTTCAATCGCTATGCAGCTGTGCTCATAGTGTAATAATCTACTTTAGTTAACGCATTTTGGATTCAACCTTAAATGTCTGATGTCACCAAAATCTAAAAAGCAACCAAGCAGAATAAGTCCGCTTATATCCCAAAAAAATTAAGACTTTAAAATATTTTACTTGTCAAAATAAATTGCTATAACTTTTCAAATTTCATTATTTATATCAATTTTATGATTATATCGATAGTTATTTGAGAACATTGTGTCATTAAGGAGTCATAAGAGAAAGTGAAAGTAAGAGTATTTTTAATGATGCTAGCGACATTTAAAGAAATCAATCATGGCTGAAAGAGGTGGTGGTAGCGGTGTTGGTGATGGCAGAGATGGACGTAAATTAAATGATGGTAAATGTCAGAAAACATATCGATGTTATCATATTGTGACCGATTGCATATGTGCATAAGTTCAGTGTTGTTATTATGTTATTGATTAAATTGTTCTGATCAGTTAATTTATATCTTTTGGTGATGGGGAGGAATCGTCTTCTAGAACCTTATCCTAAAAAAGTAGTAACAGATAAATTTAAATGTATCTGCTGGTGTGCTTAAGTTAATTATTAACATCTCGCAACAAATACAAACAGCAACATGACTATCTGGCTACCAATAAGGGAAAGTGTTGCAGTTTCACCTTTTTAAAGCAGCTATATATTTCTATAAAACAAAATGTGATTTTTTCAGGATTTTCTAACATTTCCTTCAATATTTACTCGGTTTTTGGACAAAAGTTCTCTCAAAAGTGAGTGACGGTCTAGATCTTCTCCTATTCGGTAAAACTGAATCTTTTCATCAGTGTGAAATGCTGACCAGTGGAGTTTGTTCTTGCATAATGGGCAAATTAAGTACTAAAACTAACAAAATATTATTGTTTTATATGCAATAACTAATTAAGGTGTTAACTTGATTTTAAATAAATGTCCGAAATAGTTGCACTTATCGCCTAAATAACAACAGTCTTGGCAAAAATTGTAGAACCCCAAATAAATATGATTGTTTCAGCCTGAATCACTATCTATATATATATAAACAACGAAAAACAAGAGTTTCTTCGACCTCCCTAGCGCTTTCTCCCCCTTAGAGGTTCACCAGGGAAAAAGGAGTTTGAAAGTTTTTCTGAGCTTCTAAATATTTGTATATAACACGCTCGGGAAGAAAAAACATAGCTTGAAATGAAGAAAAGTTATGTCTCTTTCAAAAATTTTGAGGTTTGGATGATATTACTAATTACTGAACAGCCATAACATTACCAACAGGTCCAAATTCTGTGCCACTTTTTACAATTAATATCATGGACACCATGTGTGTTTTTAAATTATGTGTACTTTTATTGCACATTTGGGAACAAATCAACAGGTGTAAACTTTATAAAGTATGTGTGTTAAAATATACTTCACATGTGTTCTTATAGAGAGAGAAATGTTTGTCAATTTTATAATGTGGGTGCCCCGGGTAACATAATCTATACCTTCACTACTCATCAATGTGTAAATTATGGATTTTTTTTTTATCAATTTATGATAATTTATTCAACATTATTTAATTCTTAAATAAGAAAAGTGAAATACAATCAAGACATCTTCAAAAGCTAAAAAACTATTTAGTATATCACATGATAATTTCTAGGATAGCTATTGGATTACTACCCTTGTTCTATTTGGTATAGTTAGCATCCGCCCTTGACAACGGGAACTATACCTGGAGACGGCCACTTTACCTTTTTTTGGGACTGCGGGAAAAGTAGCGTGACGCTAAAAGTTGCGCCCCTTCTCCTAGGGGGCACTGTACATATTCTACTTTCACTTCATTGTTGTCGTCTGCCAAAATGGCTTCGAATTTCGGGACAAGGAATGCTGATTGCTTCACAGAGGCTCAGCAATACATAAAGACTATATCTGAACTAGCGGTGATTCAATCCAGTGAATTGAATACGCAACAAAAAAAGGAGAGATCTACTCAAAAAATTATCTTATTGCCATTTGTTGTTAATTATTAAATATTTTACTTTTTATTGTCAAATGACAGTCATATGAAATACTCAATCTATTATGACCCTTTCCCTCGGGAACAGTTCTCTTAAAGTGTTGTCTGGAGAGGTATAGTGCCCTCGCTGTACTATACCTCCCCAGACAACACTATAAGAGAACAGTTCCCTCATCAGGAAAGGGCCATAATAGAATAATGTACACTACAGCGAAAGATATATACAGTGTGTGTGACACCTGTATGTTTATATGTATATATCATTTTACAGAAAAGGTGGCCAGAATATCAACATCTTTCCCTGACAACAGTCCAATTGAGAGATACCAGTAAATTAACTCCTAACTGTCTACGCTTTGTGTAGTACTTCCTTCTGCTAGAGACACCTACAAAAACAATACACAATTCTTTTTTGTAAAAATCATCATCATTGACAAAGACAGCCAAATCACCTTTGGCCTTTTGGTCAGTTTATAAGATCATCTCACTAGATTTACAGTAGCCCAAGTTTCTCTGGGCCTGACACTAGACTTATAAATTTTGACAGATAGATGTCTGAATCTTTATTCTATCTGTTCAAAAGTCGAGCCTGGTATCAGGGGCAGACAAATTCAGGCTTGATTTACATGTGTTCTCCTCTTACATAGGAAACAAACGTATCAGGACCAATAGATATTTCTTGTTTAACTTCTTCTACTGATATGAATCATCTCAAAACATGCAATGTTTATATCCAAGTTGCAGTTTAAAATAGAAGCATATTCAATAGAATCTCAAAAGTGACATACAGACTTGAAAAACCCAATCAACTCTATACTATTGAGGTAATTTGAGGTTTTTACATACCGCTTTATCACAACCTAGTTTGTAGGGGTAAAACATCTTGCTCAAAGATACAACACAGTTCTGTGCTGTGACCCGAACCCGCAACCCTTTGGTCAGAAGCCCGGTGTCCTACCAATAGACTACCACATCTCCTATCAAGTATATACCAACATATTCAATACTAAATTACCTATTGTAGCTAATAGCAGTGACCAGGAACCAGTGGTAGAGACAGCTTCCGAGGCAAAGGAACCTCCACCCCCAGATGTTGTTCACCTTTGTAGGGAGACATTCCAGAAAACAGCAGAATACTTGCGTGGAGAAATGGAAGGTAAAAATAATTCAGTCTTTTCATTAATGAAGGACAGATGAGACTTTCGGTCATTCTGTAGAAATATATATACCAGGTAGTGTAGTTATATCATTTATATCATTTATGTTATAATATATAAATGGTCTCAGTGTTTCTTTACCTGTGATCAAAAGCTGGCAATAAAACCATTTTCATATAGGAATAAATTGGATAAGACACGTTTTTGAAATGTTTGGAATTCCTGCATATTACATATTATGTACATATTTGCTTCAATTTAAAAGGCAAAGAGAACTGTAAAACAATTAAGATCAAGCCATTAAACTTCTACTACAGTACAAAGTGGGTTATAGTTTCTGTGTGGTTGTTGTTTTCAGGAACAATTGAAGATTACAAATTGCTGGAGAACATGAACAAAATTACAATTGCCAAGTATTCAGAAATGAAGCAGTTAGCACAAGACATAAGTACATCACTTCAAGACCTGAATGACAAATGTAAGTATTTGATAGACGTTCCTAATGAACACTGTATGGATAACTTAAAAGAAAGTAGAATCTACTATTGTGTTGTACCAATTTACCTGCAATAAGCTTAGTACTTAGGGGTATATATGTTATCACACTGTGTCACCTACCTCCATTCCAAATGAATTCCACACTTAATTGTTGAACAACTTCAATTTTCGAGCCTTGAATTTAATCTGGACTTAGTACATTAACTGAAGACATAACATAACAGGACAGCAGAATGTAGGATACCATTCAACGAAGTCTTAATCACTTTACAGTACACTAAGAAATGGAGAAAACACAAATGTACAGATCTACATATGTTTATCTGTGACACCTCTAGGGCCTTGAGTGTCCTGTTATGTCTTGACAGATCATGATCACCACTGGCCTAGCCTGAGGTGGGGACTGGCTTGGTCTGGGGAAATCCAACAGAACAAAAAACATGTATTTAAAAGGTTGAAAACAAATATCACATTGTTTTCTTCGTTTTTGACAAAGCAAATAATAGTGTGTGTGAATTTTTGTATCATTTCTTTCAACCAAACATAAATGAACATTTTAGAAGGTGTGCCAGTTAGCATATATACTTAATTCTCTTCAGAATTTTTACACCAAGCCTAGTTGTGAAAAAGTCAGCAATGCTTTTGATTGAAAGAATTAGTGATTATGTAATTCTTTACATCAAATTAATGTCAATCAGTTAACAAAAATCAGTAAATTAAACTTAATTTGATCAATGAAATGTTGTCAATGACTTGCTTAACTATCAAAGTTGCCTGCTTTAAACTGTAAGAGAGCTATCAATGATTGGTCTGTGATAGTTCATTGATTTGATCATGGCTTACCCATATCATTGTATTAAAATCTATGTTGTCCTTCTTTTACAGATAAAACCCTCCAACCTTATTTAGAGCAAATTGATCATATTGAAGAAAATGTTAGTAATTTGGAGCAAGCAGCATACAAACTTGATGTATACTCAAAGAGATTAGGTATGTGTGCATCCTGTAATATTATTCAATTCATTTCACAGCATTTCGTCTCCAATGAAGTTAAAAAGGGTTAACATATTAGTCACTTATTCCGTTTGTACAGTTGTGGGATCGTGCAACGTTACACGATGTGCGATGTATGCACGATGTGTGCACGGTGTGTGAACGATGTGTGCACGTTGTGCGAACGATACAAATGTGGGAGATCAAATCTTGCGCACATATGTGTGCACGATGGACGAACGTTGTGCGATAACAATCGTGGTTGGTGTAAATTGAGGAATGCCTTAACAATATATACGGTTTCGTGTTTAAACATATAAACCTTGATTTTTACGTATGTTTCTATACTCTACCTACACCTATAAACTTATCTTTATATCTATACTTTCTTAAATTTAGAAATTGTGTTTTTGGTATTTTTTAAACGACCTTAATCGACACCTGTGAAATCACAACACAGTCCCGTATACAGGTAAACATAGCCACTAGCCGTCTACATGTACCTGGACGGTAGTTTTCCCCCGCCCGGGGCGCTTACGTATTTCGTCGGGTAGGGCCAGGGGTGTGAAAACACAGGTGAAGGGGAGCTATAGGCAAACCGAATGCAAATAACAAATACTAAACGTCCAGCTGTGTTTTCATTACGGTCATACGGTATCGCATATCAGCTCTATGTGTCAGGTACAGGCCAGGTCAAACCCCGGTAACTCATCAAATTGTTAATTACATATTCTGTTACCTTGGCGCGAAACCCATTCTTGACAGTCTAACGGTCACTGTAAT